GAAAAAAAAAATTTCATACTCGACTGTTTTAACCGCCAACATAGATATATTATATTTTCATCCTTAACGGAATAGCTGGTTGTTTCGGTTTTTTTTTCTTTCACACACACACACATACATTACACCACCGACGCCTTCGCTTTTCAAGAAGCCATAATAATAATATAATGTAGTGTATATTATAATGATTTTTTTGCTTTCTGCTGCAGAAGACATCCCACGGGTCGTGAACACGTCCTATATGATGTATTGTGTTTATGAAGGGGGTTTTTTTGGGAGTCCAAAAAAAAATGCAAATCAGCACTGTCGTTATTATGTTTTTACCAAAACGCTTGGATATAAAAAAAAATGATCTCATCTGTGATACTATATTATACTCGGTCGTAAAATTTAAACGTGTTATGTTTGATAAGTAGAGTTTGTATCATTAATATTGTAAAATATCTGCACAATAATTTACACTAATTGAGAACTCTTTGAACGCTGAGTGCGTAAGCTGACTGGATTGAATCATTAAGTGTATTCATTGTGGATTTTTAAGAAGAGCGTTTTTTTAATTGTTCTTTCTTATTCATACAGCTCTAATAATACTGTTTTAAAGTAACAAACTCCATAATTACTTTTACAACGTATTTAACGTTTTATCGTTGTGTATTATTTACAAAATGACACGTTGATGTTTATATTTTAGTTTATAACAATCATATATTTTAAGTATAATATATTTATCGATGTACCTACTTACATACATTGATCAATTTTGGTGTTTCGACAAGATTTAAAACAACAAAGACGTGCACCATTTTTGGATGGCCTATTTTCTGCGTTTAATTATGGGGTTCCTTCAAAAAACTAAACTGCCCCATCGGTCTTTGGTGTGCCAGACCGACACGGCTATTACCGAAGGTCCTGCCGACACGTTTCGGGTCGGATTTCTATATTATACATGTGATTTATAATAATATATAATAACATGGTGTTATAGTCAAAAATACAACGCCACACGCTTGAATGAAACCACTTCCGTCCTCTGATGGACCCGTTAGGTCGGCGGCGGATGTATTTATCGCTTCCTGTTAGATAGATTTCGCGGGATCCGCTTTTCCCGGGCCTTTGCCAAGTTGAAGAAGAAGTGGAAAAAAAAAAACGTTAGAAAATGCCCGTTTTCGACCTTTTTTTTTTTTTTTGAAACGTTCGACCATTGTACTGCGAAAAATTGATTTTCAATAATCTTACCCATAAGAATATACTATGGACGCTGCGCGGCGGCGGCTGTACATCTTATACTATTATTATTATCATTATTATTACCATTGTACAATTTATGTATAATATATTATAATACAAGCGAGGCGGGTCCGGATCAAAGCGTCATTGTCACCGGCACACACACACACGCTTCATTGCCATTGTCCGTGCATAATATAATATATATATATATAGTAATAATGATAATATGTAATAATAATAACGTGTGCGTGTACCTACCTACCTAGAGCGATCAGTGTCATTCACAAAAACATGTTTTTTTGATCCACAGCGAACAAATCGTATTTTTTTATACACGAACACCCGTCCACTCGACTTGGAATACAATATAGGTATTATTATTATATTTATTATTTAACACACTATTCAATATTGTCGGACAGACCGGTGATCGCAACATGTACCGTTTGGTGTGTATGTAAAGCAGTAATGAACATAATAATAGAACACAACCGCCTTAGCCGGTGGTGAAGATTTTCAGAAGAGTTGCCCTCATTCGGGTTGACTGCCACAATATAAATCTAACATGTAACTTGTAGGCTTTGCAGACAGGGTTAAAAATCACTCTTGTCGTGGACGGGATGTGTTCACAAGGCGGTATTTGGTCAGTAATTATATTTGAAATAATCGGTTAGCCCGTTAACGGCAGCTGTGTAAGTATATATTTATATATATATATATATATATTATAATGTATGCGTACACGACAAAAAAACGTGATGGCATCCGATTGTTATGATATTATTATACATATATAATATATATGTATTATCGTTGTACCGTCTTGAACGTGCCAGCACAAAACCATAACCGTATTATGACAATAATAAAATATATAATCTGAGACGTCCGTTCTTATCTTCGTTTAACCATAATAATAATACAGTGACCGCACCTAGTTTTACACTATACCTAATTATAGTTTAACCTAGGTGCGTTAATCAGAACATAAAAAATGTATACAATATCAGATCACATAATATTTCATCATCATCGTCAGGCGCATTTGATTTTAAACATTATGTACATTATAACAATTAATAATAATAATAAAAGCACTGTCACTTACCTTTAACACATATCGTTCACTACTCTGCAGGCAGGTGAAGACGATCACCGGGGTGTAAAACCCACCTCCTCCCCCAACCTTTGTCCAGGGGTTAATGGAGTTTTTTTTTTTTTAATTAAGTCGTCGGGCCGCGACGTTGGATGGATTTAATCGTTCAATGGACGATCACATCATTGATGAAACAAAGCCATGACAAAATATACAATAGGTATTTTTTTTAATTGTTTTATAAACATTTTAATGTACCTAACCGATGAAAAGGTTGGGGCTTCTGCATACTTGAAAAATCCTATGATATATCAGAACTTTGAAATTTTAAAATTGATATTTGAAAATATTGCATATTTATTTATTTATTTAATTCAATTTTTAAAAAAAATTTGATCGCAGCCGTCCAACGAAACTATACATTCGTTTGTCACGTCGTAGCGTATATTAATGTGGATATTATTTTTATCTTGGATTTCATTGAGCAATCAGCAAATGTGCAAGCCAAATATATACAAATCGTATGATAATAATATACAGTCATTGACTTTTCTCCAGATATATGTGTATAGTAAAATGTCAATGTTTACTGCGCATTACATTCGAATAAGTGCGACAAAAGAATTATATTATTATTTTAAATATTTTTTTTTTGTCACATTGCGGTGTTATATTTACCTTCACAGAAAAAGCGTTTTTACTTTTCAATAAAGAACTACTCTGATTTAATATGAATTCCGGCTAAATCCAAAACGGTATAAAAGAAAAAATACCGTATCCGAGCAATTATTACTCATACAAATCAAATCTATATAATCATATATTTATGTATGCAGCTGTACTATCGTGGGAGCGAGAAGCGATTTTGAGATAAGTAATACAATTAGGTAATATTAAGATATTTTTATTGTATTGTTTTGACGGGCCCGTCGAAAGCAATAAAAATAAATGCCACTTAATCGAACAAAATATTCTCTCTAATCTCTTCTCGAATAACCATGGCGATTGAGCCAAGTAAATTACCAAAATATTTCAATGTGTACCATCTTCCATGTAGTACATAGTCTCTTATTTAAAAGGGATAGGAAAAGAACCCTTTTCCACGGTCTTGGTTTAAAGCTAAAAATAATTTTGTATAATACTTATCAGTATTGTGTCGTGGGTTCTCATATGTATCCATCGACGGTTGTCATTTTAGTTAATTAACTCAGTAATATATGATTACAATACTACTAGAGTCATATCATTCTTACCACCACTTGGTTTGTCTTTTGGTCATTTTTTCAAGAAACCCAAGAAAACAAAATTGGTAACATAGTTTTTCTCTTTTGGAATGTATGTAAAGTAATATACTCGCATATGCCAAGTAATATATTATATGAGAGTCACTTTGGCCACCCTTTTTTTAATTCTTGCCGCTTAGATTGTCTTTATTGATTTTTATTTTTTAACTCAATACTGAAAATTAAGCCGTTGGATTTCAGTCGTTAATTCTTGTAAAAAAAAAAAAAAAAAAAGTAGAAAATTCCACTTGACTACTAAACTTATCAAAGTCGTCTTTACGAATAACAATCAAAGTCAAGTCCCTAAGGAGGAGTTTTGTAGATCTTTAGCTTCCCCTCCCTCCATCCGGATTGCCTCCGTTCTATTTGCGTCTAGGAATCAATACCGATCGTGTGGCGCAACAAAAGCTCGAGCTCGGCCCACGGCGAAAACTTTGCGGCGGCCGCCGCCGCGGTGGTGAATGGGCCCTCGGCGAGCGCGTGTAAACTGTAAGTACCACGGTATTTCGGTCACGGCGCATGGATCCACCTGCTACGCGGCGGCCGTGCCGGCCCGTAGTACGCGCCGCCGTACGCGGTCGGGGTCGGGGCCGGCACATCAGACAACGGACGGTCCGGGACGAGAGTGGAATGTCGTCGTACACCACCCCTTCTCGTCCCTCCCGGCGGGGCATACGCTCGGCGCTCACGCACTCCACAACACACACACACACAGTTGTAAAAAAAAAAAAAAAACAAGTGTTTTGTGTGTGTGTGTGTGCGCGCGTAGTATTCCTACGACGACGGCCGCGCTCGTCCCATAGAAAAAAAAAAAGGTATACATATATATATATTATAGCCTCGTCCTCCTCCTCCTCCTCCTCCTCCTATTCCTTCTCGTGCACCATTCTTTCGCCACATACTACCACCACCGCCGCCGCCGACACCACCGGTACCGACTCTGACGCGCGGTCCTTCCCACCCGACCAACGACCCCCCACCCCCTCCGTGGCCGCCACAACCCGCACACCCGCCGCCGCCTTGCACGGCGCATAGTATTTTATTATTGTGTATAGTTGCGTGCCCCGACCGTTTTTTTTTTTTTTTTTTTTTCGCATGCGTTGTCACCACACACACACACACACACACACTACTACTACTACGGGCCGAGCGCTGCTGCCACTTGCCAGTGTAATAATACACTTTGTTCGATCCGGGAGCGCGGACCGCGTGTAAAATTCACCGAGGAGAGCGCGCTCTCTCGCGTTGTTGTATATTTTATATCGTTGTGTGTGTTTCTCACTCGTTCATTTCGCTCGCCGTAGCCGGCTCCTCGCCGTTTGCCGCATTTGTAGTAGTGTGTTACCGACCGTCTGCGCGTGTGTGTGTGTGTGTGTCTGTGCAACGTAATCGCCTCCGCGCGCGCCGCCGTGTGTCGACTTACCATTAAAATATATTGTACCGCTCGTGTGTGTGTGTGTGTGTGTGCGATATCTGCGCCCAGCGAATATTATTATTATTATTATAACAACCGCCGCACACGGTTCACAGTCGCTGACCGGCATCGCACACGATTATACACCGGTACGCGTGGATCCCACGGAAAAATATGCTTATCAGCCCCAGCGGCGCACACTGTCACTTGTCCGGTAAGTCGGCCGATTTTTTTTTCATCGTTATTATTATTATTATTATCATCGACTATACAGAGCGCTTCGCCGTTGCGCGACCGTGTAAACCGCGTTTTTTCAACCACCTGATGATGCGCAAGTGTGTCTGGAACGCGTTTTCATGCGTACATTTTTTTTTTTTTTTTTTGGAATATTTTGTTTGTTTTTTTAAATCATACACTTGTTGCTCACCCCTCCCCCCTCCCCCATCCTCGAAACCCTATTTTTACATTGTTTGTGCGAGCCTTGAACTTTTACCTAAACCCCGTGTGTGTGTGCGAAAATCCGTCTGCCAACAACCGGTTGACGCCCGTGTCAACCTCGTGTCGACCGTTGTTAGAAAAAAAAAAAAACAAAATTAAATTAAATATGAAATGATCGTTTAATATTTAACAAGCCGGCCGGGTTAGGCGTGTGTGTGTGTGTGTGTGCACACGAGGACGAGAGTGAAACGTGGCTAAAAAATACACAGTCTGTGTAAAAAAAAACACATATAATATGTATTTTTCGCAAATATTTGTTCGCTCCGGCCGTTTACCCGGTTTTTTAGTTTTGTCGGATCCAAGGTCGTCGTTACCGTGTCCGCACAAGCACGGTTTACATGTATAATATTATAACGGTACTTACAAACAGAGCATATTATACTTGAACAACAAGTACGGTGAAGTATACCGCATTCGAACCGTTTTTCTACCCCTTGGTGCAGTGTTTCCGGTTTTGGTGTATAGATTTGTATTTTTTTTTTTTTTTTTTACATAAAAATTGTATGATTAATTATTATAATTAATCTCATCTCGCCGCCGCCGCGCCGCCGACCGCTTGTTATCTCGGTCGAGTCTATCGTGTGGACGATATAAAAAAATATATAAAATAACCCGTAAGATAATATGGACTTGCACACTACTACATTTATTACTTGTATATTGTTATTATGGACGACGGTTAGGTCGTCTATATAACACAGTAATAATAATAATTATTACTATTCTAGATAAAAAAAAATTATAACGATAATAAGTCATAGTAACGCGCAATACAGGGTGATTGAACAGAGTCGTCCGAATCTATTAAACGGTACCGTTCCTAGTTCGTGAATCACCCTGTATAACATGCGTGTATATACGATATATAATTTATATATGATTATATCAATCGTCCGGTTAATGTTAACTAAAAAAAAAAAAACCCAATGGGTTTAATTCGAATTAATTTCCTTTGTCAAATAAAATATTTTTTTTATTGCGGTTGAATTTTTTTTTTTATATAGTAAACAAATTTACACAGTTTATAAAACTCCGTTTGTGTGCACACTCGCGCAACGTACACCTATTATAATATTAATATAAATAATATAAAAAAAAAAACTCATAAATATAATTATTGTGAACGTTATTTGAAATTTTCCGTCGGTAAGTACCGAAATAATATTATTATCCGGCGATAATTTTTTTTTAGTTTTTTTCTAAAAAATATATCATTACCAAAGTTTTGAACAAAAACAATTAATTCAAAAAAAAGCAAAAGTGCCGTGCACTAAAAATAATAATTATTTTATCAGCGCGCACGTGTCGAACGGGCCGCACTTTTTGTGTCTGTTTTATTTTTACATTGTCGCGTACACACCGCCGCCGCCGAACCAGACACATTCCACCCAGGCACAATGGACGAATATCGATGTTAAATATTATTAATATATTAATAATAATGAAACATAACTCGCTCGTCTCTCACTCGCTCTGTCAGTTGTTATAATTATTATTATAAGGAATTAATGTATTATGATAGTGTCTGCGCTCTGCTCTTCTCTGGTCCATATGCGCGTACGGCCGCTTGTGTCGTCGTCCCAAGTGTATAACACTAGGAGTAGGTTTGTCGCGTGTTTAGTGTGCATACGCCCACACGCTAGACAAACGCGATTATTTGAAACCGATTGAAATGCATAGGAAAAAAATGTGTTTAATTCGTATGTGTTTAATATGATAAAATATTTTTACTTATTTATTTAATGATTTTGTTTTTTGATTTGTGCGCAGGCGTATCTCATCTACAATGATCACCAGCGGTCTCGTGGTGGACGGCGTCGGCCATGGGCTGCCCACCCATCTGCCGTACAACCACCATCATCCCGTCGTACACAGCCGCATGTCGTACATGGAACAGTCCTACATGAAAGCGGTACCGGCGCCGTCGCCGCAGTCGTCCGAACCGGTGTCCGCCACGCCGGAGTTCCTGAGGCCTTTGCCGAAACCGGCGCCGGTCAATCCGCTGAAAGCCCCGCGGGCGTCCAAATACCCGCCGCCGCCGCAGCCGCCGACCGAAAACGCCTGCCGCCCCGTCAACCTGACGCAGGCCAAAGAACCGCCGCCGCCGCCGGAACACCTGAGGCTGGACGACCGGCATCACCCGTACACCATGTACGGGCACCCGCGGTTGTACGTGAGCGCGTCTCCGTACCACCCGTACCCGATGCCGGCGCCGTACGGCGTGTACACCAGCCCGTACGCGCCCGTCTTGCCCAGGGACGCGCGGCACCTGATGCAACCGCCGCAGGAACGCCGGTACCCGAGCCCGCCGACCAAGAGCACCGCCCGAACCAGCCCGTCGTCGTCGTCGTCGCCGCCCGAACAGTTCAAGGTGCCCAACGGCAGGGTGGACAACAAGCAGACGACGGCCCAGCAAAGAATACTCCAACCGCCGCACCCGGTGTCCGCCCCGGCGGCGGCCGCCGAACCGCCGGTGAAAAGACCGCGGACAACGCCCGAACCGCCGTCGCCGCCCGCCAAGACGTCAAACTTTACCAAAGGCTCGCTCATCCGTTTGGCCAACGGCAACATCAAGAAGGTGGAAGACATGAGGACCGAAGACTTCCTGAGTTCCGTCGAGAACAGCGACCAGCACCGGATCGATCCCAGCACGGTGGTGAGAATCGAACCGGTGACGGACGCCAAAGAGAACGTCATAAGGATCACGCTCAGCTACGGCGACCAAAGAAATCAGGTAAGAACGCATTTTTTTTTGTTTGTTTGCTGTCGGGCATTATTAAAGATAAAAAGCGACCGCGTCCGAGTGTGTGTGTGTGTGTGTGTGTTAAGCACCTGAAATAAATAAATAAATAACAATAATGCCCGATGTATAATCTCCCCGCGCACGGCGGATGGATTGGACGTGTAAACGCGCCGCGGACATAGAGAAAGAGCCATTAGCGCGCGGTTTAACGAACTACCCGTGGCTGGTCGTTGAATATACTACCGTAGTATGTGTATAATAAACTTCTGGAATGTGACCAACACACGGCGATAGGAGTTTATATTATATATTTCTTTATTTTTTTACCGGCTTGGGCGGGTGCCCGAGGGGACGAGAGGCGGCGGCGGCGGCGGCCGATGGACGTGAAATCCGCGACCTTGGGCGTAGTCCGTCGGCGCGGCCGCGGAACGAAGAGAGTAGTGTATAGTAGTATAATATATAGGTAGTAAGTGTATAGTAGGTAGTAACGCGTATAGTATACAACGGAGTAGTATTTTATAGTATAGTGTTGTAGTAGCGAGTGACATTGTTGTGTTCCGGACTGGTTTTGTGGTGGTGGGTAAAAACCCGGAGCTTGCGGAGGCGGCCATATTTGAGTGGCACGAGTTGTCCATGTGTGTGTGTGCGGCGCACGCGCTCGTTGGAAATTCTTCGGACCGTCCACGAGCTGTTACAAACGACGCTGTTTGTGCGTATGTATTTGCAATAACAATAATGTGTATTGTCGAGAACAGAAAAAAAATAAAATATTCGACGGTTATTTTTTTATTCGCCATGTCCGGTCGAAGACTTGCGAAACGTAGTGTGTGTGCGCGCGCGAGATGAATGAACGCCTTGTGACATAACAGCGGCAGTTGTCCCAGATAGAATATATTATAAGAATAATAATAGTGCACAATATTATTATTGTGTGGCCGTAAAGAAAACAATAACGGAAAAACCGAGCATAAGGATTTTTGGCTTGCCGCCGCGCAATAGACAATTCGGTTGTCAAATGTGCAGCAGCAATAATTACATATATTGTCGTACACAATATTGTGCATTGCGCCGCGCGCGTTTTTCTAGTATAAACCAACACGAATTTCACTTGTTAACATAATATTATATAGTAATATTATATGACATGTAAGGTTGGCGGCGGGCAGACTCCATTGCCGCCGCAATGTTTGCAAAATGTCTACCGCAACAGTACCTCGGTCGCGCGTGTCACGAACCATAATTATTATTATTTATATTGGAACAGTTTTTTTTAAAAACTTTTTTGACAGTCTGTAAAGGCGCGCGCGTTAAAAAAAAGAAGCGATTTATTCATATTTGATAAAAAAAAACAAGTGCGTTCAAAAATAGTAGTTTTTTTTTTTTTTGCTATACCTACCTGTTCAAGCTAGGCCATTTCTCGTTTTCAATGTCAAATCCATTCATGAATAGAACAATTAATAACAATACTTCTTGTGTTTGAGAAAGCACCGAAAGACCACAACATCCTTGGTGATGGTTTTTTTTTTTTATAATATTATTATTGTCGACAATATTGCATAATAATAATAATTACTATCGCCTTTCGACGGTTAGGTGTACACACACACACACAATTCACAGCCCCTGCATAGTTTTCACTAGTTCTCGTTAGGTATGTGTGTTTGCACAGCAGCAGCTTGTATGCGCTTATTTTCGTTTGGCAATCAACCCGCACCCATTTTTTTTATTCGATATTAAATATTCGTTGACAACAAATGGCGAATGCACGTGCCAAACAACGGCATTTACTAAAAAAAAATCTGTCGGTTTTTCAATCATAAAAATAATCGAGCTTTCCCCTTTGTAAGTACAAACAGTTGTCCAAGTTTGTTGCAAGGTTAACCTTTTTTCTTCTTCCCATACTAGGACTTTTTTTTTACCGGTAACGCGTTTATATGCTTTCCCCGCTGCCTTGTTTGGTGTCCAAGTTGATTGTTTCTGTTTTTGTGCTCGTTTTACTGGTTTTTATTATCGCTTGGACGCTTTTTTTCCCCGTTTTTACAATTTTTGTTCTCTCGATAATAGTATTATGTGTTATGCAATAGCCGGTTTTCGTCGACCTTACAATATTATCATGATAATCATTTTTTAATTATCTAATATAACATTGCGGTGACGACGGCGATGATGTTTTTTTATTAATTATATTACACGTTCGGTGTGCTTTTCGCCATTAGCGTTTTTATGTACGACTATTATTATTGTTGTTACAAACAAAAACAACGTGTAATAGGTCGCGGCTGCGGTGGAATGCGTGCGGGGCGTGTGCGCGGTAGTCGGCGGCGCGGCGGCGGCGGTCCGTGTCATTAACGAAAACGCATAAATTTCATTCAACAATATCCCAATTATATTCGGCCGACCGTCGCGTCGTTTTGCAACGCTCGACCGACGCCGCCGCCGCCGCCGTTACACACCGGTTACACGCACGACGTACCGGTACGCGGAGTATATGTTATTATAAAAGCACACATACTTACGGGCGGCGCTTCAGCCTCTCCTTACGGTGCTCGTCAACCCCTTTCGCATCGCCGCCGTGTAGTTATGATATATATTTTATTATCGTTTTTCCTTTATTATATTGCCATAATAATACTACGCTGCCGACTATACCTCCGTGTATAATTTTTTTTTGCCTCCTCGCCCGATAGAAAACTGGTTCGGACGATGCCCATGAAAGGTATAACTACTACACGGCGGTGTGCTCTGCGGGAACAGATACACGGGAGGCGGCGGCGGCGGTATGGAAGAGGAACAAAAGTGGATGTCAAACGAACCGCGCGCGTATCACCCCGTGCGGCGGCGGCGGCGGCGGCCGTGGACGCATTGTGGAGGTGGAGAGAGAGAGGCGAAGCAAACGCGCGCGTGACTTTTATTTTTATTTTTTTTTTTCCCGTCTGAAGGTCGGAATGCAGACATCGATTGGAAATGCTAATATATCAGCTCTCCGCCGCCGACGTTCCTACCCCACGTTCGGGCGGGACGTGTAACGATATTGTTGTGTGTGCGAGCGAGCGTGTAACAACACCGCGAGTAGGTGCACCCGACAACGCGCATGCACCGGACGACGCAAGTTCGGGCGGCCGTTTTTCTCTCTCTCTCTCTCTCTCTCTCTCTCGGGGTCGGTCGACCGCGCTCTTCAATGAACATAAAAGCCGTTCGCGCGTACGTGTAATGGAAAGCTTGCCGGGACGAGCGGGGAGGGGCGGGGGAATCGATAATGCGCGGCTGCGGCAACCGACTGCGAGACGACATCGGCGCAATGGTCGGGTACGCGGGCGGGCGGGTTGGTTTTTCGGTTTGTCGTTCGCCGCTTTTTACTCCGCCGAGTCCAGAAGTGCGGCAGATTTCATTTTACTAGCGGCGAAAACGTGCAACGTTTACCCACCAAAAGTCCGTCCGTACACGACGCGCGCAAGCGCGCGCCTCGCTCGGTTGGTTTTCAAAACGAGGTCAATGGAGAAAAGAAGCGATCAAAGGCGGCACACGAAGGGATGCGCGCGCACGCGGCATTGCTGCGCTGGAGAGCTTATGAATCGTGCGGGGGTGTTCATTCATATAATAACGAATGCGCGGGGCTAGATCGACTTGTGTGCGGCGTTGGCGGTCGCTCAATGGCAAACTTCCCTGCGCTTACCGCCGCCGGTCGCCGTGGGGTATATTATTAGTTGAACCATTCTAGATGGACGCGGTCTCCACGTTTTGCCGTACGCTCTCGTTTGGTTTACACAGCACAATACACCTGTACGACTTCGATCGGTATCAGCTAATAATATAGAAGAAACACCCGGCGGCGGCGTTTGCATAGAACACGAACGTAGCTGCTGCTACCGTGTGCGTGTATGTGCCTACGACGTAAATAAAGATTCCCGTGCGTTCACCTTTTTTTTGTTTTCACTAACAATCCCCGTATGTATGTATGTATGTATGTATGTATGTATGTATGTATGTATGTATGTATGTATGTATGTATGTGTGTGTGTGGGTACTACATACAACAATACGCAAGAGAATGACACACACAGTCATTGACGGACAACGCCGTTGGCGGCTCGTACGCGCGTCGTCCGGCCTTCGATTGTAATAATAACTAATATGTACTATTGTTGTAATATTGTGTGCGTTTCCAATCGTCGATATCACCATTGATGTGTGTGTGTGTGTGTGTGTTACACATTGCTTAACAAAAAAAATAGTACTTGGAGAGATTTTCCAACACTTGGATACACCCGTAAAAAAAAAAAGATCACAATGCACATCGGCTAATAAAATTACACCTGGACGTTAACAATAATGTCTATTAATAATTTCGGATAATCCGTTTAATATTTTTAATAATAATATAATATGAGATAGATTTCGTTTGAAATATCATCGGTCTTCGGAGGGGAATCCCAAGAAAAGGAACAGTCGTTAAAAAAAACATGTGCAACATGTGCAAAATTATAATAATATTAATTTAGTAATAAATTTCTCTGTAGAAAAACAGAAGCTTAGCTCGCCGCTCAAGACGTGCGGTACGCAATTAGTATATAATATTAAGTGTTTTTTTTTTTCATACAATTATTATTATATTTAGAGATAAAAATAATAATTCCGAAAACAAACGGCGGGCGAAAAAATGACATTACAATATAATATTATAAAATATGACTGTGATAAGGAGACTACTATATTATTATTATTGATAATAATTACATTACACAGACAACACGACCAACAGGATGGTTTATTCGGTCTGATGACCTCGGTCGTTTCTGCGTAATCGGTCGTCGGCCATTCATAAAAACAATTAAATAATATTACCATAAAAATTGCTTTGAAAACTATTTTGCTCGTCAAATTAAAAAAAAAAACGTTCAACGGCGTAATTTTCTTCATTACAATTGCAATAATATTATTATTATATTGTACCCCACACTCACAGAAAATAGGCTTATACAATTAGGGATAACGTTTAAAATATTTGTGTTGCCAATAAAAACAATTTTAAATTTACCAGTAACGTTATAAAAAAAATAAAAATATTAATCCATGGTATTATTAGTATTAGTATAAAACGATTGCACAACACAATTCTTGTACACGTTACCCAACACACTATAATAATATCTGGTATTATTATTAATATTGTTATTATTATTGTTAATGGTATATTATGTTACTATAGACTTGTCCATAGTAAGCCGACAGATGTTGTTAAGTAATATAATATATATATATACAGATAAGCCGGGCCAGTCCGGACTTGCCGACGTTTGTCCAAGTTTTTTTATTTTCCTCATAAATAAAATAATTAAATTTTTTTTTATCCAATAAAATGTATACATTGTTTTTTTTTTATTATTATTATCATCGTTTCGGCGAAAATCAAACCGAACCGAGTTCGTAGTAAATATTGCATAGTGTAATATTATATTATTATGATTTATGTATATGTATATATTATTACATTGGACTGATATTATGCGTTTGGTTTGCGAGCAATCGACCGGTGGCAAATAGGTCAGCAGAGATGTACACATGTATAATAGGTAATATAGTTACCAAAAAAAAAAAAGTCGAATGATATTAAATTTTTTTCAATAATTAAACAAACTGTCGTCGAAAAATAACCTCTGCCCAGTATAATAATAATAATGTATTATTGCCGTTTGAGTAAACAATGCTATAATCGTTTTTCGATTGGTTAAATGATTTACAACCTACGTTTTGCTGCTGCTGTGTTAATAATAATAGAGCGCTGTCCATTTTTTTTTTTTAAATTAAATTTGTTTTGTTTTCCCTCCCACAAATACCACTCGAACCGATTGAAATATGTAATTAAGTGGCGGTGTAACTGACAGCGCGACAACAATAATTAACCAGTTATGTCGCTTGAAAATTAATAACTGCTCGTAGCACAAATATTATTGTCAAGCCGTTGTTAATATTAGAATATTTATTTAATTTTGTTTTTAATTGAAAATTGACATTATAATATATTCTTAAGTTTGGGAATTAGCGGATAACAATATTATGATACGGATACGTCCACGTTTCATTATATTATATTTAACACCAGTAAAACCCAAACGTACGTTTATTATAGACGTGTAACCGACGTGCAGCAATAATAGTAAAATACATTTATATATATATATATATTATAATGAGGGGCGCGGACAACGGCGGCGTGTTTTGCCGGCCGGGCGAGGCCGCCGCGTTCATACACGTTCTTCCGACATGCGTTGGCCGCCTAAACGTTATGATAATATAACAATAATATTAATATTGATAATAATATAGACGTATGCGTACGTGTACGTGTGTGTACAGTGTACACGGACTGCCGGTCGACGGTGCACAAGGCGCAGCGTGTAAACTGTAAAGCACACGCGCGCGCGTCGCCGGCTGGCGGGCGAAGACGGCGGCGGTCCGTTTGGCCGTCGGTGGGGGAATTTCGTCCTTGAGGCGAAGCAGGGTCATTACTATGTAGGCTAACGTAGCCGTTGTAGTAGGATTTTATATCAACGTGTCCTCCTCTCTCTCTCTTTCTCTCACCTGCCGACGACGTTGTCCCGCGCGCGCCGCCGCCGCCTTCATTTTTTACCTAACCCGGACGACGGCGTAACTCGGTTTATAATAATAATAAAAAAAAAAAAACAACGAAGTAATCCTATTCTCCGCGCGTACATGCTCTTCTTCGGCGTTTCCCTCCCGCCGTCCACGGCCGTGGCCCCGAGGATGGAGGCGGCGGCGGCGGTGGTGGGTTTGTTGACCTGTTGCACTCTCGACGACCACGCTGACCGCCGCCGCCGCCGCCGTCGCTGCCGCCTCATCTTCGGTCGGGTCGTCCCGCAACCCGTCTTCTCGTTGTTGTTGTTGCTGTCGTTGCCAAAACCCAAAAATCCTGTTCCGAAAGCTGGCCTTGTTAGAGGACGAACGATGGGCGTCCGGCGGCGCCGAACCCATTAGTTTCCGTTCGCACGTAGTAATCCCCGTCAGATAAACAACGCCAACGTACGACGGCGGCAGTGATTTATATGTATTTGTTATAATATAGTTTACGTACGTACTACGCGGCGGTGTTGTCGAAAGAATTAATAATTATTATTGTTATTGTTACAATATATAGTGATTGACCGACCGCGTTTAACGACATACACGCACACCGTCGTTGTTGTTGTTGTTCCAGCAGTATTTTATCTGTACGTTTATCCCCTCGCCCTTTGCTCGGCATCGTTGCGTGTCGCGTTATAAAAAGACGTGGGAGTGCCGGCATTGTTTCCGCCACATTTGTATACATAATATATAATAATAAAAATAATGGTGTAAAATATATTATACGCACACGCTCTCCGGGCGCACGCGTTTTGTATAGTACAATAACGGACACGGATTTGAATTGATAATTCGCATTCGGACGTGCGTTCGCTTTTTGAAAAACAATAGAATGTAGCGACGTGTAGAAAAAAAAAACTAAATGTTTAATTTGTTTTTGTTGTGTGTAGGTCGGCGCGGACGCCAAGAGGACGTCGGCGGCGTGCAAGTCGCACCAGGTGGAGATGGAGAGCGGCGCGGAACATCCGTATTTCGTGTTCGGCCGGGGTTGGGCGTCGTGGAGCCCGGCCAAGACGTTGGCCAGGTACGGTCTGACGTGTCAGCGGTTGCAGGTGGGCGACGTGTGCGTTTCGCTAACGAAACGTACGGCGGCTGCGGCGGTGACCGAAGCTACGGTCACCGTCAACGCCGCGGTGCACGGCAAAAGACGGTCGCAATTACAGGTGACCGCCGTACAGCAGCAGCAGCAGCAGCAGCAGCCGCAGCATCACCATCATCATCATCACCATCAACCGCAGCCGCAGCCGCCGCCGCCGCCGCAAGCCGACGACGACAAGACCAGCGCAGGCCGGAACAAGAGGCGGTGGTCGGCGCCGGACCCGGAACCCGCTACTTAAGAAAATTAAACGAAATTCCGCGTTTGTGTTATTATTATTATTTTATTTCGACTTTCTCGACGAACGTCCCCGAGCGAAATTCATGTCAAAAATCCTCTAGTCCGTCGTGCATTTCCATTAATTTTTCATTAATAACAATTATAAAACGTTTGGATACGTTTTTTTTTTGCTTTCCATTTAGCGCCCAATAAACAACCGACAGCCGTCGAACGTATAAGACCTCTAAAAAACGTTTAAAACGTAGTCGGCCGTTGTTGCAAGCGAACATTGTGTGTGTGTCATTTAATTTTTTTTCAAAATAATTTATTATATAATAATGTCGTCTGCGGCGACGAACATTGGGGAACGTCTTACATGTAGGGCTAGAGGATTGAAGAACAATACATGCAAATTTATTGTTATCTCGTGGGGTTAAGAAGGAACAGAAAACAAAAAAAAATAATCTTATAGTGTTTCGTACTACTATTTGCAGTGCCAAATTAAAGAAAATAATAATATCTATGTATTATTATCAAACGTTAAAAAAATAATATATAATATATTAAAATATAAAACTCTGCTTACCGACGATTTATGTAAAATCAGAACTTTCGTCGTTGGCTACTCTCTCTCTCTCTCTATATATATATATATATATATTCTTTTTATATACCTAAAAACTATTATAAAACTGTTATGTGTGAAAATGAGATATATACCTATTTTTATCGTCGTTATTTTTGTTAAAAATTTCAACATTTAAGTACGTGTTATACATATAATAATATATACTATTTAAAATTTAAAAAGAAATTCGTGTAAAAAATCGTATGTAAAAATCTATATATTTTTTCAAAAATAGTCCATTCAAATAATATCAATCCCTATATTAATATTATATTATTAATAATATGCGTGTAAATATGTCTAAAAAAAAAAAAAAAACGTAAATGCCATACAGTAATGTGTTATTATTATTATTATTTATTATAAGTTTGTAAGTTCGCAGTATTTAAAAGAAAAAATTCTAAATTATTTATATACATTTTTTTTCTGGATTAAATGATCTCATCTCGCGTAATTGAACAAATTTTATGGACATTTTTTTTTTATTCTTATCTCTCAAAATTTAAAAATATTTTTTTACGCATGTGATATTTTAAAAATGAAGTGAAAATGACTTTTATTTTATGTATTAAAAATTATTATACTTTATTTAAAAAAAAAAAAAAATACCTAACATTTATATATACTATATACGAACGTTTGACTTTCAAGGCTATATAGTTAATATATATATTATATTTTTTACTATGATAGTTTATTTTCTCTTTTAATTATTATTTATAAATATATATTATATATATATATAGTGACTATTTTTGTTAACAATCTGATATGTTGAAGAGACTGACAAGTACATGATAATCGCGGTTTCATTAAACCTAATGATATAATTTTAATTTTTTCCTCCCGGGTCTTAAGACTGTAAATGTGAAATTCTATTTACCTCTCAACGATTAAAATATTATGATAATTATTTATTATTTATTTTTTGGCCCATGAACTTGTTCACGCCTCTAACGTTAATTTTTTTTTTCTGTGTGTGGACGATTCTCATTGAAAACGAAAAATAATGTTAAAGACTTGTATTTATTTTGTTATATAATTTTTTTTTTAATTTTAATATATATATTGTGAACATGGGCCATAGCAATAATTACTTTTGAGTTCACCAGTTATTATTATTATTTTTATTATTATTATTATTATAAATTATTATTATTTTTTACATTTTATCGGTTATTCTACCAACGTTTCTCTGGTTATTTTGATTATTTTACATGCATTCACACAAGTTGGTAGTATATATATATATATATATATATATATTTACCTAATAGATGTGAACTTTTAATTGTACTTATTGTGTTAAAAAAAAAAATATATATAATATTTTGTTGAGTCTATGTATAAACTATGCGTTGTTTTTTTCATCATACCCTATTGCATTGTGTATTGTATTATATTTGAGCTGGTATCAATGCTAAGAGTTATGTGTAACTTTTGTGAAAAATTGCCTAAAAGTAGCCCCTTAAAATGTAGTATTTGTGGGGGGCATCTCTTCAGTGAGTCATGGTTATCTATTGCACACAGTATCTGTTGAGTATTGTTATTATATTTCAATTTTGTTCGGGTGCCATTTTACGATTGAGTAAAATTCAAACGTGTTTAGTTTCATGTTTTTAAGCTGCACAATTTTTAAGGGGGCTTAAGTATTTTTTCGTCTTAATCAAAAGTGGAATTAATATATTATAAAGAGTCGATTTAAAACAAATTGACTAAAACAATGCCAAAAAAGTTGACGACGGTTTTTGAGCGAAAATCTTAATTATTATTGGAATAGCATTATTTTGTTTTGCTATTATATTATAATTGTGTATTATCCTTGTAAAATTCTTTTACTAATTGTTTTTTAATTTTAAGTTTACAATTTTCTATTACTCTAATTCGTCATTCACTGTTAAAACACATAAACTGTATAGGTACTAATGTCTTTGTAGGTTTCAATGAAAATGTATGTAATATTGCCTATACGGTTGTTTTACGGCGCAATGGTTTACTCTTGAACGTTTGAATAGCTGTTAGTCGATACAATATAAACATGGGCAAATTAATTTGTTAAAATGTTTACAGGGACTATTAAAGGCGATTGAAATTGTCATACGAATCACAGAAATGCAATACTCATGTGTATTTAACAGTTGGTTTTTTTATAATCATTTTTGTTATCAATAATGATCTAGTTTACATTGAAAAAAAATGTTCGATGCTTTTAAAGGTGAACATTTATTTTAGAAAAATGGAAAAATAAATTGAAATATTATATCACAATTTCTTAAAATTCAACGAAAAGTAAACAGGTAACACTCTAATAATTGGGGCTTGGGTAATTTTAAATAGGTAGGGAAGATATAGAGGCAACCCTGTAGCTTTTTTTATTTACCGACAATTTCAAATTGATACATTATACCGCTAACAATCTTTACGTGAAATTATAATTTTTACAACCATAAAAATATATTTGGTTTAATAATATAGGTACATTTTTTTTACATTAATGTTGCTAGGGTGACAAATATATACAATTACTTAGTCAGAATAACCAAGTAACTAGCAAACAAATTGTTGTCTATAAAATTACAAAAACAATTAATTTTGTTAAATAACATTGAACCAATTATTTATTTTAAGTCAACTCATTTGTGGACTATGCTGTCTTAGCTACATACACTTCAAACCGTATCGCTTTCGTTAGTCATAAAACTTATATTCATTTGTTTTTATTCGTTAATCAAAGACATTTTTCACAAAAGTTAAATTTCATAAGGTTGTATACAATTTTATTTTACTTAGGCAAAATTTACAATTAATCTATAGTTATGACTGTATAATTAGAAAAAAATCAATTGCTTGGTCAATAACAATGATTAATACAAACTTAAAGTAGCTCAAAAATAAAAAGACTAATAATAATTATAATATGATTTTACTATACAAAAACATAACTCAACATAAGGATATAATTCTGTTTGAATAATTACAAAATTATAAATATAATAATTACATAAGACGACCAATTTATTTTAATATATATTTACATAACAAAAAAAAATATTAGTACTATACTAGTACATAAGTATCGGTACAAAATGAACGATTTTTTTCCCATTTTCAGAGGGAATTGCAACGTGTATTTATTTTTCTCGTTGGTGTTAGGGAATTGAAGTCTTATCAAATACCATGAAAAATAATGAGAACTTCTTGTAGCACATTGTTGTAATATTTCCTCATTCCGTTTTCTTAACACGCTTCTGTTTTGGACTCTGAGCTTTTTGTTTGTCTAAATATTTAAAAATTTGAAATTTTATAATGTGACATACCAAAATTGCTGTTTAAAATTACATTTGAAATGTGAAAGTAACTTACTTAAATGGTTAATAACATTTTTGGGCACCCAGTCCATATCGATTTGTTTGCTACTTTTAGTTCCAGTCTCCAAATTAGCTCTTGCCCGATTCGGCAAACTTCCGCTACCACGTTTCTTGCCCACAGAGTACAAAAACTGTTGTCCGCCGACCAAAAGGAGAACACAAGCTGCAGCCATCAACACGTACAAGAATAGAGTTTCACCATCCAAACCTTCCTCGACTTCAATAATGTTGATAGTATCGTTGTATAATTTACTAATTATTTGCTTTCCTTCCTAAATATTAAAATTATACATTAAATATGAGGAAAAACAAAACAAAATAAAATATTAACTTACATAGTCTCTGTAAGCGAGATTGATGCTAAGTCCAAAAGGACGTCCAGCAAAAGCATCGGCCGGAATAAAAGCATATCCGAGCGTAGCTTGAGAACCAGGTGGTATGGTTTTTTCTAAAAGTATGGTGCTGAAATTTTGAATGTGGAAATTGAAATCCATCGGGTAGCGAAGAGAGGCGTCTAATGTTTCCAAGACTAAATCATTTGAACCTTTGTTGGTGAAGCCCACGAGGAATTCAGACAAACGACCAGCTGGCAATTCTAAAATTATACAAAATAAAATTTAGTCATTACTCATAAACAATAGGAATTACGACTCAAAAATAAAATACAATTTTTAGGATTTATCGTACAATTCAAAATAAAAATAATTTTAATAATACGAGCACTTTGAGTTTCAACATATTTGAATGCTAAACCTAACAGTTGAACTACTTTATAAACATTTTTGAAATGACCATATAACATTGTGGAAGCTGGGCATCCACTAGGTTGATGCGGCACGACGCAGTCTCTAAAAAAAATGTACGCAACATAATACATTACATTGAGAGCAGTGTGGCGCTACTTTATTATCGCACTGACCCAGCTCAAGTATTGAAATACTGCGCAGGCAAAATTACAAAGATAATGAATCCTTAGTAATAATATTAAATAATTGTAGATTTAAAAAAAAATGTATAGTATTTAAATGACGTATGGTATTGATTAGTTAAAAGGGACTATCATTATTTTTTCAATATTAACTTTAATATAAAAAATAACACTACCGCTATTGGCAATCTAATAGCGAAAACACAGTACGTTAAGGAAACTCTCTAATGTTGTTAGCGCTACCATGGTGGTGTGAACTTAGTTACAAAATACGTTTTATTTTTTTATCAAGGTATATTATAACATATTAACTGTATGCTGAAACCGTTGTCGGACTAATGCAGTCCTAGACCTATATGAACTTACCAATGCTTGCTTTTTCTTCGAATACGGGTCTCGTAAACAACAAGTACGTATCGGCGTCGGATTGCTCCAAGTCTTCGATAATCGTGTCATCGCTTTCCGTATCGGCCAGCACTTGATCTTCGCCGCTGACAGTCATTTCATCTTCCGTGTCGAGATCGTCTTCTGCTAGCCCCATACCTATTATTATCACAATAACAATGTGCAACATAATATTAGTACTATTCAGCGTCGAGTTAGAAAATTGGCACATTATTTTTACCAAACGTGTACGTACCCGAGGAGGCGATGAGCAGAGACACGCACAAAAACATCCATTTAAACTTCATGTTGAATAGGTTTTTCAGTTTTCACTAACGTAGACCGAACGTACAGCGACAGAAAGAGTGCACAGATTGAGCGTAACAGACACGTCTAACAGTACCGTCTCATCATTTCGCGTCCACACACGTCCAGTGGACTTAATGACGTTGCCGGCTGTATCTGAGGACGTGGAAAACGTCACAGGAACGATACCCGTTGAAACCGCAGGTTGGTAAACATAACTCGTGTTCGAAAACAAATAATTTTTACTGGTAATGGTAATTCGTACTACAATGATAATTATAGCTGTATTCGTTTAATTGTAAGTCTTGAGAAATTTAATTCGTATCGTAATAGGTTTTTTAGTTTTATTAAATTAAAAAAAAAAAATGTTTACCGTTTATCAACATTACAGCAGCGTACACGCTAGCCAACCTAAAATGGCGGCTTATTTAAAATCGCACTACAATAAGTAATAATTTATCTGTTTGAATACGACAGCGAAACATTGTAGCCAGTATAATAAAAGGTAACATAATTTACATTTAAAATTTACATATAAACAATTAATAGAGGTCGTTTAACATTTTCTGTCCTAATTTCATATTATTATATTCGCCATAACTACTATTGTGTACAGTGTAGTTAATCAATAGTAATATTAATATTTTTATATAATGAAAAAGAACCAATCCACCGTGAAATTCACCTTGAGATATACGTTTAAAAATTCACCAAACCAAATCTTATTTGGATAATTAATAAGCCCATCTATTCGTTTAACGAATTTTGTTAACATGCTTTTTACTTGTGTAAAATATCTAACTTTTTCAATTAACAATAATACTATTACCGTCCGAGTGACTATTTGGTGATAAATATTAAAATAACTGGGTGGCGGGTGTGAGCAAAAAAAACAACTGATATTTGTATGTAGGCCACGAAGTCAAAAGGATCACGTAGGTCACGCGAATATTTTTATCAGATAATATATTGTGTGGAACAATAATATGATTGTTCATTGTCCGTATACAACACTTATCAGATGAAGTATACTAAGTGTATAGTAAGAATATTCTACATGACTATAGACAAATTATTTCAACAATACTATTTTTCACATATAAAATGCTATATCTATGCAAAATTATATCATACTATTATGATATTTCGCAATATCCAATATTGTAATAAAACATGATAAATCAGATATAACGCTATAAAATCGACGTCCACAATGATGAACGATATTTTACAGTTTAAAATGTTCAAAACCGTCGCAGTCGGTTTGTTGATAATTTCATCAAACGTTCTATCGAGCGGATACAAATTTCCTGATGGATTTATGTTTGGGGCGTCTACGGCTGCTTATCAAATAGAAGGCGGATGGAACGAAGACGGTAATAATAATCACAGATACATATTACAACTAGATAGCCGACTAAGAAATAATGTTGAAGCCAGGTAAATGGCCGACTTTTCTTATCAAAGAGCCCATTGTTTACATTATGAGTAATGATAATGAAGTGTTTCATTATAAATTATCATAGTAAAATTAGTTTTAAGAAATTTTAATTCAGTACATTTGACTTACTATGATGATATAATAGGTAGGTTCTTAATGTACAAAACTCATAAAAGTTTCGCTCGTGCATATGTACCAAAGTTTTTACTTCTGAATAACTTTTTTTTTTTTAACTATAATATTAAAAATTAAAAGAAAAACTTTTATTTATTTAACGATTAAAAATACAATTTGAAATAACTAACATAACAATAGAAACTTTGGTAATTAAAACATATGAACATTACAAATGATGTATTTTAAGTATAATAAATTGAAATCGCTAACATTAAAATATAAAATGTATGAATGAATTATCGCCTTCCGATATCCAAATTTCAATTTCCAATACGTTATTTCAATTTTATACACTAGAAATATGTAAACAAGAGGCTCTTTGATAAGAAAAGTCGGCTATTTTCCCGACTTCAATGTTCGATCCTGTTATTATAGGAAGTCGGCTATTATATTATTAACGTTCGACCAGTTTACCGAAACACAAATCGAACAAAATATTTCCCAATATCAACGATAGTTTTTGTTTCATAGGAAAGGGTGAAAATATTTGGGATCGTATGACTCGTTCACGTCCAGAATTGATCAGCGACCGTTCGAACGGCGATGTTGCTTGCGATTCTTACCATAAGTACAAAGAAGACGTGGCTCTCGCAAAGGATTTAAACGTGAGCGATAATCCTTAAACCACCGGTGTAACCCAAAATTGTATTGTTCTCCATACGACATTAAAATTAAAAAAAAAAAAAAAACATTACAGTTAAAATGTTACCGTTTTTCCATATCGTGGTCTCGCATTGCGCCGAGCGGAGAAGTGCACAAATTAAACCCACTAGGAATTGCCTATTACAATCGGCTTATCGACGAACTTATCGCTAACGACATTGTTCCGCTGGTAAAAGTCCATTCTGGTTTTTTTTTTTTTAAATGATTTGATAAAGTAAATATATTTCGATTGTACAAAATATGTTTATGTTATTAAATCTCCCGACAGGTTACGATGTACCATTGGGATATTCCTCAGTACCTTCAAGATTTGGGCGGCTGGGTCAATCCAATTATGTCGGATTATTTTAAAGAGTATGCTCGAGTGCTGTTCTCGCACTTCGGCGACAGGGTAAGCATATTGTATGGAATTTGAAGTTTATTCAATTATGTATTATTTGTTTTATATGTATTTAAGGTGAAATGGTGGATTACGATTAACGAGCCCAAGGAAACGTGCAAAGGGTATTCGTTTAACGGTTACGCGCCTTATTTGCATTTGAACCAGACCGGTTATTATATGGCTGGCCATACGCAGCTCATAGCTCACAGTAAAGTTTACCACTTGTACAACGACGAATTTAGAGCCAAACAACAAGGTTCAAACCGCACAACACACACACGAATAGTAAATCCAAAGTCAAATAATAATATTTATGTTTCCCGTTAATTTAAAGGTAAGGTCAGTTTGTCAGTCAATGGATTTTTCTACGTACCCAAAGACGAACAATCTCAAGACGATGTAGACACTGCCGAACGGGCCAATCAATTTGAGGTACTTCATCGAACGATAATTATAATTATATTGTTTTTTAATATTGCGTTTTATTATCAAGAGGGGATGGTTTAGTCATCCTGTATATAAGGGCGATTATCCGCCAGTGATGAGGCAATGGGTAGACAAAAAGAGCAAACAAGAAGGTCGACCGTGGTCCACATTACCGACATTTACAAAAAAAGAAATCGAACTCCTTAACGGTATAATAACGGATTTTTTAAATTTATATAATTAAAAAGAAAACATTGTCATAAGTACTTTGCAATTTTTTAATCGGTTTTAATATAATCAACAATAAGTTAAATCCTTATGTTGGTGAAATCGGCTGACAATATTTTACGCATAAAAAAAATGTAATAATGGAATAATGGTAAAACATAGCTGTTATAATTATTGATGTGTTAACAACCATTGTGTAGGTACGGCCGATTTTTACGCTCTCAACTATTACTCGACTCGTATGGTAAAGCACGGTTCAGATGCAGATGTCAATTATAATCCGGACGCCGAGTTCGAGACTTATGTGGACAAATCTTGGCCAGTGTCGTTGGCACCGTGGATTATAGTAATACATATAGTTACAGTTGACAAAAAATTATTATACATATGAGTTTACTATATGAATGTTTTTTATTAAATTTTTTCCAGGCTGTACCGGAAGGCTTTAAAAGACTTCTGGTTTGGATAAAAAACGAGTACGGCAACCCGCCCGTTATAATTACGGAAAACGGTTTTGGCGACAACGGCACGCTAAACGATTTCGAAAGAATTAGCTACATCAAAGTGAGTTTGAATTGAAAAAAAAAACAACTTTGAACTTTAAGAAAGATGTTGTGGATCTTTTTTAGAGTCATCTTAGCGCCGCTTTGCGGGCAATACACGAAGACGAATGCAACGTCTTTGGCTACACGGTTTGGTCGCTGTTAGACGATTTCGAGTGGATGAACGGTTACGTGTAAGTACACAAAATGACATACCATGTCAACCCCTAGTACCCACTTGAGTTAGACATTGTTGTTGTTATAATTTCACATAATTTCAAATGTTTTTCAGGTACCGCTTTGGACTTGTCAGTGTAGATTTCAATAATCCGCAAAGGCCTCGTACTCTTAAAGCGTCGTATGGATTTTTCAAGAAAGTCGTTGCCACGTACGGATTAGACGACTCGTCGTCCACAACACATTCTCTAAAATTATGGCTGAATATTTTTTTTTGTTTAATCACCATGTACTCAATATATATATTTTATATTTTACCAAGATAATTGAAATTATAATTCGGTAAAAAATGTATATATTTTTTTTTATGCAGTTTGCAAAGACATTTTTCCTTGTTTTGTCCACCGCGGTTCAATTCCCGGCCGTGAATTTAAACTTTTTGTATTTTTTTTACCGGTTACTGTCGAATAATTATTATAAACTAAAAATATGATTTCTTCGATTACATGACGTTTATTTAGGCAGATAGCACAAGATAATAAAACATTATTCTTGTTCCTTTATCATGCTAATGACGGCGACATTGCAACCCGGAAAATAAAAGGTAATATAATAATTTACATAGATATTATGTAACTTTTACACATGTGTACAGTATAGTAAATAGTTGATCATTGGCAATAATAATAATAATATGAATTATTTTATGCTACAATCCACCATGAAATTTACAATTATTTATGCGTTTAAATTTTAAAACTGCAACAAACCATATTTTGTTCGCACGTGAAAAATGTCTCGGGAGATACGCTTTTTAAACTGAGTTAAACTACTCAGACAAATATTAAGTATCAATATCTTATTACTTATAATCAAGTTTTACTTAAAAATATTACCAATACACGATAAACGGGTGGACGGTGGTGTGAAGTCAGATTATGGGTTTCATAGTGTGTATACTGTATATATATATAATAAATATATATATTTATACGACTCTAAAAATGTTGATTTCATGTATATATGCATGCTCTTAGCATAGGGTAATTTAAAATATTGTTATTAATCAGGATAGTACTACATTTATACTAGTAGAGAAGTTTTCCTGTTTAAGCGAAAATATAGTTTAGTTATTCGCATTTAAATAATAAAATTAAGATTTATAGAACTACTATTATAATAACATTATGTAGGTACTAACCAATATATACGTAGCTAGGTATATGTCAAGATGAAGGTATAGATTGTGTAATAATTATAGTTAAGAAATCGTAATAAATAAATAAAAAAAAAAACAATTGTCAACTTTATTTATGAAATAACACGAAAATTCAAGAAAACTCAGTTAGACATTCAAATAAATTATGACTAATCCAAATGCTATAATTGAGTTTCCGTGTCAACACGATGTGTATGTACAGTTTTCAATGGCACGGCAGCAATATAATAATAATAATAAATTAAAATTCCTTATACAATAAAATATTCTAAAGACGATCTCGGTTGATCTTGGCTGATGACATCCATCAATAGTCGAAATAACTGCGAAAAAACAAAATTGTTTTATATAAGTTTATAATTAATTAGTACTTATGAAACGCTATTTAAAAACAACATATTTATTTAAAGTGGGGCTTATATGTTTATCCACTTTAGCTAATTACTAATATCTCAATACGGGTATACCTACTATTTTTTGAAAACAATGAAACAATAATTGTATTCTACTGTAAATAAATGCTCTAATGTTAGTTTAGTATTCCCTGTTTCGATACAATGTACTTTGAACAAACATGGAAAATTAAAATGTACTCAAGGCTAAGTTTAAAATTATTTTAAGAGAGCGGGGTAATTTAAATAATTACACACTTATTGAACATCCATTTACTATGATTAAAAAACACACGTGGAACTATAAGAATTAAAAGGATATAATATATTTCCTTGTATTTCCACGTGTGTTTAATTGGTGGGCAATTAATTAAAATTTGTTTTGTTAGCCATACCGCCAATTTATTATAGAGTAAAGCATAGGCAATTTTTTAACAACAGTTGACAGACATTTAACGTGGCAAAGGGAAAACTTTATTTGTATTTAGTACCTATATTTAGTTTTCGATTTTTACAGCCTTTTTGGATACCTATTTGTATTTTTTTGCATTAACAAATTTCTGTACTTATTTATATCAATAAACGAAATTAAATATCAATACTCAATAGAGTTTGTGGCTTGTGCATATTTTACACAGGTGGCTTAAGATTTCATTGTTATTTGTTATGAATCAATTTATAGACATTGAACGATAGTTATATGTATTTTATGTAATGCACATGTATTTTGTTTATTTATATCAACAGTCAATAATCAACGGCAAACCATTTTTATGGGGTAGGTTTTGGTGATGTGCCCTGGGGGTTTGGGATTGTAACTCGGGGTCGGGTTTTAATGTTTCTAAGGCCTAAACTGTCCCTTAAATACCGCCTCGAGTGTGTGTAATTTCGCAGTCTAATAAAAGTATATTATATATTGTGAACGGTGTTTTTAGTTTCAGGTTTTGTTAGATTATGGTCATGTTGGTCATGTTTAAATATCTTTAAACAATTTTTCTTATGTTTTGAATTCGATTTTTGCAATTAAATTTTTTCTAAATAATAAGTATAAAACTCACTCTCGTTCCCTGCTGCGGCCTGATTGGCTACCAGATTGGGCCGAACTAGACGAAAAACTGGCTTGGATCGGTCCGAACCCGAAGCTAGCCGACTGGCTTTGAGCCTGGCTCTGGCTATTTCCTCCGCCGTGTCCGCCAGCGAAGCTACCGGCCGATGCAAAACTGCCAGCGCTGCCGCCACCGTGTTGGTATTCGGGTCGGTGGTATTCGGGTTTGTAATGGGGCTTGTGATGGTGATGGTGCGAAAATTTACGTGATTCGTCACCGTAATCGCTGAAGCCGCCCGCCGTTAAAAGGCCGAAAATAGGACTGGCTGATCGGGCTGGCCTGACCACAGCGGAAGACGGATCCATCACTTCGATTGCTGCCACCGCTGGCTCGCCATCAGTCCGAACTACTTGAGCGGCCACAAAGTGGCCATTTTCTATGAAAAAAAAAATCATTAAACATATTTATTTAAAGGTGTGTAATGTGAATAAACAACAATTATTGAGAAATATTAATATTTTCTAAAAGTTTATTTTCATGTTTGGACGCGACAAACAATATTATAAGTATAACATATTTTCAAAAACAAAAACGGTAATTGTTAAATTTGAGTAAAAAAAAAAATGACCTTCTAAAAATCAAAATAAAAATATTAAAATTCTTTTTTTTTTTAATTCAGAAAAAAACCAGCATTTTTGTTTAAAAAGATTTATACCTGCCGGATGTGCTTCGACGGCGATAGGAACAGGTATGGCCCGGACAAACGCGGTAGCTGCGACGAACACTAGGCAGAGCTGGCACACAAACATTTTCTGACCGTCAGACATGGTTTTGACAAGTTTTATTGCTTGTAAGTCTCCTAGCGCAGTGTAGCTAGACTTATGGAACAACAAGGTGCCGATTGAATGCGAGTCACTGTATCACGAGAGCTCGGGGCTCGCGTTTTTATAACCTTTCCCACCAGAGTTTATTACGCTTGTTTCCGATACCCATCCAAGGTAACTGCCATGAACTTCACGGTGCTAGAATATTTGCGAACCGGTCGTCACGGGTTATTAAGACGTTCCATGCCAATTTTCCTGATTAATAATCGTTTTTAATGTTTTTATTTTCAAAGATTTTATTAATCGCTGTGTACATCGCAGTCGATTGAAATAATTATTTATAATATAAATTTACTAGTCCTACATACAGGGTGATCATTTTATCGTGAACCGCCCAATAACTCATACAGGGTATAATAAGAAGTTCAATTTTTTTTTTCCTATAGTGTTTTTATACAATGTGATCCCAATCATTTTTTTTTTTTTTGTTGTTATCCACCTCCCAAATAAATTATTTTTATAAAACTTTCGAATTGAACTTTTTATTAACTTTTGAAACTTAAACGGCAACGTATATATTTTATTAACTTTTAAAATTGTAAACGTCGTAATAACTATTTTTAAAGTTATAAGAGTTTAAAAGTTAAGACTGAGCGCAGATAAATATACATTTAATACTACACTCCGCCTTTCCTTCTGCTCTACACTTTAAACTTCATTAACTTCAAAAATAGTTATCCAAAAATGGTTATCGACTGGTCGAAATATATTTAGTATATTATTCTCAGTTTAAAAAGTAATTGAAACGTATGTTTTTTTCTTTGTTAAAATAAGCACTGTAGCAAGGGTCATGTTTGACTATTATTTGTCGATTTTGGCGTTTAAATTTCATGTGATTAGCGAGTTTATTTTTAGACTTTTACCTAATTAACGGGGTGAATAAAACTTGGAAGAAACATATCTCCACGTGTTAGACATTTAGATAATTGTAGGATGTAAGAGAATTAATGCTCTGTTACACTTACAAAGTGGCGCTATACCTACCGTATTAAATATTTTCTTTTGTAATATTTGTATAGTACGAAAAGTAAGCACAGGTAAAATTGTTTACTTCCTATGTGTATAATATGTTGATGAGTAATCAAATTGAGTGTAAATAAATAAATTATAATGTAGGTAAGTATAGTGTTAATATTTATTATATTAGACCAGTATTAACGTTTTCGCTGTATAAGTTCAAGGTTATCATTTGCTTTGTTCCTGTTAAATTGCGGAATATTATGAAAATTCGTTCAAAATTATATTAAAGTATATTATGCTTGACCTTAAAATAGATTTATGTATATTTTTTTGGAAAAACAAAACTACTTATAATAAGTGTTTACTTAGTTAGACTGGATAAAGTAACGTTCTCAAATCGAACCGTTTGAATTAAATTACAATATTTTAACGTTAAACAGACAAGTGATTTTCCGTACAGTCATTGCAGAAATTCATCTCATGGCTATAACTCAAGTATAATATTTTCGGTGACTATAATTCAAATCGACATCGAAAAATAAACGGACATGGTCGAAGAAATCAATTGACATGTTCTTTTTTTTTGTCTTCCTCGAATATTTCATTTGCGAATGACATAGATTTTTGATGATTGGCAATAATCAACATTATATTTATGGTAATATTATACCGATAGCATAATTAAATGATTGTTATGTTATCTAACATAATATAACAATATAATAATAAGTTATATAATTAATAGTGTCGCGTATATCATCGCTGAAATTTTTAACGAGCACCAAATACCTATTTGAATAGTCCGAGTGGTAAGTACAAAACACCAATTTTGCAACGTCTTAAAAGTATTTGTTGTTGAAAGTGCATCGATCACGATCGATGTAATACCCGCCGAATTTCGCCACTTATTCAAAACACGAAAACAATAGCTGAATCATAGTACCACCTACCTCTCTGTATAGGCTTTATTATTTGATTATATTATATTTTATACCGAACAGCGTTGCGTACATACGTACATAGGTATAGCCTATTATGATAACTAGCAGAATTCAAACTGTAATATTATAATAACCAGCGGTGGCATCGACTTTTTTCAGCCCCCTCCCCCGCCCCCGTGCATTCATTTTCCATGGATTTAAATTAAAAATAATTGAGGTCAATGTGTTTCCTTTTGAGCGAGGGTGTTGTTTAACAATTTAACATTTAATACTTTAGTTTATTAGCATTTTAATTTTATAACAAAAAACAATAAAAATGCATGCAATATTACAATTATTTACAGGTAGGATAGGTTAGGTTGGATTTTCTGCAAATGTGTCATATCTTTTTTTACTTATAGTATTAACAAATCCGTCCCGTCTCGTTGAAACCCCAAGTCGAATCTTTATTTTTCTTAACAAAGCAAAAAACGAGCGTTCACGAGATGCACAACTAATGAGGAAAGTGATAGTCAGATGAAATTGATAAATAATACTGAATAATAAGTGCTGTTATCAACTTTGCAAAAAGCTTTTGGTTAGGTTAGGTTAGGTTTTATTAAACATTTCCATACAAGCGGAGGTTTTTAATACATAAACAGGAAAATTACTAGAGAGGGTGCTTATTTTAAAATTGGGGGTGCTATACACCCTAAGCTCCCCCCTCCCCTTTTTAATTGCGCCTATGACTGTGGGTATTTTTCGCATAATATATACATATATTTTAATTATTTTCGTCTTAAAGCAGGAAGAGTCTTTTGGGATGTCCTTGACTGTAGGTCATTCGGTCTATGCGGCGCATACGTTCTAATATATAAAAAAAATTCACAGAAATCCCAAATGATTCATTTTTACACCCGTATCGTGCGAACACGGCTGCCGGTCAAGTGTGGGCGCTAAAGTCGGCCTTGAGGTCGTCTGCCCGTTGCTGTTTGTACACTGGGAGTATACATGGTAGGTATATGGGAAATGAATAATAGTATTTCCTGATCGTTAATGCATTTTTATATTATTCCGCGTTGCTGGTAAATAATTGATTTTTTTCATCGTTTTACCAACAGAATAAAATTATAACGCGAACGAGTTTGGCCGGTGAATTTTTTTATTCAATAAAAAACCATCACCCTGAGGCGTCTCGTAGTGGATCCCATGTGTGGTTTTTTTTTACCTTGACCCTTACATACATCCTGGCCGGCACTTTATATCTTGAGCAATACAGGGTTACTCATGTGTGCCTACGTCACACACACTGGTGTAGGTATTACCTAAGTCCTGTGCGTACCTTTGTATTTATCTTACTTGGCGAGTCACTATAGTGAGAACAAAACTACCTAATTCAATTTGAAATGTTCCGTTTGCCGCCGGTTGCGTGAACTGTTGTTCATAAACTACCTTTACAACATTATAATATAGTGATAATGCAAACGAGTAAGAGAATCAATAATTATATCACTACCATTGTTGTTATTTGCAAGCGGCTTAATTCGATTTTCGTTCCAAACGAGGAAATGATAATGTTATACTATTATAACGTTCAATTTTAAACTACTAAACTACTATATTTTTTTAATAGGTAGAAAAACCTAATTGGTTAATTTTATTTTAGAAAATTATCTTCATTAATAATGAAGGCTGTGATGGTCTGTTGAAAAAAAAAAAAAATAATAACCATCGATAAAGTATGCTCATTAGTATTGTGTACGAAAAAATTGTAAGCTTCGCATAAAAAACAAAATATCTTGAAATCCGTCCAATAGATATGCTAGAAAATGTGACTTCTAGGAAAGTAATTTTTTATCAAACTTTCGCCATAACTCGGAGAAAAATAATCTTAAAAGTATTATAAATAGAAAATTTTAATATGTGTCCTTGAAATTAGTAGGCATATGAAAAATGGCTATAAGATCAATTTTTGTCAAATATTGCCTATCCTTTGCCCCTTAATAAATAGCGCTTTCCGTTCCACTTAATTGATTGTTTGCAAAAAAATTGCCTATACCGGACGCCTTAAAAAGTACTTTGTGTCGCATAAGGCATTCCCATAATACGGTTTTGAAGATTAAACAGTTAAAATAAATTCGGAAACCTATGCCGACTGTAAAAAGTTTTCCTTTTTTTTTTTTTAAGTCTTGCCTTTAATATTTTGTCCCTTAATCAATATTTCCACCCAAATGTCCGTCAATAGCACTTAATTTGTTTTAAATTATTATTAAAAAAAAAAAAAAAAATAGCGTCTGGTAAAGAATTTAGAATCACACACATGTATGATATTATTATACTAAAACTAGCTAATTTATTGGAAGGCAGCTTGAAGGAGTTGTATAGGCCCACCATCCGTAAGGTTTTATTTCAATACTTGTACAGTATAATGAAATGAGTGTTATTCATTTATGGATATCAACAATATGCTTAATGATAACGAATTTTGTTGTACTATTAACAGCAGTTTAATGGTTTACAATAGACCGACAAGCGATCGTTGTTTATAGAAATTAGATAGTGGCTATTATAACGCATATTATCAATGATAACACAAGAAACGCATTTATTAGTCTCAATATGATATTATCTAATCAGTAACCATAGTGTCGATCATGAATAAGTTATCAAATATCAATACCAATATGTATACATTGTATTTAATATTTATGTAAACTCTCTTTTGGTATGAAATAACAATATTATATGTATGTTTTTTGTGTATGTAATTTTTTTTTTTAAATTGTAATTCGATACCGCGTCCGTCGGTTTACGGTTGCAAGCCGATTTCTTCTTCCATGACGCGCGTGGACCGCACGCGCGCGCGTCAAAACGTATCGTTCGTTTTCCCCTGGCCTGCGTCCGCACTGTAACGCCGTTACCGCCGCTACCGCTGCCGCCGGTCCACCGTCCGCATCGTCCCTTGTAAACACTAAACAACAGAAATCGTCGTCTCGTGTGTTGTTCCCCCGTCCCACCGAGCGGTGTGTTGTCGAGGTTCTCGACCGAGATAGAACATGACAAAAATGGCCGACGGCGTGGACATCGATTTGTACGCCGACGACTTGGAACAAGACTTTGCTCAGGTAAATACCGCTCTACCGACGCAAGCACGTCCTGCTAGCGCGCGCCATTGTTGCACGGGACGTACGCCCGGACACCGGACGAACCGACGCCGACGGCCTGGCCGGCATTCGGCGGCTGCGGCGACGACCGCCGCAGCAGCTGCCTGTGGTCGTGTACCCGTTTGCCTTTGCCTTCGCCCGGGTCACACGTTCAAATGCCGATTACATGTGCGCTATTTTGATTCGACGGCTAAAATGCCGTACAGCGTCACTGTAAATCGTGTAATCGTATCGATGGCCTCTACCCAAACGCATTTGGAATACGATTACAATGATATTATTTACAGTTTTCATTGCCATTGACAAATCTATTTATCATTGGCTGTGAATTATCCATCTCATTGCTATCTATTATTGCGGTTCTTTGTTTTGATAAAACTCAACAATTAGCTTGTATTTCTTTTAAAAGTCATCCCTAGTTGAATTTGGAGCGTACCTACTAGTTTGTTATATACATTTTACTTAATAAGTCCTACGAAATTACATCACGTAATACGGTCAAGTCATGATTGTTTTGGTTGTTGATAACGCGGACTACACAATTTTTATGATTTGTTGTCTTTCATACATTTGTGTTTTAGAGAGTCTGAGATAAATTTGGTGTGTTGCTTAACTGTATAAATTAACTGAATCCGTAACTGGTACAGTGCAGAACGAAACACAGTTTATCAATGTAAATATTATGAGACTTCTTATCACTAGTAGTTAAAGCTAAAGCCAATTTTAAATTCGTATAGATTCAGTTTAAATTGGTTTGGATAAATGTGAGCTGTGTGATCGCTGACTGTACAAATTTGTATTGTTGATATTGAGTTTTGTTTACCAGTCATGAATATCGACTGTGTTCTGTTTGCTGTAAAAATTAACTATTATTTACAATAAAAACTGTTAATCATAAAAATTATATACTCTCCGCGAATACGTTTTATTTCGGCAACAATGTTGTCATCTTCAGCGCTCACGACAGACTGAGACCGAATACGGGCGAACATCTCCCTCTATACCTATACAGTGTCGTCATACCAGAAATGATGACTCATCGTCAACAAGTTTTATACATTTTAATAAAATGTTTTGTAATGGACTTTAGTCCCAGTTTAACAAGTTTTTCCTATTTTTCAACATTTCTATTGCTTCCCTAATATTAAGTTCTTTAGAGTTATTTACATTTATTAGTAATTTTACAGATTTAATGCTGTGATTAGTATCCAATAAATGTTCTGCAACAGGAGATTTGTGTACTTCCTGGTTTTTAATGTTCCTTATGTGTTCTTTAAACCTTACCCCAATATTTTGTTTTGTCTGACCTACATTTATCGCATTCTTCACTATTGTTATATTATTTATACGTTATCTAATGAATAAATTAGAAACTATGGGAATGATTGTACATAGGTAATTGTTTTTATTTTTTTGTGTTTGGTATCAATTCCTACCACTATGTGCGATAGTTACATTTTACCCGGATTTTGTGAGCATTGGCTACTAAAATATTATAAAATCTTTAAATTCAGCAGTATACTACAGTATTTTTAGCTTCAATATAAAGTTATTTTCAGATTACCGTTTTGCAGAACGGTAACATAAATTTTGAAATATTATATTTTATGAGCTAGTTATTGACTTTATCGTAAATCAATTATAAGGTGAACTAGGTCTTCGTCAAAAATAAATGTTCATCTTGTATTATGAAGTTTCGGAGCATAAGTGGCCAAGTGGGTAAAGCGTTAGTGTGTTTGGCGCTCACTGTCGTCGGTTCAACATTCGGTCACAGGTGCTCTGTGAAATCGTCCTTAAGGCCCGTTTGCCTTACATGATAATGATAATTTACGGAGTTTTTAATTTTCAAAGTATTAAATCACTTATTTGTGGGATTTTAATAGCTAACTATAATTTTTTAACTTCAATGTTGGAATGCCATGACAATATGAATTGTAAATTTTGTTTTAATTTTCTATATTATGTTTAACAATGAGCAAGTTGCATTCCTTTCTTTATAAATATTAGGTGAATTAATGAATCCCATATTCATTTTAATAATACACTTTCAGATTTTACATCTGAGAAGTAAATTCCTATCGTATGACAGTTAAAAAAAAAAACGGTTACTTATGTCTCAAAAATCTTTTCCCTAAAGTTTACTGTTATTTTTTCCTGTGTGCAATTTTTCGAATTAGATGACAAATTAAAAATTTCAAAATAAATAAACTTTGTGTGAATTGTGTTTTTAGGAAGAATTTTCGGGAAATGACAATGTGGACTTATATGATGACGTCATATCTGGGACCAATGATAGTACTCAGACAAGACAAGTAGAATCGTCTCCTAGTTCAAACAGCCAAAGTAGTACTCCGTTAGTGACAAATGGCTCGTCTAATAATAGTACCACAAGTAATAATACTACAACTGGACGCAGATACCAATTGTATATTGGAAATTTAACATGGGTAAGTAATGTGACTATTGTGATGTGTATAAAAAACAAATGTCATGTTTAACTACATTTTTTTTTTATACCATAACAGTGGACTACCGATCAAGACATAACAGACAGCGTGACAAGCATAGGTGTTTCGGATTTCATCGAAGTGAAATTCTTTGAAAATCGAGGCAATGGTCAATCTAAAGGCTTTTGCGTCGTCACTCTGGGATCGGAGCACAGTTTACGGCTGGTCATGGACAGGCTGCCAAAGAAGGAACTTCACGGACAATCGCCGGTCGTCACTTTCCCAACCAAACAAGCACTTTTGCAGGTAATTTATTTTAATCAAAACGATCGCTGGCGTATAAGCGCGAATTGAATTCACATTTTTTTTTTTCTTTCTTTCTTGTATTCAGTTTGAATCGCAGTCTAAAACTCGGCCATTACCTCCACCTAATAATCAGAACATGCCCGCCATGGGAATGTCGAGAGCTCCCGGTCAAGTTATGCAGCAACCCATGCGCGGACCCATGATCCCGCAGCAGCCCATGATGCAGCAACAAGGCATGAGACCTAGAATGCCTATGCAGGGTATGCAACAAAACCCTCAAGGAATGCAGCCGCCCATGGGTATGACTAATGGCCATAGAATGCCTATGCAACCTGGTGGTCCTATGGGTCCTCATCAACAAGGACCGCCGCCACCGGGTTACCAAAACCAGTGGAATGGTCCTAATCAGCAAATGGGTAACTATTGATTTGTGTTTGATGAGTAAAATATAATTTGTCAAGTATAACTTTGTGCCAATTTGGTCATATTTCAGGTCCGCCAAGACCAGGAATGCCTCCGCAAGGACCGGTAGGACAACCAAGAGGACCTCCTCCAGGAATGGTTAGTAACAATTGGTGGTGTGGATGCGTACCTACTTTATAATGATACTCTGGCCACTTTAAGAAGATACATTTCAATATTTTATTATTTCCACAGTTTCCACCTGGGCAAGGTCCACCACGAATGGGTCCACCACAAGGTCCACAAGGTCCTCAAGGACCCGGCGGTCCGCGTACTGATTGGAATCGCCCACCTGGAATGCCACCCCATCAAATGGCTCCACCTGGCTCTGGTTTTGCACCACATCAACAAGGTCCACCGATGCAGGGTCCTCCCCCTGGCCAAGGTACTTGCAAGACAATATTACCAGTGAAATCTGTTAAGACCGAATCGCACGGGACTGAAAGAAATTCTGTTTTCAGCAGTTCGTTTGTCTTATTTTTAGTTTTATTTTATAATAAGAAACATGTAAAGCAGTTTGGTTAGGGACCATACATAAATTATTCTTTTTATAGTTTATTCAGGGTCCAACTTAGGCGGGTTCCACTTTAGTTGGACGTATTATATTGACGGTGTGCAAGTTAAAAAAAGGAAAAAAAAGGCTCGGTTTTAAATTTTTAACAAATCTTCATAACTTTATTGTGGAAATGCCATTTTTTTTATATAGTGCAAGGTTGTATTTATTTACTTGTTAAATTGACTTCAAGTTCAGTTACTGCGTTTTACCCGCACATTTTGTCCATTTTATCTTATGATCTTCCTTTTATCTTCTAGGACATTTGAATGATAACAAATTATTTTACTTGATGAAATTTCTAAGTCAAATTAGAAGTAAAATCTGATATTACCACCAAATAAGTATAAATTGTTAAATACAGGGTGTCCCACGACGATTTGACCATTTTGTAATATCTTTAAGGAAAATTTGTATTTTTTCTAAATGAGATGTTAGAATTTAGACGACAAATAATACAATTTTTGTAATCAATAAAAAAACTACAAAAATACAAAAAAATGTATCATTAATTTATACTTGCTAAAGACACGTCAAAACTTTATTATAAATGTATAAATCTATTTTCTGTTAACATATTCTCTTCGCGATTGAAATGTTACATTATGTTTACTATTTGGCTAATTAATCAGAATATTTATTATGTATTGATAAAAATTGTATTTTAAATATTTTGTTTTTGCTAATTTTTATAGGTCCTGTCCAAATGATGCAAGGAGGTCCTGGCCAAGCTCCAGCTCCTCACGTGAATCCTGCATTTTTCCAACAGCCAACTGGTGCACCGCAAGGTCCTCCGGGGCATCCGGGATATGGTCCCCCCAACGGCGGAGCTACTTCCCGCCCTTACATGGCTAACGATATGGGAATGTCTGAACAAGAATTGGAAGAAATAATGAGTCGTAATCGGACTGTATCTAGTTCAGCTATCGCTCGGGCTGTTGCTGATGCCGCAGCTGGTGAATATTCAAATGCTATTGAAACTTTGGTCACTGCAATATCGTTAATTAAACAGTCAAAAGTTGCAAACGACGAAAGATGCAAAATATTGGTTAGTTCTCTGCACGACACATTGCATGGCATCGAGACCAAGAGTTACAGTTCACGAAGAGGTAATCTACCTGTTTTATTTATTTTGACATTAATTATATATTTTTCACATGGCTCTTAATTTGTATTTCCAGAGAGGTCTAGATCACCTCGTGACAGATTGCATCGAAGGTCAAGGCGTGAACGAAGTCGATCTCGTGAACGTGACTACAGGGATAGGAGTCGAGAACGTGATCGTGATCGAGAAAGGGATCGTGACAAGTAAGCTTTTGAATTTTAACAAAAAATGAAATTCTGCAAGTCTATAGTAGTTTTCCTCGACTTTGTTTTCGTTATATTTTGGTCCTTTTAACAAATTTAAAATGAAAAAGTAAGGTCCTTTTATGTTCACAAACGAGCTAACTTCAAATTAACTAATGGTTTAGAACAACTTAGAATAGCATTAATCGATTTCTTCTTATCTCCTCGATTTATTGTATTGCCATAACAAAGATATGTTGACAGGTATGTTGACCGTTACTATGCTACAGATCGAGACGGTGATAGAGATAGAGAAAGGGAAAGGGATCGCGAATACAGAGAGAGGAGTCGCGAAGACAGGTAAGATTTACTAGTCGTAACAAAAAATGATGAAAACTTCTTCTTGGAAGTTTAATAACTTTTTCGAATTTCCAATATTGAGGGTAAAGTTTATTGTTTAACAGTTCTGTAAAAGCAAGCAGCCGCAGTAGAAAAATCACTCCGCCCGATGTAACCGAGTCTGTTCCTGTATCCTCTAAATCCAGGTAATATTACCTTGATGATAAACCTTCATTTCCTCTAATCATATTTCCTTTTAAAAAAAATTTAACAGTCTATAGACTTGTATGATTTCTTAATGTGTATATTAACATAAACGGCTTGTGGACCACTTATTTATTAATATTATTACACTTTTTAGGTATTATGATGATCGTTATCGGGAACGTGAACGTGATAGGGACCGAGAACGTGACCGCGATCGTGAACGTGAACGAGAGCCAGTGTCGAGCAGACGTGCAGTAGATCCTGACAGAGATATCGAACGAGAACGCGATCGTAGAGAAGACAGAGCCGAATCTTCACACCGTAGTTCTAGACATTAAATACATATGTGGTAAGTATTTTCATCTCGGTTGTAAGTATTGTAAGCTAGACTGTCTCGTCTAATTTGTTTGTTATATACAATTTAGTTTAGGTGTAGTGAATTTTACAATTTTTTCATTCCATTCAAATTGTGTCTTAGTTAAAATAAATTGTTTTATATTGTTTGGTGGCCATTTCTTAATTGATATTCTCATTTATTTACATTTTTTTTTATTTAAATTTTTATTGTTTATTAATAAAACAAGTTCCAATCTCTTAGTTTATTTTGAATAAGGCTGATCCACTTTTTTTACAATATATTTTAGTCGGCTCTTTGCCCATGTTGTCTTATTACTGTGATATCTGTGATCTGTGATAAAAAAAAAAAAAAAAAAATTATTAAATACTGTATTAAATACGGATTAGTATTTAATGAAAATTAATAGTATTAAGATGATCTCTGTAATTGGGATATGTAATCGTAACCAGGGCAACTTTTCAGGCTGCTGTTAGTTGCTAAGTATTTTATTTGCATGCGTATGTTACAATGAGCCTAGAATAAGACTTAATTATAGACTACTTAAGATATTGATTGAAATTTGATAATACGTTTTATGGTTAATAAAAATACGTATTGCTACGAATAATTATAATAATAATATACGTATACATATTAATAATAATATACATTTACACATATATAAATATTTATTTATATCTATTATTATTATTATTATTATTATTATTATAATAATTATAAACAATTTCAACTGATGATTTTATATGGGGGTTTTAATAGTTAGGAGAATTTTTTTTTTTTATACATGTTTGAGTACATAATATTGATGTAAATAATCTTTATTTATATTGCGCAATGCTCTTTTGTTTTCATTATTATCGTAAAATTATTTACCTACTTGTTTTGTGTTCCTTTTTGAGAATTTTTTTAAGTGCGTCAATTATTTTTTTTATTTTGATAATACCTATTGCAGGATTATTTTTAAACATTATTGTTCGAATTATTTAAGAATAATTATACTACCTGATACTATTTGATATAAACATTTTTTTGCTATAACTTAAATCGACGCAATATATTTGTGTTTTTATATATTCATTTCTGTGACAAGCTCAAACATTTTTATAGTTTTTTATTAATCAGTGTTAAATTAAATAACGAATAATTTTGTTTTTTTTTTTTTTTTGTATAGAGGATTTCGAAAAATAATATATATCATTTTTGTTATTATTCTAAAGAAACACATTTTTCATAGCCTTAAAAACTAGTGTCATCAAACTATTATTCGTTGTTTTAAAACTTCTGTTCAATTTCCTCCGTTATTCGTTTTTACATTTATAATGTAAATGTGTAATTTTAGACTGCATTTTGTACATATTTTCATGTGATTAATATATCTATCTATACATTTATTATTATTTGTTAACAGTCCAAATATAAGCAAAAAAAAAGAAAAAAAAGTTGATTATTTTATTTTTGTCAGACGGCCCTTTTGAACATAAATACAATATGTCATTGTTATTGGTATCTATACAAACTATATTAGGGTTTTAATGATTACTACATGTAGTAATAACATTTATTTGGATTCTAAGAATGGTATTTTTCAATAAAAATATTTATTAAAATTAAAAAATATGTATATAACAATAATTAGCCACTAAAATTATCATCTTATTATGTCAATTTCAGGTGGAAAAAAAGAAAGAAATATATATGTATATATAATGTTATTTGATTTAAGATAATAGATTTTAAATAAAATAACATTGCATACAATTATATATTAGTTTACGTGTTACATTTTTGATACGAGTTGATGAATTTGGCAATAATTATGACCAAAGTCAAACTCACAGAAATGTTAATATTAGTTAATTTTATTCATTATTCATCACTTCATTAAGTACTCACCGCTTGGCTAAACCTTTGACTGCTTTATAATTGTATATTTTTCATTTGATCGTTAGGCTACGGTACAATGGTAAATAATTTACGATATTTTAAAGGGGGTGAACTGATTGGCAATAAACAGTGTTTTCTTCTTTTTTTCCGCCCCTATTTTTCCCAACCTTGTAACAAAATATTGTGCTGGGCGGCTATAAACTGGTTGGGAGTGTTTATCCTTTATCATTTAAGATCCATTAGAACTAAACTGAACGAAACATAGCAAACGTCAAAAGTTTTTCATGTCATGAATTTTTGGTTTTTGCTCTTCATTGACATTGATTCAAAATGGACCTTCAAATTTCATAAAAGGAGAAACTATGATGCTTGATATAATTTTAGTAGACATTCAACGTGTATTTTCAGCATTTGCGTCGTGTCGGTTCTATAAAATAATTTCTGCACTGTTGTTTAGGAGGTATATTTTATGCTATGTTTGTAGTTCTGATATGTTTTTTAGTGATGGAACTTGGAAATTATATAGGAATGAATCCCGTTCAAAATTGTATTATATTTAGAAACACAAGTAAAATTTGTTTAATTGTGTAATTTTTTAATATAGCCTACTCGTTATCATAATCAAAACTTTTTTTGAAACACGTTGGATCGTATGTAAATGTTAAAATGAATTGCTCAATTGTGGTGTTTGCAAAATGAAATTGAACCGGTCGATTTAATTTTCTATCGAATGAGTGTAATTCTTATCTATAATTTAAGCATTATTCCAATTAGGCGTTCAAACTAAACGATAGGTAATGTCTTGAAAGAAACGTATTAAAACATAATATAGTATTTTAATTGATAAGGTTTAATTAAAGGTTATTAAAATTAAGATCTGTTGTGTACATACATATTGTTTAAATTACATATATTTATATGTATGTTATTGATTAAACATTTTTTTTTGTTTATTGTGTAAAAACTATTATTTAAAATAGTTTTTATTCTTGATTTGTATATTTTTAACTATTTTATACAATCGTGTTCCGCCTGTAGTTCCTGTCCACGTAGAATCTATCAAACAGCCGTAAAGCAGCCAATTAAAAAAAAAAAAAATGTCAACGTCAATTATACATACTGAGACAATTCATCATTGCAATGTTTTTTAATTTGTTTACAGGCGCCGCTGATCCATCCGTTTATATTGTATAAATACAAGTTTATACAAGGCTGTATTGTTTGAAATAATGTATCCATTTGTAGTATGTACAAAAGTCATGGATCGTGTAACGATGATTATAATATTGTACTATTAACCTTTTTGTTTTGCGGGTGGTTTTTAAAACTTTATTGTCAATAATAATAATAATATTGAACATTTTTAATGTATTTTTTCATTTTCTCTCCAGTTTAACATTTTTACTGTAATTGTGTTTCTTTTTTTTTCTTTTTTTTTTTTATAAATATACAATTGTAAATCATGTTTGTATAACTGTTAAGATTGATATATATTATTATACATTAAATGTAATTGAAATGGCGCATCAAGACATCAAATGACAGCTGGATCTTGGAACACAATTTTAGACTAGATTATTTTGGTAGTAACCTACTCGTGTATTACTCATTATTACAATTTACATTATTATAAAACATTTTTGTTCTTCAATAATAAGCCTAAATTATTATTTAATTAGGAATTATTTATTAAAAAATGTTAAACAATATCCGAATCATATTGAACCTATAATTTAATACATACATTTACCTAGCCTATTAATAAAACTTGTGTATTAGATTTAAGGTGAATTTTTTTATTTTTTCATATCTGTCCTTGGCGTTTTAATTGCTACATCTATCTTTTGTATGTTGTAGTATTTAAGATAAATTATTATTATTATTTTATAATTTGTTTGATTTTCCGAGACTTGTATGCATTCAAATTTTTTTCAGAATTATGTGTGCAAAAAGATACGTAAACAAATATTTATTGTAATAATTAATGTATTACGAATACCAGTATTGTATTACTTGCAAAAATTATGTAAGTTAATGAATTGTTCTATGTTGTAGTTCAATGTTACGTATTAAATCGATTTTGTATACGAGTCTCGCACTATATTTTGTTTTATTTTTATTTTTATAACATTTATATGACTTAATTTGTCAACGTTCGTTTAAGAACGTAAAACTTACAATTTTTTAAATTATTGAACAATTTTGAACATATCTCCTTGCATATTTGAGCAATTTTATGTATTTTAAATTTTGTGAATACATTTTTAAGACTGTCAGTTTTCATCATGACTATTTGTTATGATCCGTGATTATTAAATATTGGTATTTTTTTTTTTTTTTCAAAATAATTACAAATTTGCCTCCTATACGTTCCAAAGACGTTGTATAATATCTCGGTCTTGCCATTGGTCGAGACGCTGATAAGAGCTACGACTGCTTTTGATAACGGTATTCATCTAGACGAGCTACCGGTGTACTGGTATGATATTCTGATGACACTAATTTTGTAAAATATTTTTACCAATTTTGATAGTAGGACTAACTTTTGATAGTTCCTAAGTTTACGGATAAGTATTCGCGGTTCAGTTGTAGCTGCGCGATGAACCGTTTTCTACAACAAGTGGCAACAATACTCAGTGGATCAGGAAACGCGAGAATATAAATGTATAGATGATTAATTATAATTGTACACGGTACTATGCACAGTAATAATCCATTTATTATACATTTAATTTGATTATATCCCAACAATTGATCGCATGTAAGATTGTTGGACGTCAAATTTATGATGGGTTATGCATAATATATTGTAATGCATTGGTTTTTTTTTAATATCATATCAAGACATGATATGCCTCCGAAACGTTTCAAAGACGTTGTACAATATCTTGATTTTACTATTGGTCGCGACATTAATAAGAGATACGGCTACGGTTGATAACAGTAGTATTCCTCAGAAATACAAGAGTGAATTATTTTTATTCTGATGTACGTATGATAATTCCTACAGATACTTGCTAACTTTGCCGATAATGTTCGCAGTTCACGTCTTGTAGTCGGATTAACTGATAAACCGTTTACCTGTAAGACGTATTAACAATACTTTGTAGTTAGTTGTTATTTGGGAAACATGACAATACGATTAAGATAATAATTTATAGTAATTATAATTGTACAATAATAGTAGCGTAACAAATATCTATATTTATATGTACATGTACATGAATGAACGAAACTCGGGAATCATGAGATAACGCCAATAAAACTATGTCTGGTTAGTGAAATTCAGTTATTTTTAATTTAATAAACATTGAAGTATGGTGGAATTATGTTTTTAGGCCGTAAAAAGAGACCTTCGCTAAAGGTTCAAATGCCTGAAGCACCCACTGTCGTGTAAGCACAATTATTTCATGTCTATGCGGCTTGCGCTAATTCAAAAATGTTATTTCAATTGTTATATTTGCAGAAATCTACCTCGTAATTTAGATAAACGTACTACGATTACAATCGGCGATCAAACCACGACTGTCGAAGCGAGCGATTTGCAGAAAATATGTGATCTTGGACGCGGTGCCTATGGTATTGTGGAAAAAATGAGACACATACCTTCTGGAACGATCATGGCTGTCAAGGTGGGTATCCTAAAATTAGCTTTTCTGTAAAATCATAATGTCATTTTATATATTTTGTTTGATTCAGAGAATAGCAGCTACAGTAAATACACAAGAACAGAAACGATTGCTGATGGACTTGGATATATCGATGCGTTCGTCCGCTTGTCCTCACACAGTACAATTTTATGGAGCTTTGTTCATGGAAGGCGATGTGTGGATATGCATGGAAGTCATGGATAATTCACTCGATAAATTCTATGCCAAAGTGTATAAATTAGGCAGAAAAATTCCTGAACAAATACTTGGTCCTATTACTGTGGCGGTAATGTTTTTTTAGTTGATGATTTACATTGTAATGTATCTAATGATGATGATTGTTATTTAGGTTGTAAGTGCTCTACATTATCTTTATTCCCAATTACGAGTCATACATCGAGACGTCAAACCTTCTAATATACTGATCAATCGCAATGGCGACGTCAAAATGTGTGATTTTGGCATATCAGGTTATCTAGTCGATTCAGTCGCCAAAACTATTGATGCTGGATGCAAACCTTATATGGCAGTGAGTACATACATTTTTTACATAGTCGTTAAAGGAAAATAATCGCTTTTATATATGATGATTTTTGTACAGTTTGATCAGTAAGATCATTTGTTGTAAATTACTTTAGACACCTCTCTGAGACAAATTTGAATTGTCCCAAAGCCAATTTGTAAATATAGGTTAACCGTAAACCATGTAAATATTATATCAGGTACTTTCATTGTTATAATAAATATAATGTAATGTTTTTTTTTTGTTTATTTAATTTTTTATTGATACAATCTGTTACAATGCAGAACAATAAGCATAACAGATGTATTATTTACAAAGGTCTGATTGACAAAGTGAAGAGACCTCCCAGTGGAGGTACTCTGACAGAGTTATTATTTACTTTATTATTATTATTATTTTTTTTTTGCTATTAAACTAGCACGTCACAACACCATTGCCTTTTTAATCTTATTAGGGGGTTGCCAGGAATAGCTGTTATTGATAAAAGTTCAAAGATGAGAGGACTAGGGTGATGGCTGGTTCTGTTTCTAATTTTGGCAGCTCACCACAATTGTATGCCGTACCAAAGCTGCCGTAACCAGCTGGGTTTTAACAATAATTTGTAGAGTAACAGGTTGGTTGGTAGTTTTATTTGTTTAGATGTCAGTAGCGGGCGAAGAAGGCAAAATCTATCATTAAGTAACAGTATTTTACTAGTTATGCGAGGCAGCCAAGTAAGTCGACAATCGAAGATGTTACCGAGGTAGCACTCATCGTAGAGACTGGTTGTTAAGAAATAGTTATGGACATATTCCATGACAAAGTATAAATTTAAAATAAATGGACTTGGCTTTATTCATTTTTACACCCCATTCTTTAAACCAAATTTTGAGGAGATATAGGTGGTCTTAGACATAAATAGAGGCTCGGATAATGTAATGAAAAAAATTAGATATACTTTAAAACTTAACCTTTCTTCCTTGTCTGATCGTAGGCACTCAGCTGACTTATCATTCCTTAAATGCCTTCTGTCCGGAAAAATTGATTCCCCTACCCTCCTTTCACAAGTTAACTTTAAAATCCCTGTACGTTCCACACGCTCTTCCTTCCAGTTCCTTATCCTCCATTATTCTACAAACTACTTTCTAAACTCCCCTCTTAACCGTTTAATGAGTACTGCAAACACCGACGCCTTCACTTCTTGTCTATAATCTTTCTCTATTGTGTGTAAATAAATAAAATGTTTTCAATTTAAATTATATTGTAGTTCTAGTTGCTGTTAGTTAAGTTACTTAGTTATTATTTTAGTCATAATTATATTGTTAATCATATTTAAAATTTACTGTACTCTATATGTTGTCAATTTTGGGCTTGTCCCGTAAAAAATAAAATTAAAATAAATAAAATTGATAAGTGGTATTATTTATCTGTTGTCAATTTTATGCGTAATTACGATCAATTTACATAAAAAGAAAGTATTTAAAACATTTTCTTATGTTAAATAATTTGCGTTTCCTTTAATTGTTTAATTTTTAAATACTTTTTTTTTTTTTACTTAATTCTAGCCCGAACGAATAGATCCCACCGGTAATCCATCAAACTACGACATACGTAGCGACGTATGGAGTTTGGGAATATCGCTCGTAGAACTTGCCACTGGCAAGTTTCCGTATGATACATGGGGCACTCCGTTTGAGCAGCTCAAACAAGTAGTCAAAGATGAACCGCCAAGACTGACCACTGGTATATTTACATCATATTTTGAGGATTTTATTTGTCAATGGTAAGCGTTATATATTTCCGATAGTATTTATTTAGCGATATACATACTATATTATATAGTTTGTATAATATTTTCGATGATTGTATTTAATAGTTTACAAAAAGATTATCGAAGCCGTCCAAACTATTCTCAATTACTAGCCCATCCATTCTGCCTTGCCCACCAACAACCTCAAACTGAACTAGTCGCATCATTTGTATCGGAAATTCTAGATTCGCCCGATTCTTCTGTAACTGGTTAATTAATTTACAAGAATTTGATTCACTAATTATAAGAATATTATGTGCTTAACAGTAGTAATTATTGTATTTTGTTATTACAATTAGTTTTAACAACAATAATAATCAATAACAATTATTATACTAAAATAAACTCACACAACATTTATTTATATATTTAAAAAAAAAAGTATATTTTAAAGTATTTTTTATTTTTATTTGTATAGTATTAATTTTAATGTATTTTGTGTTTTAGCAATTATGGTTTGTTAATTTTTTTTTTCATTGCTTCATATTGTGTCATTTAAGATAAGCCTATTATAGTACGTAGCACTGGCTGTTATACTGGCTATGTCATTTTTACTGTACTATAGTTAAATCATTTAATACTTATATTCTGAAATTGTATCAAACACTGTACCTGTTTCATTATTAATTTACATTATTGTTTATGCAACATGCCCATGCCTGTGTGTATGTTGAAATTATTTGTTTTGCCCGATATTTAATATATTTATTAACATTTTCATTGTAAGCCAACCAGTTGAATACTAGAAATAAAATAAGTATTTACTGCTAAATTTATTTTTAGACACCTTATTTATCATGAAATCTGTTTTTCTCAAAATTTATCACGATGAATTAAATTAATCAGATGCAAATGATTAAAAAGTATAATATTGGATAGTAAATAATTCTATATTTGTACTCTATTTATTGAGTATTGATGATACCAGAATGGAAAAGAAGTCGTTGTTTGTCCTAGAGGAAATTGCAGTGGTATATATATAAACCTATTGTGATATCAATAAGACATTTCCATACGTTTTATTAGGTTAAGTAATCTGTATAAAATACTTGTCAAGATTAGGTTAGTAGACAAATAACATTTACTCTTATGGTGAATCTCCTAAGTTACATAAGTCACTACGTATAAATTAATTACCTACCAAAGAAATGGTGAGAAATAATAATAGTTAATATTGTTAAAAGAGTAAGTCAAGTTGAAGCTCGACATTATACTGAGTATTGACATTAGTTTATTGTTTTTACTTAAGATGTTTAGGTTTTTAGAGAGGTTGCTTTTAATATTACAATTGAACATTAATTTCATCAATACCAATATCTTGTAGAAATAAAATGTTATTCAGTTTGAATTTATTACCTCTCGTGGAAATAATATGTAATTATACATTTTTCCTTTGTTCAAATATATATATATATAGAGTGAATTTTTAGGTTTTCACATTTCTTGGCTTCGGGCTTCTGTGGTAAAATATTTTATATTAGAGAATTCTTTAAAAAAAGGTTATTTTGCATACTTTAGAGATTAGAGATCATTTTCAGGTTAAGCTTCTTGGCGAGTGTATTTTACTAGTTTTTAATGAAATATTAAGAGAATATTTGGTATAAATATATAATATTACATGTATTATTTTTCAAAAGGAAAGTCTACCTAATGCAGTAAATTGCATTACTTAATTTCAACGAATTTATAATTATTTTTTAAGTATTTAATAATGTATTACTATTTGAAGCTAATATTATACATTCCTATATGTTTAAAACAATATACCGTGAATGTATTATACGAAAGTACAGCTCAAAAGAATGTAATACACTTACTTAAATACTTAACAACTTTGATTAACACAATAATAAAATATAATAATCAAATATTATATTATTTATTTGCATATGTGTGTGTATTAGTGAGTTGTCATTTATTATGTTTATGTATAGTTTTATTACTCCATGTCTTTTTAATTTTTATTCCATGGGAGTTTCCCAGCAAATCTTGCTATCTCTTTCTAACGATTTTATTGACCGCGCAGCAGTATAGACAGGGTGAGTGGGAAGCACACGGCGCAGGCCATTTATTTATAGGTCTTTGTATCGACCGCACAGCAGTATAGGCGGGATGTGTGAGAGGTTTAGTCGAAATCTTTTTAAAGGTCCACGATCAAAGTACTGAAGATTTATCAATTATTACAGAAGACATAATAATTCAGTATTGTGTTTCGCGTTTGTGACTTGCGTTATTAATTATTCACCTTTTCTACGGTGACTTGTGCCGTGTGTTAAATTAAGCAGTTTATTTTCATGATTTTCAAAACACCAAAAATCGAAAAGTAAGTGGTTGCACAATTGTTTTAATTTGTATTTACCAACTATGAAGTCGACAATATTCGTAAATTCACATTTTTTTTATTTCGATCAAATAAACTTTACCAGACAACCCTTTTTTTTTTTTTTTTGTAATCTCTTAGTGTTTTTGTAAAAATTCACTTAACCGTTTGTTTTTCGCCATCTTGTAGTTTTTTACACTTATTACGAATCATGAATGTTCTCGTTCCAAAGTTATAGATTCTTGAAATTTATATATTTCCACTTGTTTAATATTAGGCAGCGTCGGGCGTCGGCTGGTACCGACTCTTACATTTGTCAGCGACGAGGGGATAAGTTAGATTCGGTCTCGTTAGGTTGCTGACGATGCCAGAGCAGTGGGTTAGGTTAGTTTAGCTGTTTAGGCTAGCTATTTTTTCCTCTTTGGGTTTGGGGGCGTCCAGCGAAGAGTCCCAATGGGTTTGAGTCGGCTCCCGAAGCCGGCACGCGTAGGGAGTTGTTTTATATAGTTAAATAATTACTAACTTAAGAAAACTATATTGTTGTTTGATACAGCATTGATATAACATCATTGAAAATATAATAATAAATAATAATAATAAAAATAAATAATTAACTAGTAATACTGTAACAGCGAGCCTCGCGTATTCAAAAATCGTGTGGTGCAGCGGCTGCGATTAAATATGCAAATTTCAAGTAGCTATAACTTTGAAACTAGAGTAGTCTGTCGATTTTTGACTTCCGACTCTCAATCAGGATGAAAAATACTACAAGATGGCAGAAAAAAAATTTCAAATAATAAAGGGTGTTCAGTAAAGTAAATTTGTTCTGAATCGTTCATTAAAATGGCAAATTGTAAACAGGTTGGAGTGGACGTGTATTATTATGTTTTATACATGTATATATTTTTTACATTATCCTATCAAAACAAGAGTTTCCTAAATACTTATACTCTGCTCAAAATAAGAATGTATCTATGTAGAAACTGAAAACACATTCTTCTTGGCTGTGCCAGCGCAGCAAGGTGGGTGCGTTCCAGTCTCTGCACAAGTCTGATATTATTTTGAACAGAGTATGGTTTTTAATTTTCAACAATTCATTATAATCATAAGTTGATTATTTGAAAATTGAGAGTATTTTTTTTTTTTTTAATGGAAAATTTAATACTTATTAAAATTAAGATGTCAAAATGTTCAATTTGATATGTTTAGGAATTTTTGTTATTGATTGTAAATTTGGCTTTGAAATAATAATATCTTATGAAAACTTTTAACCGTGTTTTTAATAGCAAATTATTTTTAATCTGTATCTGTTATATGCTTTAGGGAAGACTAATTTGACAGTTACTGAACAAACAAAACATTGATAGGATACATTTACACAAGTTAACTGTAAATCAAGAAAAATGACTATTGAGGTTTATAGAAATCGACAATTCGACAATATTTACCAATACATCCCGTAAGTCATAAATTAATTGTTATTAATTAATTAGCTCTTTACAACTGTTATTTATTACCAATTAATGTTTCTATTTTGTTGTGCCTTTTAAAATAACGTAAGAGTAATAATACTTATTATTAAACTATTGAGAAAAATGACTTAATAACAATTTCCTTGTTAGTAATTATTATAAAATAAATATTGTAATAAATCAGTAAAGAAATCAGTTCTGTGGTTTGGAATATATCATATAAAATAAAAACGCATCTATGTAAAAACAATACCTTCTCAGTTTCACATTGAGGCTAAATCCATAAAATAACTAATATGTATAAAAACCATCGATAAAAATGTTGTTTATTTTTTTCATTGCATATTTTGATATTGTGATTTTGATAATGTTTTTTTAACAGTAATGTTATTTTATTTAATAGTTGTTTATTACTACCAATGCAAAACATACGTTTAAAACATTTTTTTAGAGAAAATATACTATGTGATGTCACTTTTATTAGTGATGACGGATCCAAAATACGAGCACACAAATTAATACTATCTTCTGTGAGCACTGTATTTCAAACAATGTTTACAGCGGCATTTAAGGAAAATAAAGAAAATTACATTCATATAAAAAATATAGACACCGAAGTTTTGCAATCCATCGTAAACTTTGCCTACACAACCAAAGTCGATATTAAAGAACATTATGTTGAGGTATTAATTGACAATAGTACAAACACTAAAAAATTATTGCCATTACTCTTTTGCTAATTATCTATTATCATTTTTTAGGAACTGTGGATGGCTGCTGATTTCTATGATGTTAGCCTTATAAAAGAATTGTGTGTTGAATATATTGAAGAAAACATAGATGCTAAAAATTGTGTTAGTTATATGGAGACTGCCGACTTAGTATCAGATAAATTGACTTACGGGTTTTGTTGGGAGTTTTTTATAAAAAATTTCAAGTGAGTAATCGGATTTGGTTTAATGATAGCAAACATTTTTTTACTTGATTAAGTAAAAAAAAAATAATTTTTTGTAGCATGATTGTGGAGTTGGATATAGCATTGGTAGACCTATACGAGTTTCCGATCGATGATGTTCTTAAGATTATTAAACATGACGATTTGGTAATCGATACTGAGGAAAAGGTGTATTAATTTAAATAGATACAATTTAGAAATATTTGTTAAATTATACATAATTATTGTAACATTATATTTTAATAACATTATTATAAAAAGAAAAACTGAATTATTTTAATGTTGGATCTATTATATTACGTTTGAGTACATTTTGTACTAATAATATAAGCATTTGTTTTAGATATTTTATTTCATCATTGGTTGGATGATGTTTAATATAGATGAACGATATAATTTGCTACCGAATCTAATGAAAAACCTACGTTTGCACTTAATTTCGGAAGAAGGACTTCAACAAATATGTAACATACCATGTATTAGAGAAAACAAAGAGAGTAAGTATATATTTCTGTTTCAAATGTGGTGTGCAATCGCTCTAATTTTTTTTTTTTTTTTGTACGTACATTAGTTTATAGGTAAAATTTATTATGTATTATTGATGTGTCTATATAATTGAAATATTAGCGGCTTTATGTATTTTCATTATATTAACAGTTATTTTATTATTATTTTATTTTAGTTATGAACGACTTGTCAGAAGAACTCGATAAACGTGTCGGTTCAAAACCTATAAGTGTATTGGGGAGGAACTTTTCGACTATGCCTAACGTATGTAAACAATATATTAAATGTTGTTTTTTCCATAAAGAATGCAATGTATTATTTTACTACTTTACTAATTTTACGTAATATTTGTATAATTTATTTGTATTAAGATTATTTTGGCGCTTAAGGAATGTTCTACAAATTTTCCTGAGTCCGGTTTCATGTATATGGATACTAGAGCACCCAATTGTAGTTTAAAATGGAAATCGAGTAATCTTTCATATTTCCATCCTCCCCGTGAAGACTCTACGGTGGTAATCTCTGAAAACGGTACAATGCTTGCAATTGGCGGAATAAATGAAGAAGGCGAAGAGGTCAATCTTGTCGATGAACTAGATCTCAAGAAAACGTTAAAAAAATGGTATTTTACAAGTACATTAAATCAACAACGAACAAAATTTGCTGTCTGTGTTCACAAGGAATTAATTTATGTGGTGTGTATTTTTTTTTTTATTTATAGTTTACAAAACAACACCAATTAAAAAAATTTGTGTACATATATTTACTATTTTTATGATAATAGGTTGGAGGCTACGATTCCGTGTCGAATAGTTATTTGAATTCAGTAGAATACTACGATACAAGTTCAATGATATGGACAGAACTTGTTAAACCCATGCCCACAGCTCGATGCATGTGCAGCGTTATAATCAATAACAATCGATTATATGTTGTGAGTAAATATTAAGATGACGTTATACCCCCTATTTATTAAGGATTTTGGTATAGGCAATTTTTTTGTAAAATCGTAATTAAAAGGCTTATCTGTGATGTTTAATTATTAGTTAAGTAATCTTGACTCTTTTTTTGGTAGTTTATTTATTTTTCGAAATGTCACAGCATCCTTGACAGCAATCTTAACTGGTTACGCATATTCTCTCTTATCAACTAAACAACAATCGTAGACAATTTTTTTTTACATATTTAAAATAATAAAAACTTTATCTAGGTTCTCTCGTCGGCTTTTTTTTTGATATTATTAACCCAACATTCACAATTTATATATTTTAACTCTGACATTTTTTAAACTTTTTTAAGTGCTTGTATTGGTAAAATTAAAGTTTTCAATAAAAACCGACGAGAGAACCTAGTTAAAGTTCTCCTCTTTTTAACGGTACCAATATTTTTATTCTACGACCAATTCGCTTTGACCTACACGCTTTACCGTAAACCCCTTTCTTACGATTATTTTTAAAGGGTATAACGTCCTCTTAAATTACTATGTACCCCAAGTCTAAATACTAAATAAATATCTACTTAAATTTGTGTTCATTGTTATTCAACAATGACTTTTAATTGATATTCGTAATTATGGTTTGTGAGAATTTATTTGAATTTTTTTTTAATTTAGTTTGGTGGAAGTAATGGGGAAAGTCTTTCAACTGTAGAATACTATGATTTTGAGGAAAAACGTTGGAAAAAACTTGGTCCTATGCCAGTATGCGATAAGGACATGGGTGTAGCGACAATTGAAAACGAAATTTATCTTATTGGTGGTATTAATAGACCTCGGCAAGTTTATAAATTAAATGTACAAAATTTCCAATGGAATGGAATGCCTAATACGCAGTTGAAAACAAATCGTGCAATATCATGTATGTATACATCAATAATTCAAGTTATTTTTATGTTTTTATTTACTGTTAATTTGAAAATTCAGGTATTGTGACCAAGAAGAACGACTTATACTTATTTGTCAATAGCAATGGGAGAGTATTCTGTGAAATGTATGATGCAAGAAAAAAAAGGTGGGAATGGATTGACGGTTATGGAGAATATGTTACTACTGATATCATTGCCTGTAGTGTGGAGACTCTGAAATCGTGTGGTATATACTTAAAGTAATAGTTTTTTATTAATCAATTCTAGTGAACTAAATTTTGTTTGTCTTATTAAATTTTACGCTGAAATTTCCATTATTTTATTTAGTGTTCTCTGTACTTACTGTTGTCAATTATTTGACGGCAATAATAATTGGTTAGTCAAAGTAGGAAATTAAAAAATTATTGTGTATATTATTCTTGACTAAAACATAAAAATGTCAAAGCCGATAACACTTAAGAAAAAAAAAAAGATAGGCAAGTGTTTGAACATTAAAATTAATTAATTATAAAATAAATATAAAATTAATACAATTTATACAATTAAATATTTTAACAGCAAAAATACTTTGTTACAAAACAGCAGTTACTTACTTAGTACAAAATAATCAAATAAAAGCCATTTCACATAATTTTAACACCAAAGGTAAATTGCATAATATTATCACCCCAAATGTACATAAATCTAGCAACTCAATTTTCTTTTCTATAATACACTGGTCCAAATATTTATAATAATTTACCTTATGATTAACGTGATTATACAAATTATGTTTTTTTTTTTTAATTGATTTTTTAAAAAAAACATTTACAATCTGTACATAAAAAAAAAGTATACAATAAGCAAATATGTTAAAAATGTAAATATGTGACTTGAAGATTATGGGTAGGGAAACTATCCAGCGATAGGACCCTATGACATGTTACAAATTATGTTATATTCAAACTAAATTTAACAAATTGGCTACTACAACAAACTGCTGATTATGTTCTCAAATTGTTAATTTCATACCTTCAATACTCTATCCTATATATGTTTTATGTGTTAAACATCTTAAGTATACATAGGTTTTAACTTTAATTAAGGAATGTATTTTGAAAATTCGTAATTGCTATAGTTAAGACACATGAGCCCCCACACGAGCTTGCTCAGTGGGGCCCATTATACACTATATTATATTATATTTATGTAATATTTTGTATTAAATAATAATAACATTTTATAGCATTGTAAAAAAAAAAAATAAATGTATTAAAAAACAAGAACTACAAAATGACTATTATTTTCTTAGAAAAAACGTAAATTATGTTTAAAGGATATTCCCGTAGTTTCGAATCAAAAGTAATTAAACAAAAGTAATGTTTGTTTTCAATCAGTTAATGGTTGATATATATATTATTATACTGAGAGCTAACTTAACTGTTTTGGAGCAAAACGTTGGTGTCGGTCTGTAAAAAAAAAACAATAGGAATTTGTTGAGTTTGGTCATGTTGTTTACTTTAATAATATAAAACGCTAAAATCATATGTTATTCATGATATTTTTATTTAAATTTTGTTTTATTACTTTTTATACACTATTTATGTAACGTCAAGATTCAAGTATATTGCACTACACTGAGACATTAGGAGGCTAGACTTAATAAATAGGTTTTGTTTGGGACCATCCGTGTAGCATCTTAAAGACATATCAAGTAATTAGTTAGACATAAGTTGACTGTTTGAAAACGTTTCACAGCTAGCCATTTGTTGTCAAACGGATAAAATATTATTTATGTATTATCACAGATGTTATAATGAAACTTCAATAGATTCACATTACATACTTATAGCAATAAAACGAATATTATATTTTTAATAAAAAAAATAAAAAACGTTTACAAGGTAACGCCTGGGTTGATGTGGAATTTTTTGGCGAAAACCATATGGTCCATGTTGTCTATTTATTATTAAAGTACTTTGCACGTCAAGGAGAAAATAGGTTCTAGGTATTGTTCAAATAATTTGAGCTAAACACTCGATTTTGATAACGTACCATAATAATTAATAGCCAACAGAGTTTTTATGGCCAGGTTCATAAAAATGAGAGTTATGCGACCGGATTTTCATTTGGAAAGAAATCTTCCACACGATAAGTTATTATTACACAAATTCGTTTTGTTCCTTGTGCATAAAAACGCCTTGAAAGTTAAGTACTACCTTGTACCTCAACTAATTATTGTTTGCCGATCTAGTAGTGTGCAGTGCGGTTGAACGTGGTGATCATCGACTAGATTAGATGAATTTTAGACGGCTGTACAGTCTTGACCACTTGACGGCAGGTCTCCGAGTGTTTTGGCACTCGATCGCTACGCTCGTCGGCGCCGTCGCTTCGCTCCGCTAACTAAAAATATCCTAGGTTTGTAGGCTACAGTATAGGAGGAGGTTACAGGTTTAACTTTAAGTTCAAGTTCTTTTGAAAAGTTAAAGAGACTTGATAATATACGCGTAGTACCGAATACCGGAGCCGTTGGGGAATTTACCTACTCGTGAAACTTTTTTCAACGGGAGCCGTTTGGGTTGCACCGATTATTTTTATAGTAAAACTTAAAAGGTTTTAAATAAAATCATCATCATCGATGTCAGAGATACAACTTCTACATCATCGCTGGACCAGATTAAGATACGTGGAAATATTATATAATAATAACTTTAGAGTAATAATAAAATTAGGAGAAGTTAGGATAAATTAGTAACACACACACACGCACATTTATCTCACATAAAGAACATTATGTATGTACAATCCGTCCTAACATATTTCCATTCCATCTCTCTCTCTCTTCTCTTTTTTTATTATTACACTATCATTGTTGTTCTGCTAATTAATATAATTTTAATTTTTACACTATTAACAAAATAGGATTAATGGATACTAATTAATTAGTATTAATAAATCTAGTGATTGTTTATAATTGCAAAAAAAAAAACGTAGCATAACTATGTAAATTATTATAGTAATTAGTAATGAAGACAATTTAGTAAAAATTTCGTTTAGAAGTCTAATGATGTATGTTTTGTTGTGTTTTGTATTTTTATAGAGCACACGGGTTCGTATATTATATTTAAGTGTAATGGCAGTTTTTTTTAAATTTTAAGTTGTTACATTTAAAAACGTTATAGGTTGCGAGACACTTGTGTACACTAACAGAGAAATAAATAACGACAAGTAAATATGAACAATTGACAATTCCTTGGTTTTTTATCAAATTATTCAATTTTTGCTTGGTTTTCACCCAGCTGAGAGTGAAAAAATTTTTTTTTTTTAATTTTATTAACCTATATATATATATATATATATAATATAGTCTCTAAAACAATAAACTGCGTTGATAAATAGTATTTTATAGATAAGATAGCTAAATTAATTTAAATTCGATTCGGACATATTAATTTATGTTATTTGATAAAAAAAGTTGTGTGTTAATATAATTATTGTTGAGCCAAATGCCAGCCAAGAAAATACATTCATGAATTACTGTACGGTTGGCTACCATGTGTGGAGCCATTATAGTGTGAACCGGACATGGGGGTTCGCAAAAACATGTTTGAGACTAAAGGAAACATTGTATTTGAATAGAGAAAAGTCGTTTATTATGATTTATGAAGTAGATCAGATCTTATATCCGGTACATAAAGTGACATCGATACTATACTTTTGCATGTAAAGTTTTTACGTCGAAAACGTCTACAATTATGTAGGTTTCGTTATGATATCTCATTCGTAAGTTTGACATATTGATGAAAATCACGACCGTCTATTCTATAAAATCCGTCGTCAAACTTTCTGTAAATGGCAACATTGTCGAAAGCTCCAATAAGATGACAATCGCGGTTCTCGTCGACTATAACGCTATTGGTAAAATGTATGCGATATCTTGGGTCTGATGCAGTTTGCAACAACGCTAATAAATCACATGTCTGCTGTGAATTGAACCGAGTTACAAGTCCTCCTTTAACAAATTATTTTTGGGCATATTAATTATTTAGAAAAAGAGTTCTAAAAACATAATATAATGCTATGTACTCGGCAACGAATAGGCAGCAAGAAGGCGAGGCGACAGTGTGACCACTTTAATACAAATAAATACTTTTTTCTACAAGGTGTTAAACACTGCACAGTATAATCCTTATTATAGTATATTTTATAATTAATGCAATTTATATAGACTTAAATTAGATGTTTAAATCATTTAAATCAAAATCGATGGAAACTAAAACTTTGCCTTGCTCCACCTATACCACAACTGGTGCTGTATCACTAATACCGTCGCAAGTACAAATTATACATTACGGTAAAGGATTTTGTTCTAAAAATACTTACTTTCGACTCTGTGCAGTAAACGTTTCAGAGACGGGTAAGTTATACTTCTTCTAGTTATCCCCAAAACTACCAAACTCTTGTTACTAAAATCTGTAATTGTAAACATATGTTAATATAGTTATGATAACCATTTTTTTTTTTTTTGATAGAGCTCCGATGCGAAGCTGAGATTTTATTTAGAATGTGGTTTTTTTTAAGGAATTCATTATTATTTTTTATGCGTCTGGATCTATAATAACTGAACCGACCCTTTGCATAATCGTCTTCTACCATATACAGATTAGACTTCTTTTTAATAATTTTTATATTACCTATGCCCGCGGTATTAACCTCTTCGGTTCCTGTAAGATAGCTAAACTAAGAAATATTAAAATTAAACAATAAATTATATTTAAGAGCAATATAAGTATTTTTATGTATAATATTTTTATCTTTAACTCCGAAGACCTAGTCAAACAATGTCGATAAAATGTTTTTTATAATCAATTTGTCAATACTGTATAAAAAATAAACATTCAACGATTTGAGTACTTTCGTTTGACTTTAGGACTTGCGTTATAGTTTGAACAATGAACAATTATGGTTTTGTTGAATGTTGGATATCAAATCTAATAGTAAATAAACACCTAGGTCCCCTCAAGTTTTCCAATACTTTTCCCTCCGTGTTGTCTAGGTTTTAATTCTCGAGATTTATGTCATATAACATATTAGTGGAGATCTATATTGCAAGGGATCTAGGTAAGGTATTGTACCAATCTAACGTGTATTGAATTTATAATTTTTTCAGTGCACATTTTTACCATGTGTTCTGTTTTATTTACCAAGTCATATTTTGCTAATCTAATTCTGCCCTGCATGTGCATCTCGTTGTTTATCAACTCTGAAATTCCAAACAAAAAATATTATGAGTTAATTATATTCATATCATTTAATAGCCATTCCACTTATTGTGGCTATTGATCATGCGTTCTACCCTTCTTTAAATTAAAATAAACAGATAAACGTTCAAGTTTTTTTACAGCTTAATTTTAGTTATTATTACAATGTAGTAATACGTTTTATTATGTATATATTTTCAACAAATTTAATATATACGTCCTTACACGAATGGCTTATTTACCTCTAACGTAACTCAATTAAGAAATATTAGTTATAAAGTTAACCAGAAAATTAAGTAGGTACCAGCTAGGCGATACCTCTTTTTGAAAAAAAAATTTAGGGACTACTACATATTTAATAGTTAATATTTGTTGTATAATAAATAAAATCAATTACGTTGCAGATCGTTCGTGTCATTGTATTCTATGTTTTCTGAAATTTCGACAAATACATTTATTACTTAGTAAATATCAATAAAAAAAAATACTGTCTATATAATCGTATTATTACCTGGTGCAGCCAACATTAATGCCAACGACTCTAAAATTAATAAAAAATGATCAGCTAACAGGATTAGTTATTACTAGACATTATTATGGAGATGATAGGAACCTCGATACAGACATATATCTGATACAGTATCTTGTAGCTTTTTAAAAAAAAACAAAATACAGAAAACCGGTTCAAAATACAAAATCTGTAATGATTAATAATAATATTTTTTTTTTATTTACAAAATTTTTATATTTGGAAAAATTATATTATATGTTATATCAACACTTCGCAAACTTGACACCACGTTATCACCTATCGGCAATCTATTAAATTAACAAAAGTAAGGCTACTTAGTGTTAAGAAATATTGAAGTCTTAATATTTGCGGTATGGGTGCATAAGTAATAATTTATAAAATCTACACTCGTTATTTTTAATAGTGTTGTAAAACATTAGTAATAATTGTTGTACAACTAAGTCCTAACTAATAACAATAGTATACTAGTAATTTATTATTGTGCATGGACTGATGCCAAAAAGGCAAACCGACCAAGAATGATGGCTAGAAATAAGGAATGTCTTATGGCGCTTTCGTGTTATTACAAACTGATTCTTTAATCATTCTTTAATCTTTATCTCTGATCAGTTATCCAGGAATTATTGATATTCCTCCGTTTTCCTGTACCCTTCCGAATGTATAACAAAGGCACAACCAAACATACACAAGAGGCGTATGATTACTATAAATTAATAAACTATACACTTACTAATGGAACTATTTGAACATATTAAAGTTTCGACCACTTTGTCTACAGAATCTAGAAAAACACATACTTATAAATGGTGTATTGTATAGTAAAATAGAGATTATAGTGTATTATAGTCGTATAATGATGTAAATATGATAAAATAAAAGCCCGCAAAGGGAGATCGGTGAGGTTACAGGCTGTTTAAGAAATAAATATTAATATAAAACATTGAATAATACAATACTATAAATAAACCCAAATTAATATATATTCATTTTTTTTTAAACATTTTTTTCTGGATCTTTCACATTATCGAACGGTAAATCAATATGCTAAAATTATTTAAGGTTGCATTTCATAGAACAACGTGATACTTATAAAATCAAAGTATTACTCATCAGCATAAACGTTAGTAATACATTATTTTTCATTTTATCACATTTTTTAAATATTTTACCTCCGAATATTTGTATTGATTGGAATAAGAAGTCTGTAAGGAAAATGGTAAATAAAAAAAAAGTTAATATGTATTTAACAATTTTAAATTAAATTTTGTGGATAATAATACTATTATTGATATAATTATTGAGTACTGACTTGAAATGTATACTTGCTTCTTTAAGTCAGCTGTAAAAACAAATGAAAATTTTTTTTTTTGACATTCTTTGTAAGTAATGGATTTCTAAAATTATCAAAAAGTAATTAAAAAACAAAATCATCCTATAAAACATTTAAGTGACACAGTAGTGCACGAATATGTTTTATGTAGCACTAGACTGCGTTTTCTTAAAACTTTAAGAATGTCAAAAAATTGTAATGATTACTTTCGGTGACTGCCAAAACATTTACAATGAAAAATGATAAAAATAAACAATATAATTTCATTTTTATCTGAAAAAAATCAATTTTTATTAGATACGATTGCCAATTGATTATTTATTTATTTGACAACTATAAAGCTTAAGGACTAATAAAAAATTATTCGCAATAGCTAAAGATCATGGATTCCAAATAAAATTCTATGGAAAAAGTCTGAAAATACAATTTTCAAAACACAGTAGCCTATTAACCATTACCAATTCTTAGGCAGAAGTCACTGTTCCACTAAAGTTACTTGTTACTTATTAGTTATTACTAATAATATTACAAATAAGTATTACATTAAACAGCAAACGTTTTTTCTTTTTTATATTTTACCGCTAATTGATTAAAATCGCCATGTTAAAATAGTCTACAACTTTAGGCTATTATATAGTAATTACAATAATTAACAAAGGTTCTGATAAAATTCGTATTTAAAAAATCTCTTAAACGGGAAAATAATGAGTATAAACTGACATTTTGAAAAGACATTTTGAAGCAAATCTTTTGTAATGGAGATTGTCAATTTCTAGTAAACACATTAACTTTAGGAAAAAAATGTTTTATGTAAATTGTGCCCGCATATTTATTCGGACCGTCCATTCTGTCTTTTGGGCTTTATTAAAAAATAAAAATAATATAACAGTTTATAAATTATGGAAATAATAATTCATAAAACGATATTATAAAAGCGCTGACTAGTAGGTTTGGTGGTAAGACTTACTTAAAACGATTTAACTCTTGCGATGCAACGTTAGGCTTGTTAAACTAAGTTCTGACTTTTTGTATGTTATGTTATTTTGGTCTTGTCGGTGTACTTTATAATGCTCGTTATCGAGGAAAATTTTATAATAAATTCGCATGTTGATTTGTGCAATTTATGAGATGTTTGTTTTATAATATTTGGTTGCGTGTTAGCCACGTGGAGGCGCCGGCTCGTCGTTCCTTATAATACGGTTAAAACCTTGAGTCTACATATGTTCCTAATGGTAACTTCTGAGCGCAAATGCAAGAATACTGTAAATTGTTATAATTTGTCCATTGTCTGTTCTCGGTGCCCATCTAAACCGTGTAACTGCAAGTAGTTTACACCAAAAAAGTAACGTTGCATGTTTTAATCATATTTGTGTTGTCTTAACTGAAACTTGGTTAAATAATAATATTTGTAATATTGAATTAGGCATTTTGAATAATTATAAAATTCACAGATGTCATAGAGGACTCAAACTAGTTCCTCTCAAATTGGCGGTGTGGTACTCGTTGGCATGCGTTGTACACTTTTATCATTCATCATGTTCTTTTCCCTTTCAGGTGTTTTTGGCATAGGTTTGTCTCTTTTACTTATAATAAATTGAATTACTCAATTATTGGAGTTTACATTCCACCTCTAAGTCCTTATTTAATTTATGAACAAGTGCGCTTTTATACAATTAAATGGTAATCCCGTTTTGTGTTTTTTTTTTCATTAATTATTTTATGTATGATTATTGACCGTATTTTTGTTGGAAATTTATATTCAAACGCAATACGTCCATAAAAAAAATGTGTAAATTTAGGCATTCCTAAAATCTACAACATAATATCGCCGCCACGGTAGAACAATGACACAACTGCAATAATTACAATTTTACAGGACTCAGGAGAACCAAAAAACTAAATTATTTTCACTAAAATGTTATGGGATGTAATTTTAATGGAATGGGAATGCTTGGGAAATTATTACAACTACAGTTACGTCGTTTTTTCTACCTTAAGCGTTCGCTATATCTAAACACGTTGAAGCATTTAGTCCATTTTACCAAATTTTGCAATTGTGTCATTGTTCTACCGGGGCGGCAAGATGCGCTCACACAATTCATTCTTAATTTATGTATGAGTTACATTTAAAACAAACACATTCGAACACAACCGTATATTTTGGTAAACGTCGCCAAAACAATCGTGTTCAATTGACGTCCGAATTCAAAGTGGTCGCGAATTCGAATTTGAACTGTTCGTATGAACTTTTAGACTAATTAACAACTTGGATATAACCAATAGTCCAACTCATAAAATATAAGTAAATATGTTTTAGTTAATCTATTTCTAATAAATAGATTACCCTTTCAGAAGAATGGATTATGTCTTTTAGAAGGGCTTCAATCTGTATACTGGCATAGAGCCCACGATTTTTCTACTACGCCATTAGATACAACTTATAATTTTACCTAACATAGCTTGTATGAAAAATGTATGTATACCAAAAGCTTGAATATTTAAATACCCTAATCAATAAATTCTATAAAAAAAATCTACACATTATTTCACTGTTTGTTATGACACAAATATATATTTAGTTATAATGTCCAATACATGCAGATATAATCTAATCATATTTCAGCGAATAAATAATAATTAACTATTGTTATGATTTGTGTTAAATAAAAAAAAGATATAAAAAGAAACACTCTAAGGACTTGGGCGAGTATAAAGTAGCACACAAACAAATCAGTATGAGACAAGTGATAACTAGGAGAGATAGCTTGGCAAAAATTCCTTTATTCTTAGAAGTTTCTATTGATAGAATTTTACTATCAGTGTTTATAAATACTCCAGCCTATATAAAAAAATGAATTATATTGCAAAATTGTGTTTTGTTTTTTAATAACACATTTTTAAAACGATATTTTTGGTATGGCTAATTGGAAACAAAAACAAATCACAACTATAGTATATTAATAATATTCTACTGTATGAAAAAAAACAAGATAATGAACATGAATAAAATATCGAAATTAGGATTTAAAATGATTTAAATTTTATATTTATTTAATTATTTTGAATGACTCATAGATAGAACGTCTAGACTGCAGACCTCGATGTGCAATTATTTTAATAAAGTAAATATCAAACACAAACAATCAAACAAATATTATAAAACAAACATCTTATATATTGCACAGATCAGCACGTGTAGTATGTTTACATTTTAATCGAAACGATTATTATTTAACACATAGACAAGACCGAAAGAATATCACATTCAAAAAGTCAGAACTCAGTTCAACAAGCTAATCGAATTAGTTTCTTTCTCAAGAGTTAAAATCATTTTAAGTAAGTCTTTCCATCAAATCTACAAGTCAGCGTTTTTATTATATTGTTTATGAATTATCATTGCAAATATTTATAAACGGTTTTTTTAATTTTTTAATAAAGCCTAAAAGACAGTATCGACGGGCCGAATAAATTTGCGGGCAAAATTCACATTAAAAAAAAATGTCTTAAATTAATGTGTTTACTAGAAATTGACAATCTCCATTACAAAAGATTTGCTTGAGTTTAAACTGTTAGTTTAAACCCTTTTTTTTCCGTTTGAGAGATTTTTTGGATGCGAATTTTATCCGGATCATTGTTAATTATTGTAATTGCTATATATTAGCCTACAGCTGTAGACTATTATATCATAGCGATTTTTTACTCAATTAGTTGTAAAATATAAAAAAAAGGAAACAGTTTGTTGTTTAATGTATAAACGTATTTGTAATATTAATATGAATAACTAATAAGTAACAAGTAATTTTAGTCGAACAGTCTGACTACTGCCTAAGACTTGCTTAAATATGATGAACATAATATTTACAGCATATTTATAATATTATATAATAGTATCTTGTTGCCTATTTAACATATGAAAATTAAATTATCTCGGTAAATGACTTTTTGACTACTTAAGAATATATTAGAGCAAACATTAAAATTAATGGTTAAGAGGATACTGTGATTTTAAAATTCTGACTTTTTCTGCTTTTTCCATAAAAGTTTATTTGGAACCCATGATCATTGATTATTGTGGTTATTTATTATTAGTCTTTAAGGATCATAGTTGTCAAATAAATAAATAATCGATTGGTCATTGTGTCTAATATGAATTGATTTTTTTTCCAGATAAAAATGAAATTATATTGTTTATTTTTATCATTTTCCATTGTAAATGTTTTGGCAGTCACCGAAAGTAATCATTACAATTTTTCGACATACTTAAAGTTTTAAGAAAACGCAGTCTAGTGCTACATAAAACATTTTCGTGCACTACTGTTTCACTTATAAAATGTTTTATAGGATGATTTTGTTTTTTAATTACTTTTTAATAATTTTAGAAATCGATTACTTATAATGATTGTCTAAAATTTAATTCACTTTTTTTTTACAGCTGACTATAAGAAGCAAGTATACATTTCAAGTCAGTACCTATTTTTTTATATATTGTTATTCATCAAATATAATTTAAAACTGTTAAATACATTTGTTTACCATTTCGATTACAGACTACTTCTTCCAATCAATAGAATCAAAAGGGCAATTCGGAGGTAAAATATTAAAAAAAATTAAAAATAGAAATATAATGTATAATATACGTTTATTCTGCTGAGTGATACTTGTTGTTTTAGAAGAATCACGTTGTTATATAATATAGTACAGAGTAATAATTGCAAACTAGCTAATTATTTTTGAATACTTTTTAACCAAAAATAACGTTTATAATATTGTGTAATGTTACACTGTAAAGTATGGTATGTACTGATGGAACAGAGGGGAAATTGTATTTTAAAAAATATTTTTTCTATTTTTCTTTGTATTCGAGAAAATATGCCTTCTCAATATGGTATTTTTAAATGTTTGAGCACTATTTAGTTAAATTAAAAAAAAACTTAGTATGTAACTTATAGCTTTCTTTTTTACCACTTAAAATTATACATAATTTCCAATAGATTACCCTATTTAGCATACAATAATGTGAAAGATCCAAAAAACATGTATTAAATCAAATAATTAAATGTTAATAATATAATATATAATTTTGGTTAATTTTATAGTATTTTATTATTTCTAGATTTAGTGGACAAATCGGTCGAAGCTTTAATATGTTCAAATATGCCCATTAGTATGTGTGTAGTTGATAAATGTATAGTAAAGTAAGCCAATTGTGTTTGCTGATAATTTTTTTATTAATTTCAGCGTTTTTGGCATTAATGTTGGTTGCACCAGGTAATTACACGATTATATAGACAGTATTTTTTTTACAGATAGTTATACGATTGATATTTACTAAGTAATCAATGTATTTGTCGAAATTTCAGAAAACACAACAGACTATGACTCGGACTATCTACAAAGTAAGTAATTTTATTTATTTTACCACCAATAGTAATTATTATACGTTGTAGTCCATCAAATATCAATATTATAAAAAATAGAGATATCGCCTAGGTACACAATTTTTTGGTTAACTTTATGATATTAGTGTTTTTAATTCGTTACTATATCGATCTCAGTGTCGATAATTAGGGCAATTTTATGTAATAATTAAAATTATATACAGCCCTACTAATATATTCCTTAATTGAGTTTAGTTGGAGGTAAACAACCCATTCGTTTAAGGACATTAATATATTAAATTTGTTGAAAATATATACATAATAAAACGTAATACTATATTGTAATAACAACTAAACCTAAGCTGTAAAAAAACTTGAACGTTTATCTGATTATTTTAATTTAAAGAAGGGTAGGACGCATGATCATTATAGCTATAATAAGTGGAATAATTATGTAATGATATGAATAAAATTAACTCATAACATTTTTTGTGTTTTGAATTTCAGAATTGATAAACAACGAGAAACTAATACAGAACAGAATAAGATTGGACCATGGTAAACATGTGCACTGAATAAATTATAAATTCAATACACATTCGATTGGTACAATACCTTACCTAGATTCCTTGCAATTTAGATCTCCACTAATATGACATAAATCTCGAGAACTAAAACCTAGACAACACGAAAGGAAACGTATTGGAAAACTTGAGGGGACCTATGTATTTTTTTTACTATTAGATTTGATATCCAACATTCAACAAAACCATAATTGTTCATTGTTCAAACTATAACGCAAGTCCTAAAGTCAAACGAAAGTACCCAAATCGTTGAATGTTTATTGTTTATACATTATTGACAAATTGATTATAAAAAACATTTTTTCGACATTGATTGACTAGTCTTCGGAGTTATAGATAAAAATGTTATACATTACAAATACTTATATTGCTCTTAAATACATTTTATTGTTTAATTTAAATATTTCACTAGATTTAAATAGCTCACTTTTGTTGCAGGTAACGAAGTGCTTATTCCCGCAGGCATAGGTAATATAAAAACTATTAAAACCCTTATATAAAATCACTTTCCAAAAAAAATCCTTCGATGCGAAACTTTTCATTACACACAGACCTATAAGTGTTTTAAAAAAAAAATTATAATGGTGTAATTAGGTTTTTCTTGACCAAAATATACCAATTATAGATCAAGACACACAAAAAAAAATACATTTCTTAAAAAAAAAAAAATACACATTCTAAACAAAATCTCAGCTTCGCATCGGAGCTCTATCAAAAAAAAAAATGGTTATCATAACTATACCTACATTTTGTAATTACAGATTTTAGTAAAAAGAGTTTAGTAGCTTTGGGGATAACTAGAAGAAGTATAACTTACCCGTCTTTGAAACGTTTATTGCACAAAGTCGAAAGTAAGTATTTTTAAGAATAAAGCCCCGTGCCTTTGATGTATAATTTGTACTTGGGACGGTAATAGTTTCCATTGATTTTGATTTAAATGATTTAAACATCTAATTTAAGTCTATATAAAGTGCATTAATTATAAAATATACTATAATAAGGATTATACTGTGCAGTGTTTAACACCTTGTAGAAAAAAGTATTTATTTGTATTTAAAGTGGTCACACTGTCGCCTCGCCTTCTTGCTGCCCTATTCGTTGCCGAGTGCATGGCATAAGGCATTATATTATTATGATGTTACAACTCTTTTTCCAAATAATTAATAAGAGTAAAAATAATTTTTTGAAGGAGGACTTGTCACTCGGTTCAATTCACAGCAGACATGTGATTTAATAGCGTTGTTGAAAACTGGAACGGACCGCAGATATCGCATAAAGGAAGTGAGAGTCGAAGAAGATAGCGATTGTCGTCTTATTGAAATTTTCGACATTGTTTCCACTTACATAAAGTTTGACGACGGATTTTATAAAATAGCTGACCATACTCTAAATAAAATCAGCAAACTTACGAATGAGATATTATAACGAAACCTACCTAGTTGTAGACATTTATCGACATTTATCAACGCGAAAACTATGTATGTAAAATTATAGCGTCGATGTCACTTTGTCAGTTGATTTTCAGCGCGCACTTTATGTACTGGACGTTAGTTGTTTAATTTTATAAATCCTAATAAACAACTTTTCTCTAATCAAACACAATGTTATTTGCTTTGGCCTCAACATATTTATCGCGAACCCCTAAGTCCGGTTCACACTATAATAGCTCTAGACTTATTATGGTGGCGCTAAGTGTTGCAATACAATGCTTCTTATATGCTACTATATTGTGTCCAATTAACTCTGTCCATGAAAAAAAAATGTTCAACTGTTATTAATAGCAAGCTTGTTGTTTGAATGCGGGGAAAAAATTGACCTTTAACGTTTAATTTAGTTTTTATATCACAATATTTTATTGACAAACAATGGCTATTGTACATTTTTTAAAGTTATATTTGGAAAAAACACTTCAACGGACATAAGCCTAATTTTTTTTGAAACAAGACAAAATATTAAGGTTTCTAAGAAATTTCTATTGAGTAACCTGTCAAAAACAATTTTGCAATAACCAATCAATACACCAAACAAGCATGATCTAACGTTTGAAATTTTTTTTTCAGTATTCCGCATGACAACCAATAAATATACATTGTCGTTATAAACAACCGTTGTACACTTATACACTATTATTTTACATGTGTAATGCGCAACGATAGGCAATCTAAACGGTAAAAACAGACTCATTGCCGTTGTATAATAAGAAAATACATAATAATATAATTACAAGTGTATGTTTCTCTTGTACCTAGCTACTTAAGTTATTATTATATCGTTGTAAACACAACAACAAGCGCTTTGGTGTGTTTTTGTTGTATCCGTCCAGGGGGACGGAACTCGCCTAGTTTTATACAAACATAGACTTGACAAGTTGACCGGTTTGAGTATCATAATATTCAACACTCAAGAGCTCTAATATAGCTTGCCAGTCAACTTGTTAAACGACAAGTCACTTTCTGAAGTGTCCACCGAACAGAGTTCCAATATTGGTTTAAGTTTAACATCTCAACATTTTATTGTATATATATATGTGGTTGTGTTCTGATAAATATAACTAGTCTCCTAATAGCTAAATCAAAATCGACCTTGAGCCCTATACACAGGGAAAATAATAAGCTTGACATAAAACAAAAAATATATTTTAATCCGTCCAATAGACTTCTATTTAGGTCATTTTTTTATCAGACTTTCGCCACAACTCGGAGAACGATTATTGACTTTATATGTTTTACAGCTAGAATTACTTTACGCATTGTTTCACGTTTAAATTAATAGGCATATCGAAAACTGCCACAATTGCCTATCCTTACCCCTTAATACAACAACGCAGAAAATAACAATATAATATACCATACATATATGTATTATTAATACGTCGGTTGCGTAGCAAAATACAAAAGCATTAAACATAATATATATTAACAATATTGTTTTGTACAAGACACTACGAATGGCCATATCATGGTTCTTATATTATTATATTGCTTAACCGGATGTACACAATTTGTGAACAATAATTCTAAAACCGACGTGGTTGTTGCTTAATGTAGTGTTTGTGTTTGTACATACAGGGTGCGGACGGTTTGTCGCATTAAAATACAAATCCGGAAAAGGAAACATTAATTTAAACGCAATTAGCAGCAGCTACTCATCAACGATGCCACTCTGATGACGATTACAGTGGTCGGATTGCCCAAGTCCAACGACAGTCGACGGATTCGACTTTGAGGTTTGTGACGTCTTAGATGGTGTCTTAGATTTATCGCAATTGAATAAAAAAAATAGTTGTCAAATAAACGCCACTATGGGTGTGTAACGTCGTAAGTAATGATTTTCAAAAATCACATCCATTCGGAAACACGTGCGCTTTAATGGGCTCGGATAAGTGTAGAGAAATAAAAAATTTAGAAGGAGAAGTAGGCCAAAGTCGCCAGTCTTCATACTCAACACTTAGAATCAATACAAATCTCTTTTCTTCGTTTTATCTCCATTCTGCTAGACCTCTCCATTCGATATACATAACGATTTCTTCAAAATATCAACTCTAAGAAAACGGCCGAATTCCTTGTATAATAATTCCTTTATAATAATTTACCGCATAACTAAATAGACTGTCGTCGCTTAATAGAGAAAACACATTTTAAAATCAGCTGTTACAAAGACACATTTTTCATTAACAATATTAAAACTAAGTCTCCTCTCTTTCTCCGGCTAATAATTATACTCTAATGGCGATTGAAAACGGCACTATCTTTTTTCCTAAAAACGCATACTAATTAATACTTTATTTTAGAGAAAAAGCTATTTGTGATCTATTATTATTGTTGTTTTTTTATTATTATCTTTAATTAATAGGTAAGTTATATTTTTAATTATATAATATATATATATATATATATATATATTTTGTACATGGTCACTGCAATTAGTCGGTTACCTTCGTTTATATATATATAATTAAAAAAAAAAAACTATTAATTATCGCCTAAAAAAAGAAACAGCTAGGGAAGTCAATAGTTAAACTCGAAATTCAATCATACTTTGATAATGTTCTAATGATTTTTCCTACTCCTTAAAAAGTATTTTAGGTAACTATGTTACTTATATGGCCAGAGGTGTTATCTTCTTTGACAAAAAAAACATGTGTTCTATTTAATATTTTTAAACATTTAAAAAACAAATGATTTGTATAATATTTTTAACCTGTAATCAAAATAGTTTTCATTTAATCATAATTTTTAGGAATTGAAAAAAATATATAATTGCTATTTGGTAACTTAATTTATCAAAATTAATATTTTACTAATTTATTGCTTAGTGTGTTAGAAAAGAAATACATTTAATTTAGCTAGCGCTCTATAGATATTAAAGACATATTATTATCTATTAGATGTTTTAAAAATGTGCTTTTTTAGATGTATACTTGCTAACTTATTTTTCCCAAAATCTCGACAGCTTAATCTGTATGAGAAAAATTGTATAATATTAAATAAAATAAAATTGGCATTGAATGGTTGTTTTGCAAAAAAAATTGTCCAATACCTAACACTCATCCTGTGATGTCATCGGCTGCGGTTTCAGCATGACTAGGATGTATGCACAGAGAATAGTCACCAAAAATTTTCCTCGTTCCAAAGGGTTAATAATAACTTGAAATAATGAATATTATTTTAATTACTTCCGCACTTAGGCCATTAAAATATTATTGTTTTATTATATGATGAATGTTATTACGAAAACGTACAATAATTGTTTTGCTGTTTTACATTTTGTTGTTAAATTTCAAAAATTCTCATCAATTACATGTTATTTGAACAACACGAAATGGCTATATTTTGAAATGTTTATTAAACGTCATTATATGTTAATGTGTTCGTTATGTAGCAAAATGCAAAAAAAAAAAATATTAGTCTAGGGCCTAGGTAAAAATATCCAGAGGGAAATATGTCCAAGTACATTTTGAAATTTCAAAATCATTTTTAGATGAACTAATATCATAACAATATAATAATAGGGCTCAGTCTTTTCAATTTTTTTTTTCCAATAAATAAATTTATATTTAATATTGATAGTATTTTAAAATAATATAATATAATATTAGTATTATTATATTTATAAATATATTATAATATGTATCCTAATTCCTAATATATTTCCTTTATTCAACTATTATCCTTAACACTAACTTCACACACACTTCACTAACTAACACATCCTTAACTATTCTTTATACAATTTATGCAAATTTAGACGGTGTTAGAAGTTAAATAAAATAAAACGTGTTGTATTATTAGTCGTTTTATACAGCAATCAAATAACAATCGATTCAATTATATAATATACAGTATGTTTCACAAAGATTGGACAAATTAAATAACTTTTGTACATGCAGAAAGAAATAACTCTTGAACTGAACCATAACAATTTTTTCTCTTTACACAACTGAAATAATTGGACCATCCTGTGTAATCGAATATTTGTCTGACTTTTTGGTCTAAAATAAACCAAAAGGGCTTTTGTAGAGAAAATAAAAATAAAATAATAACATACACCTTGAAGCTTACCAATAAATATTAACCGGTAAATCGATATTGACATAGTCGAAATTTATTAAAAACTCTTCATTCTTAAATATTGCCTATACAAAACTCCTTGAAAACAGACCGCGTGCAATCCCATTAAGAGGTGAATACAAATCATGCTATATCTCAAAAATACTCGTCAGAACAAAAGTCATTTCATTTGTCCAACTTGCTTGCGGGACACCCTGTTTATACATTTTATTTTTAGCACATTTATTTGTATTGTATTCTTAATTATTGTTTCACTATCGTCCAATGTCCGGTTTCACAGTAGTAGCGATTGCAAACCATGGGAAATGTTTGTTTTACAATAAACGAGATTCGGTTGAAGAATAAAAACCCAGCGCAGACGGTTTTCCGAGTTTCATTCGTTGTCGGTCGTCGAGACGTATATAATATACATGTACATTTTTGTTTATCTAGTGTTTTACCCTTGAAAGGTAATCATCATATACAAACTCGGTCACGTCTCGTCGACGACTTTTATTTAGTATTGCAAAGACGTCGTCTCCATGGACCACAGCGAGAACCGGTAATTGAACGTTATTATATTGTTTTATATCTAGATATAATTGAATTCGAGTTAATCTGATATATATATATATATGTATATACTATGAAGTACATTGAGTACATCGCACACACACTGGTGTCATTTGTTTCACACTTAAGGCTACAGGATCATCAATGATATTTTACTCGTTAAATATTAATACCGGCACGTCCTAAGCGTTTGTATAATAATAGTTGCCAAAGTAAAACATTACACATTGATAATATAATATTATTATCAATTATTCCAAGGGCATCATTCATCGGTTATTATTTATCGATACACATAATAATTTTCAGTACGGAGCGCGCATTATGGATTTGTTACTACTGTTATAATATTTATAATAGTTAATACTCTATTAATTATTGTACTCGTACACAGTAATTAACTATATTTCCAATAATTACTATATTATTATCTGGATCCTCCATGCAAAATAGACTTGTTTAAATTTTTTTTTTTTTTATTAGCCTTTATTAAAAAATATGATGGCAGACTTGTTTAAATTGAATTTGTAAAAACAACATGTTGTCAAAATATGTGCATATTTTATATGGCGCTTTTTTATTTTACGATAAAAAAGGAGTGTCGAGAAAAAAATTAAAAATACCTTTTGAGACCATGAGCAAAATAATGGGGGGGGGGGACCAAAAAAATTTGAGCACATTCTTTTCACATGCAGTGTAATTTGACCCATGTAAGATTATGCGCGTTTAAAATAGAAATATATTATGGTAAAAATAGAAAATCACACACAACAATAGAATTTTAATTAATGAAGTATGATCGTCCTTCGTTTATTCGCAATTAAAACGATATTCTATTGAAATGTATTGTCATAATAACAATTATCACAAAAACTGCGTGGTAATATATACCACGCAAGAATATATATATATATATATACCGCGTAGGAATACCTATTTTCCAAAAATCAAAATTGCGAACGAAATACAATATCATACTTAAGCGTCCTTGCTAATAACAAGTATACAATATTGTGTTTTTGGTGGACAACAACAACAAAATTGAACAACCTAAAGAAATCGTTTTGAAAAAATATAGAAATCAAATTGCCAGACCGTGTAGGTTTACAATTATTATTATCATGCGGTTTTTTTTTTATTTTACTTATGACCACTTTGTGATTACATAAATATTTCCATAGACTCTTTTTTTACTTCCTCTGTGTTTCGCACACGAAAGCCAATTGTTTCCTGTTTTCTAAAAAAGTAACTTTTTTTTTATGTATCAAATTGAACAGATCTATCACGGTTGGTAAACACTAATGCTCATCATTCACAGACCGCGATGGTTTCTGCTCATCTTTAACACTAATAACTCTTGAGAAGTGAATAATCTCAACAAAACCGTTATTATATCATATTTTATATTATCTACATTTTGTCTACAGTTAAATGTGACGCAATAGTCGTTTACCGTAGGTACATTTTAACAATTCATTTTAGATGAAATTTGTTTTTAATAACTCATCTTCAGTAAATACTAATAATAATATTATTTATAATTCCATAAAATACAGAATTGATCATAGTGAATATGTATTTGTTTAAAACTAAAATAACAACAAAACTTACTAAGTATTATTTCCATGGTACAGTAAAAAAATAAAATTAAATTTAGCTAAGAAAAATGCTCAGCGTTTAAATCAATATCGTTTGGTACAAAAACTTGTACAAAAATAAAGAAAATAGAAAACTGGACCGGTTAAACCGAACAACACTGTAATAGATAATAACAATTTTATGTACTATCATTCGTATTTTTTATTATTATTCAATCACACACAAAAACATGTCGAATTTTAGAAAACAATTTTTCTTTACTTTTTACTTTTTATGGTTTACAGTTAATATAATTTAATTTCACTCGGTCGACAACCGGTTACCGTTTTTTTTTTCAATTTGACGTTCCGCCAACAGCCGAGCACAGTCTTACAAAGTCCTTAAGACATTTAAATAATAATTGTTTTACGATTGTACATTGAACATGGTATTATAATGTGTATAAAATAACGGTGTCGAGGATATAGAAACCCGTTTAGTTGGTGTACTAAAATACAACAAAAAAATAAATGTTCCTAGGTAAGTTACAAGTGCAGTACTGATACATTATAAAACCCAACCTATGTGTAATAATAATAACACCGGGTGATTATTTTAACGTCTTAAATTTGAAACACTTTTAAAATAAAGCGTACGCTCTAAATAAATTGTAATTTTGTATTGTTTTTATTTTAGGAAACAATTTTATTTATATCATAGTATAAAATGTTCGAATTTGTATCATTTTATTATTTTCTAAAGCTTTATCAACTTTTGAAACATACATCAATAAATATATATATGTACAAATTTAGTTCAATTTTTAAGTTTATAACCGTTTGCTAAAAAAATTGTATTTTCCGACCAGTAAAAATGTCCAGCAAATTATTCTTAATTAAAACAGTTAATAAAATACCATATACGTTACCGTTAAAGTTTCAAAAGTTGATAAAGCTCTAAAAAAATATTTAAAATCTTGTACACAGTAATATAGCGTAAACAAAAGTGTTTCCAAAGAGAAAAAATATCAATTATTTTAAGAGATAACTGGTGTTGGCTGTTAAAAGAACCACCCGATATAATCTAGAAGGTCGCCGAAACTGTAATTCACATCATAGTGTTTGTATTTTTTGTACAAAACTCATTTTGTATGAGCTTAATATAATATTAATTAACGAAAAAGTCTTAAGGACAAAATAAAAAAAATACACGTGTTTTTTCTCTAATATATAATTTAAATAATTTAAACAAATGTGTTTAAACATTATTAATTTACACAAAGCGTGTATTACAAAATTATAGTTGTATAATTTACAGGGGGTCGCAAAAATTCAAATTTTGTGTGAAGTGAGCGAAAAGCCGAGCAGCAGTGTGACCAGAGTCCCAAAACTACATTTCTCTGGTATATATTTTTTTGAATTTGTTTCACTTGTGATTTGACTTATCGGTTATAATATTAATATCACATTATTATGTGAAATTTAAATTTATCTATTGATCTCTCAGATATATATTATAATAAACTAGATTGCTAACTGTACATGTCACTAATAGAGAGGATTTGAAGCAGCCACTTTAAAATAATATATATTTATATGTATTTAAAGTGGCCACACTGTCGCTCGCCTTCTTGATTAGTTATCTTTAGCTCTATATATGTGTACTCTATGAGTTATGGTTGTGTTCACTTTTTTTTTACTGGAAGCAAAATGATATAGTATTAGGTATGTCTATATAACAATATGGAAATCGGTCGGTTAAATGTATTTTTTTTTTTTGAATAATTTGTTTTTATATACATAATTTTCTGTCAAGTTCGGTTGGATCAGTTTATACCGTTAGTGGGTTGTTTGGAAAATAATATGATTAAATCCGCATTACCTAATATTGAGCATTCATAATTCACATACACACCGTTTATTTTGTTTTTTCCACATCAATAGCTGCTGAGCTCGTTACATCATTATTATAGTGTGTTCCGATAACACGCAGTTTGGCAAATACAATACGCTATTATATAATAATTTATTTTTGTAGGACAACCGCATACTAATAATAATAATACCTAATCATATTATTATAATTACACAAACAATAATAATAACCAACGCTATTTATCGACATGGCACACAGCGTTGCTGTAATAACAGTATATACCTACTACCGTTTGTTGTATTTTACTAGAAGGAATATTAACCTGAACCAGAATGGTTGATAATGTAAAAAAAAATGTCCATGAAAATTGGTGAGTCAATTTGGACTTTTTTTTTTTTAATTCAACTAATTAATTAACGAACGCGATCAAATAAAAAAAAAGGCCAACTGAGAAATTTTCCATCATGAAATGTCAAAAATTAAAAATGTCTAGTTAAGAAATGTGTATAACTCAAAAAATGTTCAGTCAAGTAATGTTCCTTTTAATAGCCTGTGGTATATAATTATGGTCATAATTGAATAGTTTAAAATTTAAAAAAAAACCGTGCAAATTAATTATATTAATTAGGTACTTATACAAATGAATCAAAGTCCAGTACAACAATGGTTGTGTGTGAAATGGATGGGAAAACAAAATATAAATACAAATTGTACATTATAAATAACAACACTCTTTGTGTTAGTATTCCTATTTCCTATTAATAGTGTTTGTCGCATTCAAGGTCGGATGTTGGAAAATTATACTTTATAATACACATTATAATATATGTAAATATTGGCGTATGTATTTTCAAGATATAATTGGTAGGTAAACATTTTGATTTTAACTATTGCCTATTCGTCGTCCGGGTCGACTCTTTTGTGGTGTACATAGAAAAATATGCCTAGTCATTTTTAATAGAAAAAAAAAATATAATTTTACCGGTCTTAAGCCAAAGCATAAAACCTCGCCCTTGTGTACTTAAAGTGTACATTTTGTATACACTTGGTCGTTAAGTCTTGGTTGTCAGTCGAGTACGGTCCACGGCAGGACTGAGAACTCAGAAGTGAAAAATAAAAAATTAATATAAATGTATGTGATTTTGTTTTGCATTCCTAATCGTTTTTTTATACATTCAAAATCGACAAAGTTCATCGGGCTGTTGGAATCCACCCGAAACGCCTTAATATTTTAATCCATACGAGATGACTAGTGGAAATGCAGCGTTTCAGCTTATGTGAGTGTTGATTTTCCTTAAGTACACCCCCCTACCCTCGGCGGCAAAAAAAGTAAGGGGATATGATGTAGTAAATTAAACAAAATTTGCGGTTATAGTCGAGAAATAAAATATAAAAAAAAAAATAACATTTGTAAGTAATACCTAACGTTGTAAAGGAATTTTTTGTAGTTAAGACGTTGTTTTTTAAATTATTATAAATTATTCGGTTCTGTAGATTTCTGTTTTCGATTGTTAGTTTTTCTGATATTGGAAATGTGAGGGTGTTATAAATAACTAGTTCACACAAATATAATATATTATCTGCAAATAAACACGCATAAAAATAACGTTTTTAAACAATGACGAAAGACATTATCGCGATGAATTTATAGCGTTTTCGAGGCTACATAAAAATAAAATTGCAATTAAACCTTGAATTATTTACAATAATTGTTGCAATCAATAATAATAAGAGAAAATAATTATATTTTAAGGAAGAGGCACGCTGGTCTCACGGTATGGTTTACTTGTTTTTTTTTTTTATAAGATTCGGTAGTCGATGACCTTTTAAATTAATTTATCAACGTAAAATATATAAATGTGTATATAAAATCTTATCTGAGGGCTAACGGCCATGCCCTGCTTTTTTCGTATACACGAACCTAATTTTTAATATTATATGTTATTATTATTTGGTTAGCGATCGCCGATTTAAGACGAATGGAAAGGGCTGTTCGTTAAAGGGCAAAATATTTGGAGATTATTGGTCTAACAGTCATTTGAAGTATGGCAATTAATTTAAGGAACAATGTATACGTCGAAAACCCCCAAAAAATATCAAACCCCTTTTTGTGCTTGTTGTCTACTAAGAAATCTAAAACTCAATCTGTCAAGTAAAAATGTTTTTACCACATAAATATATAAACTTCATAGCAAGTCACCAATGAGAACATTCTACAGCTATTAACACAATGTAGCAGCTATATTTTAGAAATGATGAGGGATTTTGTGAATTTTTTTACTGAGGCTCAAAAATTTAAACTTCAATCTGTTTTGGTAATTTAACTCACACTAGTTAACAAATAAACTGCTTGGCAACGTTCCTGGCAAAATTCTCATGGGTTTTAAACAGTTTGGAGGAAAGTTTTTATTTATTTATCCTTTTCAAAAACGATTCCAAGACAGCTCAGACCATTTCTGTACATTTTCCAGAGCTTCGTCGGCTCACTGACAAAAGTCATTTTTTCCAGTACATTACTATTCCTAACTGAATAACATGCCAGTACCGCTTTAGAAAATACCGAAACAAAAAATTACAAATATTCGGAAATCACCGTTGAAAACGGAATTTTTTAAATTTTTTACTGTCATTCTCAGTTATTTACTTAATTTTTTAAGCAACAGCCCCGGGATATTATGCTTCTTCGTCCCCTGCGTCTTGCCCTGACCCCGCTGGGTGCTTAATTTTCATTCGGTTTATTTAACACTTTGAAAAGCGAGTGAGCTTCTTTTTTTTTATAAAATTCGACACTTTCCGTTCCCGTTTGTATATTGTAGTGTATGTTTATACAGTATGTAACTTGTGATGTAAAACGTACATAAAACACTGGCATCTTGTTTTCATCGACTTGGGAAGGGGACCGCGGTGGTCGACACCGGCGAAAGGGGGAAAGGCAAAATATTATTATCCTGTCGGCATAGTCCGGACAATTGGGTTTGTATACTTCTGAACCCGCAGCCGCCCGGATCGGAATAGCACACCAGGACACGAAACCAGCTCCTCTGTAGACAGTCAGGTAAATATTATAGTGGCGCTTTTATTTTGACTTTTTTTAGTCGCCCAAGTTGTTTATCGTATATTTATCCGGTCGGTTCGTTTTAAAAGAGTAGGCGAACAATTAAAAATCCAATAATAATAATCGCTGCAAACGAAAAAAAAAAGAAGGCTTTTCTAACGAGGTGGAGGTCGTCTTCTCGTCCGAAAGGCGTTAAACGGCGTGTCGTACACCGGTATTGTACGTTTATAATATCGTGGACTTTATTTATTTATTTATGTTTTTTTTTATATTATATAAGAATATATTATACTCATCGCCGTCGTCAAAGTACGTTCAATGTAGGGCAACGTTCGAAGGAAAAAGTCTCAAGGCCAATCGAGATTCAATTCACATCCACTCGGGTGACGGTCGGTCGTGTGCGCGTATTGGATTATTACTTTTTTTTTTTTTTTACATTATTATTAAACAATTTTCAAAAAGCAATTGTAAAAAATGCTACCGAATGTGTCGTGACACGGTCGTTAAGTCCAGCCGTTTTCCCATAGAGAGATCACAGACTACCCGTTTTAATTTCTGGAAAAACCCTGGTCGTTTTCAAAGGTTTTTTTATTATTATAATTGATCATAACGATTAAAATAGAATCAATTGTATATTCATTTCTGGGAAAAACCGGGTAATTCTCAAAGGTTATTATTGTTTTTGATTGTAATACAATCAATTATTTATTAATATCTGGGAAAACCCTGGTCGGTTATTATTGTTATTGATTATAACGAATAAAATAGAATCAATTATATATATATATATATTAATTTCTGGAAAAACCCGGGTAATTTTCAAAGGTTGTTGGTTTTATTGAATATAATATATATATATATATATATAATCATCGAAGCGAAAAGGTTGATCGTGCAGTGTGCTTTGAATGAAACTCGGTATTGGTTTTCCAATTGAACAGAACTAGTCAACACGTCGAACAGTTTGATTTACTTACATCCGTTTTGATTGTCATCACTTGGATCGTCCGGAAAGCAGAGTCGATATTAGTATAATTTTTTTAATTCACTTTTGGGTAGCTCGTGGCCGACAAATCTGGCCGTTCGTTTGTACACCGTCAAGCGGACAGATAGGAACTAGATAATAATAATAATAATAATGTTATTATGTTGTGCCGAGTTCGGTTTTCGCACCTACCGAGTTATTGTTGCGCCGAGGGAAAGCGATCATCGGTTAAATGTAATTATTATTATTATTATTGTTAGGCGGTACGAGGGAAAGGGCCTTTGTTGTTGTTTAATTAACAAGACCTAGCCTATCGTGTAGAAATTGTATCTGTAGGAATCGTATAATAGCCGAAACCGAAACCGCGGTTACCACCGCCATGGTATGAGTATAGTTGTCGTGTGTACGTGCAAGTGATTTTTTTATAGGAATTCGTTTTGTGCGCTATTTCTGCGCAAAAGGGGTTGCGGAAAAGTCGGCTGTATTACTGTGTTAACCTCTTTTATTTCTTTACAAAATGCAGATTCGTCGAACCGAGCCCGTAGTGCGTATCATTATTATCGGGCACCTCTATTATATTTTATTTGTACGGTTTTTTTTTTTTTTTTATTACCTCAGCTGGAAGTTGCATCACAGCACTTACCTATACTCGTGTCCGTTTTCGGTGCGTCAAGTCGCCCAACTATATAATATTATATGTGCTCTGTGCACACCCACTCCGCCGTGTTAGGATACCGAAACCGGTTTTCTCACTGTCAGTGAATTATGCAACCTCCAGTCAGCTGCCACTTTCGTTTCTTTGGTCCGAATCGACCGGCCCGAAAAGAGCTCGGCCGCGGCGAGTCTTCGGCCGTCGTCTCGGTAATAAAAATTAAAATAAACAAATTTCAACAAAAAAAAAAATTAACAACTCCTCCAAAGTCCAAGGACCGGCGCCGGGGCAATTGACCTAGTTGCATCTCGCCGATTATTTCTTTCTCTGCAAATAAATATATACATAGTTATATGTATTTTTTTACATAAAACTCATCGACCAGTTACGTATAACTGGTCGGTCGAAAATATAAAAATAACGATTTCTGTCCAAGGACGAGGTTTAAGTTGTATTCATATATTTGTTTCCCAGCATTTCCATTCGATTCGATACGATACATTATTATTATACGGCAACCGGTAATAAGACCGGCCGCGGGAGGATGTCTTTGTCAGCGACTGTAATATTATTATACCGAGTGTGTGTATAGTGAAAGTAAGCGCACTGATGCAATAACGGCAAATACAAATGTGTGTGTGTGTGTGTGTGTGCGCTGGTATATTATGTCGAAAATATATCCGCAAATTGGCGGTTTTCCGGCTTCTAGGTCGCTTTCTTATTTATTTTTTCCAATACGTCACAGCCGTTTGTTCACCGACACCCGGCCATTGCTTTGTTTGTCCAACATGGTTCCGAAACATTGGCTGGAGTGGCTTTGGCGTTTATTTTTTTATTTTTGTCAGCAATATTTTACAAGTGACTCGGACAGGTTGTTGGTTCGTTTCGCCGACCGCGAACACTGTTCAAGTGTTTACATGTATTTTAAATTCGATGAAACCTAAGACCAAGGTCGGTGTACATAGCGTGGTGCTCATCTTCGATTCTTGAGTACGTCTTTCCGCAAACGCGCGCCGAATAAATAATACAACCATGGGCTATTCTACGTTAGCCTTAGAGTGCACATATTGATATTGGTATTGGCACAAAATTCGTTTCCATTTACCGTGCCCGTGCGAAGGACCAACGCGGAAACGGTCGAATCCGGCCAATAATAATAGGCCGTGATCATTTTTATTTTTATTTTTACAGTCGGTAGGACTGTGTATGTTATATATATATATATATTTGTTGGCTATTTCTCGAGACGTTAGAGTCTGCGTTAGACCTCTACAAGGAAAACGATTATATGGTCACCGGTCGCGCGAGACCGGTGTGTACGACCGATTTATGTAACCGTGGGGTAATCCTTCCGGACCAGGAAGTAAACGCCGGCCGACGACGTGGACCGAAGCCAACTATACGGCCACGGCGACAGCTGTTACGTGTACGGACGACGATAGTAATAATAATGATAATTGTAAGCGGAACGACGGGCGCCGCTGCGAGGAGGGATGTAAATAAGTGTACTTATTGTAGGTTTGTGTTGTAACGAGCCGTGCTACACGCGAAAACGGCCAACGGTCTCGTCCGGGATTCCCGCCGTCAACGGGGGTACCCCCGTCACGGTTCGCCATCCGCCGGTCCGCAGACTACGGCGGGGGTACCGCCGTCGACGGCGGGAATCCCGCATGAAATCGTCGGCCGTTCTCGCGTACGGCGTGGCTCGTGTGCGACATAATCCACCCGGTATCTGCCCGCTGGGGAAACTCGGCGTGTATCGTCGACAATATCGTCACTCGTTTGTGATGGGGTTTTTTTTTTCTTTTTTTTTGTCACAGCCAAAGTCTCGAGTGCAACACCCGGGCGTCTCCCGACCAGTCGGCCTATCTACCGTTGTCTTACGACGTCGTCACCCGATACAAAACCGACAACATGGGCGTGGGCTACGACAGCGACGACGACACGTTCGAGGAGTGTCCGCTGGCCGACGACTTGAGGCTGATCGCCAAACAAGAACTGCGCGAGGACGAAGAGATCAGGACACACTCGTTGCGGGCCATGAGGAGCTGGATCAGGAAGCATCCGGACATCATCAATTGCCGCGTGGGTAAGTAGCGTCTTGGCCGAGCGCATTCGTATTCATATCTAGGCCCACCTGGACCCCGGGACCATCCAGTCATACACGTTGGATACCGCTTTGGCTATCCGTAGCCGATGCTTTCCAACGAGACCCTACCTTGTCCTTTTCCTTGCCGTGGTTCTTTCCGGTTACCCTTGCGAGGCAGTGATAGTTTGCAAACGATGCAGAGAGTAAACCTTAAGACGTGGACAGACAGAGTACTCCTACGGTCGTATTGTGGAATCGATTGGAAAAACGAAAAGAGCTTTGTTGTTACCGCGCGCGTTGCTAGCGTGTGTGTTAATATTACAAGGGTTGATGTTTATTGTTGTTTTTAGACGCTCCGTTTCTACTGCGGTTCTTGAGGACCAAGAAGTTCAGCGTGCCGATGGCCCAGAACATGCTCGAACGGTACTTGATCATCAGAGAGCTGTATCCGCAGTGGTACAGGAAAATGGACGTCGACGATCCCGTGATTTCGGACATCTTAGACAGCGGGTACTGTTGTGGTCGCGCATATCACCGTGCAGAACAGTGTTAATCGTTTTTCCAACGTTCATCATCACTCTTTTGCCCCTTTAGATTCATAATACCGTTGCCGGGCCGGGAGAAAGACGGCAGGTGCGTGCTGCTGTCGTGCACAGGCCGGTTCAACGCTTACAAGTACACGTCGGACGACATGATCCGGGTTTTCGGATTGGTCTCCGAGAGTCTGATGGACGATCCCGAACACCAGATCAAAGGTATGTGTTTACGGTGGTACTATGTTTGTCTAGCGACGATTTGCTGCAAACGCTTTTGCTTTTAACACCGTCACCGTCTTTCACAGGATACAGTTACGCCAACGACTACTGCGGTACGACGATGGGACACTTGTCGTTGTGGTCGCTCACCGACGTGAAACGAGTCGTCCGCATGATACAGGTACGGATAAATCTCCAGCCCATCCGAAGAAAGCCGGTACGGTAGGGTCAGGCCGTAGTCGGCAGGTAACACGGGTCTACAGGAATAAATATTCCAACTGAAAATCGCTTTCGAATAAAATGCTGCAAAGGCTTAAATAATCTGTAGACTGTAGCAGTATACAAAAAACGTATGAATCATTTTACGAGCATTGGGAAGGATACGGTTGGGGTTGATCGTCTGTCTGTGACCAACAACGAGTTGTACAGTACCAGAACTCGAGTTGACACAATATGTGCAAATGCGTTTTTGTCAATTTTCATCTACTTACATCTAGGTTTACCTACAGCTAGTCTGTCTGTAAGTTTGAGGATAAAGCATACGTTTTGTTTTGCCTATTTAGCACAGGAGTAAACGTGATTTTTTTTTTTTGGAATGCTTGACACGAGAATTTTCCAAACGTTGATTATAATGGGACAGACGTACTTTTTTTTTTTTTTTTACTTCTTCGAGTACCTTATTAAGTACTTACTAAACAATATATTTCCAGAACGCGGCGCCGATGAGACACAAATCCACGTACTTCTTGAACGTGCCGAATTTCGCCGACAAATTTCTCAACATATGCACGTCGTTTTTGAGCGCCAAATTCAAAAACCGAATAAAGGTAACAGTGTGCTTGGATATGGTGGTTTTACGCTGAAACGTTTTACTATATATTTTTATTTTTATTTTTATAGTTTACCAACGACGTTCAAGAAATCCACAAACTCGTCGACCCCAAGTATCTTCCCAAAGAGTACGGCGGCGACATACCGATGGCCAGCTTGATTGGTAATTATTGTGTTTGCACTCGGTTTCCCGCGGTCACTGTACATCTATTTTTTTTTTTTTTTATTAACAAATGCGTGCGTTTTTCTTAGCCGATTTAAAAAAGAAGCTCCGAGCCCAACGCGACGTGATCCTGGCTCTGGACGAAATGAAAATCAACATAAACAACAAAGGGAAAATAATCAGCGAGATCGAAGACGCGCAGCCAGAACTGGTCGGCTCGTTCAGAAAGCTGGAAGTAGACTAAATTGATATTAAATGATAATTGAAAAAAATTGAAAAAAAAAAAATTGTACATTCCTTTTAATTTGTTATCGTTATACTATATTATATTATATTATTATTATTTTAATTTTATTATTATTATTGTACATCTATATTATAATATTATGTACTACCACCATCGGCGAACGTATGTACATGTAAACAATAATTGATAGCTGTAATTATTGTTTTAGATTTTTTTTAGACAATAAACGAACAATGCACAACGGGAGTCAACAAATTTCATAAAATTTTATTGTCTTATTATCCATTAAAAATAATTACACGCGAATGTATCTAGTAGTAATAATAATAAAAAAAAAAAAAAAAAACAGCTCCGCATCGAAGCTAAAAATGTACATAAAACAAAAAATACATATATATATATAAATATATATATTTATAGTAAAATTATTTAAATATATTTATAATACACTTAACAAAATAAAAAATAAAATAAAAATATTATACGCTATAAAGTATGATATATAATCGATATCACAAGTTCAAACGATTAACGCGTTTTGGGGTCATGGTGTAAAAAAAAAAAAAAACAAAAATATCTTTATAACATAATACGTTTGAATTTTTTTTCTTTTCTTATTTTTTTTTCTTTTTACACGCTTACACCATGGTATTGGTCAGTCGCTACCAGTAAAACAAAAACAAAAAAAAAAAAAAATACTAGAAGTAAACCAAAAGGCTATGTTGTTGTTGTTGTTGTTGTTAAATACTGGCAAACATGGAAAATTTTTACAAAAAAAAAAAAAAAACTACAATAAAATTAACTTAACCAAAACGACAAAAAAAAAAAAGTTACTCTGTTAAAAACTCTCAAAAAAAAAAAAAAAAAATCACTCGTATAGTTTAAAATACCAGTAGCGGGTGAGAGGAATGGAGGGAGGGAGAGGGAGGAATGGAGAGAGGGGTAGGAGGATTGGTGGGAGGGGAAAGATAAGGGAGGGGGGGAACGGTGTCGAAAAAAATGTTTAATAAATATAACGCGGGCCGTTTAAAAAGGCTTCCGGGTTTTTTTTTTTCCTTTTAAGAATAATTACTTTTTATTCTCGTTGTATCATCTCATATATCATCATATCGGTCGTCTCCAGGTGGATTTTGTGTTGTAGCTACTATTATTATTGTTAATATTTTTTTTTTTTTTGGTCTCTCTCTCTCTTTCAGTCGTCGGTTTCTTCGACCAACATTTGCGTGTCTTTGCCCGTGTCCGTCGTGGCCGGTTCCAGTTCCCGGTGCCTTCTCTGTATCTGCGGCGAGGTCTTCTGTATGATCGTGGAAGGCGCCAGTATGGCCGAGGCCGGCTCTTGCACCAGACCCTTGGTTTTGGTAACGTCCAGAGGCACTTCGTAAATACCGCCGCCCGTGTCCGAGTCCAGGTTGCCGCCCAGGGCGTCGTACATGGGATTGCTGAAGTCCCGGTTTTTGCCGCTTATGTCGGTCATGTTGTATTCCACGTCCAACGGTTCCTGTGCAAGAAAATGAGGAACACGTTTAATATAATATGGGGAAATAATATCGGGTATGGCGATTAGACGGGCGGCCAGTGTTGACGGACCGACGGCGGCCAGTGTCGCCAACTGTCTTTCCGCGTAAGGGGAGCTACCAGACCGGGTCATAAAACCGCGGTGAAGGATCAGTTCATCCGAACATTTGATAAGAGATTTTTCAAACAAATAATACTATAATCGCATTTGTTTTGTGATTTTTTGAAAACTTCCAGGGGAATTTGACTTTGCCGGCCCAGTTGGCAACACTGGACCTCAATAATAATTGCTTGCTTACCCCTCCACCGGGACCGTTGTTGAACGCGTTCGGACCGAATTCCACGTTAGTCCCTTGTCTGAACGACACGCTCTGCGAATTTGTCAGGCCGCCCAAAACGGCTCCTTTGCCACTGCAACAAAAACACACGGTCAAAACAACAATATACATTTTAAAGCGACGGTTTCTTTGTAGAGTTTTCGTGCACTGAAGAAACAGCTACATCCAAGTAGACGACGTGTTACTCATTTAAGAGGTCCCTGTTTAGTGGCAATAGAAAATAGAGACAATTGTCAGAGGAGCCCCTCCCACCTGTCACCAAAGATATTTTGCCTTGCGGTTATCAAAATCAGGCCCTGTGGCGGCCACGGTGTGTACTCACAACGGTCTTTTCCGGATGAATAAGAATATGGCTCCGGCCACCAGGAGCAACAGGAGTCCCGTGAGCGGCACGACGAGCATCGAGCTGAAAATGCCGGTTCGCCTGGATCGCCGGGAAGTGATGTCGCAGAACCTTCCGCTAAAGTCCGGTTGACAAAGGCAATTCAATTCGGCGGTCGAACCCAAAGCAGCGTTGTCGCCGATACAAATGCCGCCGTTCTGGCACGGGCAGATCCGCGGTGCCGGTTTGGGCGGTTCTTCGGCTACGGAAAACACACAAGCGAACACATACATAAGCAGGCAGGCACACATTATAAAAGGGTCGAGTTAACACCGTCTTACCGGCGTCGCAGATTTTCTCGCTGGCGCCCTGTTGGACGTGCGTGTGGTCGGGACAAGCGCAGTACACGCCGCCGGGCACCAACAGACACAAGTGCGAACAGCCGGCATCCAGGCAATGGTTTGGCAACGACACGTTGTACCTCTGGCTGTGATAAACTGAAACGGATCGAAAAAAAAACACACACGAAAACGGCGTTAATTCGAGCAAAACAATCGAGGCAAACGGTGTCGGTACCTTTGACTCCGGCGGGATTGACCAGGTCTTTGGCGATAGTCACGGCTACGCCTCGGCCGAATTTGTCTTGTCTCATCAGTTCTCCCGTTTCTCTGGTCAACCAGTACAGTTGATTTTCGAACAGGTCCAAAGACACGGGATGGCGGAGGTGTTCTGTACAAAAATAAACGGAATAAGCGAACGGGGACGAGGTTAAAAACGACGCGCAAGTAGTACCAGCTGCGCTCTACACTCACCTCCTCGTACGACTACTTTACGGTTTCTCTGATCGTATTTGATCGTCTCGATCGTGTTGAGTTTGGTGTCCACCCAGTAAAGGGAATGGCCCACGGCCGTGTCGACGGTCAATCCCGTGGGATGGTGCAACCTAGTGGTGACCAACGGCAGCCGTCTGGAACCGTCCATCCAGGACATTTCGATTTTCGGGCTCTCCCCGACGTCGGCCCAGAACATTTTGCCCATTTCCGGATCCAATACCATCGACGACGGCGATTCCAGTTCTTCAATTGCAAAAGCGAAAAGTCAGTCGAGCTTAAGAAACACGAAACTATCCGACTAAAGTACATACCGCTGCTGACGATCGACCGCCTGTACCGGCCGTCTTGTTTGGACACCATTATCCGGCCCTTGGGCTTCTCGTTGGTCATGTCGATCTCGGCCCAGTACAGATTATCGCCGATCCAATCGATAGCCACGGCCACCGGCTTGTTCGGTCCTTGGATGTCCAGGTCCTGCGGGTATCCCACTTTGACTTGACCGCCCTTGGCGTCCACCATGTAAGACCGCTTGATCGACTGGTCGTACGAGTCGGCCCAGTAGATTATCTCGGTGTTGGGGTCGAAGTCGATGGCGCGTATGCGTTTCTCGTTGCTCAATATCGACAGGTACTTCTTCTCGTTGGCGTCGTACCCTCGGATTTCCGGTCCGTTCGTGTAGACCACCGTCACCTTTGGATCCAACGCTTTGCACACGCCGCTCAACAGGTCGCTCAAGACGAAACCGTCGCGACACGAACACATGTACGTACCGTTTACGTTCGTGCACTCCTGCGAACAATGGTGCAGTCCCAGTTCGCATTCGTCCAGATCTGGCGAGTAGAAAAAAAAAAAAAATGACGATTATTCGGGGGCCAGGTTGTTGGATTTGGCTTGTTTTTTTTTTTTTGTTACGGCGCAACAACACTTACCGGTGCATTTTTTACTATTGTCCGCGCTCACTTCGTATCCGGCGTAACAAGCACAGCTGTATCCCCTGCCGGAAGTCACGTTCAAACAATAGTGCTCGCAACCTCCTTTGGTCGACTCCAAACAGGTGCCGCTGTAAACTGAAAATACACACACACACACACACACACGGTCAGAGACGACGACGTTGTTAGTTTTCGGTACGACGGTACTTACTGCATCCTTTCTCGTCGGACAAATCTTCGCAGTCGTATTGCAAGTTGCACAGTTTCGACTTGTTCACGCATTTGCGGTCGGCGCACGTGAATTCGGTGTAGTGGTCGCATTGCCGGCCGTTGTGCGTTATGCCGCAAACGCTCAAGTCGTTCTCGTCCGACCCGTCGCCGCAGTTGTCCACGCCGTCGCAGCGTTTGTACATCGGGATGCAATGTTTGTTTTCGCACAAAAACCGGTTGTCGAGAGTGCAACTCAAGTTGGCTGTGAACAAATTACAAAAAAAAAAAAACAATCAGAATCAATCATTACCTCGGAGAGAAAGCACTCGGGAGACGGGGGACGACTGAGGATCGATAGCGGTAAAAAAATATTGATAACAATATGGACGAACAACACAGGAATCAACAAGTCCCTTTGCCTGCCCTTTGACTGACTTACAGCAAAGTTCGGGCGCTTCGTCGGAACCGTCGCCGCAATCGTCTTCGCCGTCGCACAGTTCGGTGTTGAAGATACACAGTTTGGTGGTCTTGCACTCGAACTTGGACACGGGACAGTACCGGCCTCCCGGATATCTGGGGGGGCAACCGATCTCGTCGCTGAAGTCCCTGCAGTCCCGGTCGCCGTCGCACCGGAAGTACGACGCGATGCAGTGGCCGCTCTTGCACTGGAACGTGCCGTTTTTGCACTGGAAACCGCCGCAGTTGAGCTCGTCCGAGTTGTCGCCGCAGTCGTCGTCGTGGTCGCACCTCCACTGGCCCGGTACGCACTTGCCGTTGGAACACTGGAACTCCGACTCGGAACACTGCCGGTACAGGCCCTTGCACATGTCTTCGGACTCGTCCGAGTTGTCGCCGCAGTCGTTCTCGAAATCGCACAGCCATCTCTTCGGTATGCACCTGTTGTTCTTGCACTGGAAGTCGCCGGTCACGTGGCACTTCGGGCAGTTCTCCGCCAGTTCGTCGGAGCCGTCGCGACAATCGTCCTTGCCGTCGCAGAACAACCACTTGGGGATGCACCGGTAGTTGGTCCGGCCGGGACACCGTTGCCAGCCGGTCGTGCAGTTCCGTTGCCGGCACATGAAAGCCGGCTCGTCCGAATCGTCGCCGCAGTCGTTGTCGAAGTCGCACACCCACAGCTTCGGTATACACCGGCCGTTCTTGCAGGAGAACTCGGTTTTCGGGTCGCAAGGTCTGTTATCTAAAATCGGAACAACAACAACAAAAAAAAAAAACCAGTTGAAATTTACAAAAATCATTTCCCTCCCCGAGTACACTCACGGCACAACGACGGGTCTTCGTCGCTACCGTCTTTGCAGTCGGGTTCGCCGTCACACTTCCACGCGTCCAGGATGCACCGACCGTTCGACCGGCATTTGAACTCCAAATCGGGACACGGCAAATCGCAGTTCTTCTCGTCCGATCCGTCGCCGCAGTCGTCGATTCCGTCGCAAATAGTAGCCGACGGCGTGCAGTTGCGGTTCTGACATTGGAACGCTCCTCCGCGACAATATCTCGTGGGGCATTCGCTTTGGATTTCGTCCGTCCCGTCGGCACAGTCTTTTTCGCCGTCACATCTGCGCAATAATAGGTTTTTTTTTTTAGCGATACAGGGTGTCTGACAAAATAATGGTGGGGTTAAGAATGGCTGGGTTTCGGTACGGCGCTCCGGCAGGGCTCGAACGAAAGAGGGAGTCGCCAAGATTCGAATGACTGCCCTGCCAGCGCTGTAGGTCCAATACTTCACAACCTACAGCCGTTTCCCGCCATTCTTTTTGAGACACCCGCATAGTTCGTAAACGTTAAAAAAAAGCCAACGTACTTCCAGAACCAAGGAATGCATTTCTGATCGTTTTGCTTGCACTCGTGTTGTCCGGTAGTGCAGTTGGAGACGCAAGTCTTGTTGTCGCGTGGATCCAAATAGAACTGGTTGGGGCAAGCGCAAGTGAACGCCACCGGACTTTTGGAGTTCAAGTAACTGTCCGGCGACGGCTCCACTCCCGGGACGGGTCGCAGCAAACACAAATGAGAACAACCGCCGTTGTCGCTTCCGCACGGGTTAGCGTACGGTATTTGCCTGAGCGGATGGTACACGTTCAAATCGTACGGCCTGTGCGTGGTGTTTCTCAACACTTGGTAATGGTGTCCTACGACGAAATAAATATACATATAAATCACGTTGCTGTCCGGCCGGTAATGTAAACGGCAATATTTACCTGTAAATTTGTTGGATTTCACTATCGCCTTCAGGTTCCAGTCGGTCCAGAACAGCTCGTCTTCGAACAGAGACAGGGCGAACACGTGCGGCACTGAATCTCCCGACAACACTATGTGTTTGTGTTTGCCTTCCAGGTCGGCCGAAGCTATGTAGTCCAAATGGGCGTCGGCCCAATAAATGCGCTCGGTGAAGTAATCGATGGTGAGCGCGTTCGGCCAAGCTATGTCGTCTTCGTGGGTTAAAATCTGAGTGAAGTTGCTACCGTCCATGCCGATTTTGCCAATGTAAGCCTTAAAAACAATCATTTTTTTTTTTCATCAGTTAGTAGCGAGTTTCGATTGGAGATGTTTATAATCGAAGCGATATAGACGCAATAGAGATTACCTGTAGGTGCCAGCTGGTGAAGTACAAGTAACCGGTGCCGGGGTGGACGGCGATGGCTCTTGGGTCTTGGATGCCGGACTTCAGGGTCCTTCTGTTCGTGCCGTTCAGCTCGGCCACTTCCAAATGTTTGCTGTGCCGGTCGAGCCAGTAGATTTTCCTGCCCACCCAGTCCACGGCGATACCTTCCAGCCCGTGGCTGTCGTGCCTGATGATTTTCTCCCTCTCGGTACTGCCCACCGCCGTTCTGTATATGGTCTTTGCGCTGACGTCGCAGAAGTACAATTTACCGTCCAGATAGTCAAAGTCCAACGCCACCACGTTCAACAAATCCTGGTGGTTAAGTGCATATTCCGAGGCGTCCAACGACATATTTCGCACGTAATATTTGTTCGTGAAAATCAACCACGGCTTGATCCGATCCCGTCGTTTACAGGTCCGTTCGTCGGACGTGCGGTCGTAGAACGTTTCGTCGCACTTGCAATAATACGATCCCGGCGTGTTCAGACAGTATTGGGGACAAGCTCCGGGTAGTTCCATACACTCGTTGATGTCTTGACACGCTTTTCCGTCGTCCATCAATCTAATAACAAACACACGAGCATACGTTATGTACTGGTTTAATCGGTAAATGGCGTCTATAAAAAAAATTATAATGATTAATTTAAACAAACAGTTCAACTAGCACAGTTCAAACCATGATCAGTCTAAACCGGCGCAGTCCAAACCAAGTATAAATCAGTACAAAGTAATTAGCAGAGCAATTGAAGACCTTGGGGCAACAACAAGACATGTCCTTTTTTTAAATTTTTTTTTTTTTTTCAAAATGTTTTTAAACCCAAAAAATGTTTTTCAAAATATTCTAAAAAAATTTTTTTTAGAATTTAAAATGTTATGAAAAAAAAATAAATTTTTTGGAATATTTTGAAAAACATTTTTGGGTTTAAAAACATTTTGAAAAAAAAAAAAAATTTTAAAAAAGGACATGTCTTGTTGTTGCCCCAAGGTCTTCAATTATGAAAAATCAAAATGTGATTTTATCCCATGCCGGTTTCAATTTTAACATCAGTTTTAACCCTTACTTGGGAGGGAGGACGGTTTAATTTTTTTTAAAGTTAATACTAAATTGGCACAATAAATCACATCATTATGAAACCAATACCTTCTCGGCTATCACATGGAAGCTAGAATATACCCGGAAGGTCTTTTTTTTTTTTAGAAAATTGAAATTAAAATATTTTTTCAAAAATAAAGCCTCTTCTAAATAAACGACCGGTTGGGTAAAAACTAAATCTAATGACATTATGGCGATCATCGGTCGGACGCTCACTTGTATCCTTCGTTGCACTCGCAGTTGAAACCGGTTGGCGTGTCGATGCACTTGTGCGCGCACTGGTTGAGTTCCACCTTGGCGCACTCGTCGACGTTGCAGTGCGCCGGCTCGTCGCTGTCGTCCGAGCAGTCCGACACCTTGTTGCACACCAAACGCGAGTTGATGCACTGGCCGTTGGTGCACTGGAACTGATCCGGTGCGCACAACGTGGCGTTTTTGCCGGCGCAGTTGAACTCGTCCGAGTTGTCGCCGCAGTCGTCTTCGTTGTCGCACCTGTACGTGCTGCGGATGCACTTGAAGTTCTGGCAGGCGAACTCCCGCGGCGAACATGTCCGGTACTGCGAGTGACAGTCCTTGCCCTCGTCCGTGCCGTCGCCGCAGTCGTTGTCGTGGTCGCACACCCATCCCTTGTTGATGCACCGGCCGTTGCCGCACGTGAACTGGTCGGCGCTGCAGTTGACCACGGTCGAGCAGTTGAGCGCCGTCGCGTTCTCGTCCGCGCCGTCCACGCAGTCGGGGTCGCCGTCGCACAGCCACTTGCGCGGTATGCACTGCGCTCGGTTCCACGCTTTGTTTGCCAAACACGTGAACTCGGTGGTCTCGTCGCACTTGCGGTTGTCTGTAAACGTAAGAGATCGTGTCGTCATCAGCTGTCCCGTTGTTGGCACAAAACGATTATCCTTATCGCCCCTCGTCATCACACTTCCTCATCCTCAGACTATTACACTTTAAAACTTCACTCACTACGTGTCTCCTTTGATTGCTATTACTCGTCTCAACAGCTCGTTCTCACATCGCTCGTTATTTCCTATCGGGTACTCACTGCACTGGTGTCTGGAGTCCTCGTCCGAGTTGTCCAAACAGTCGTTGTCGCCGTCGCATATGTAAATCCTGGGTATACAATTGCCGTTGTCGCAAGTGAACAGGTCGCCGAAGCAAGTCCGTCCCTCCGACTTGCAGTACTCGGGCGGTTCGTCGGACCCGTCGCCGCAGTCGTCGTCGCCATCGCAGTACCACGTGGCAGGTATGCACCGGTGGTTGGGACATCGGAAGCTGTTGGCCGGGCACGTCCGCTGGGCGCAATGTAGCGGATCCTCGTCACTGTTGTCGCCGCAGTCGTTGTCGCCGTCGCACAGCCAATACGGTTCGACGCATATGTTGGTCTTCTCGCACTTCAAGTGGTTCACCGGACAGGTGAGGTTCTTTGGACACCGGTCGTGCGTCTCGTCCGATGTCACGTTGTCTTTGCAATCGTTTACGCCGTTGCACACCTATAGAGGAACAAACGCGCGGGTTTTTATTCTACCCGAAACACAACAACGCATTAAACCACACTCACCTGCGACATGGAAATACATCTGAAATTGGCACAGGTGAACTCCCCGTCGGCACACGGCGGATAGACGCATCCGACTTCGTCCGAACCGTCTTTACAGTCGTTCTCGTGGTCGCATTTCCACGTTTTGAATATACACCTGCCGTTGGCACATCTGAACTCGTTGCTGCTGCACGAATGGTACGCTGGAAACGTTCGTTATAAAATCGTCTTTATTACACAAACCGTGTACCGCGATTCAAGTGCGAGTATATATGTAAATTTTTAATTGTAAAGACACGACGACGGTGGTAACTTGTACTCACTGCAGTAGTTGACGTCTTCGTCGCTGTTGTCCCCGCAGTCGTCGTCGCCGTCGCAAGACCACATGCGCGATATACACTTGCCGTTACGGCAATGGAACTTGTTGGCCTCGCACGTGATGTTCTTGTTGACGCACATCCGACCCTCGTTGACCAGTTTGGAATTGTCGTCGCACTTGCACTCGGCCGTGGAGTTGGGCCCGGGATGACAGCTCTGGGCGCACCCGCCGTTGTTTATCGAGCACGGGTTGACCGAACACTTTTGCCGGCCTTTGGAGTAGATGGCAATGTCTCGGGGCGAGTCGTCCAGCCGCTTGACGATTTCGATCATGTTGGCGCCCGTGTGCTTCTCGGCCCGGTACACGCCCCTCAGCTGCAGGTCCGTCCAGTAGATGTAGTTGTCGTGCACGGTCAACGCGAACGGGTATATCGTGGCCGTGATCAGCACCTCCCGGTTGGCGCCGTCCAGCGTGGACCTTTCGATTTTCTCGCGCACCGCGTCCGACCAGTACAACATCTGCTCGTCGAAATCGATCGTCAGTCCGCTGGGCTGCGACAAATCTTTGTCTATGATGGCCTTTTTCAACGATCCCGCCATCGTCGTTCTGTAGATCATGCCGGCCGTACCGAATCGTCCCCAATCGGTAAAGTACAGGGTTCTAGAGCAACAACAAACACACACGGTTAACACAATAATAGACAGCGTAGATTATGGCAGCACGTCCGTTCGAAATTCGTATTCTTACCCGTTGCAAGGGTCGACCACGATTGCTCGCGGCCTGTCCACTCTGGCGATCATCACTACCCCGGAACCGTCCAGGTTCATCGCGTAGATCGAGTTGTTGGACGAGTCGGTCCAATAGATTTTCTTTTGAGTCCAGTCGTACGATATACCTTCCGGGTTGATCCGGCGGCTGATTATCGTTTTGATTTGACTGTAACTGGGCGCGTTACTGCTGATCGACGATATCTGCGACATGGGCCGTATTTGCGTGAAGAACAACTTGTTGTCGGCGTAGTCAAAGTCCAAGCCGACGACGTTCGACAAATTACCCTGAAAGCGCGTTTGATTGTAATAGAAAAAGTCGAATCGACAGAGTCGTATTGGAATTAAAACACTCACCACCGGTTTGAACGGAAGTATGTTGGACAGAGGGTCTAAGCTGGCCGATCTTATTTCGGTCCTTGTGGCGTACACCAAGTACTCGGACACGGTGTCGCATTTGGTGCCGGTGCCGGCGGCTATGACGCCGGTGGCGCAGTCGCACCGGAACAGATATTTATTTATCGAATACGACGGCGGGAACGAGAAACACAGCTGATCGCATCCACCGTTGCCGAACCGGGAACAAGAGTTGGAATCGTCGTTGGGCTGGGTGTTTATGTCGAAGATGGCTATGTCGCGCAACCTGGGAAGTCCCGTCCTGATCGGAACGGGCGCCGTGCTGTTTCCCGGTAGTTTCGATGCCTTGAACACGGTCTTCAGGTTCCTGTCCACCCAGTACATGTCGCTCAGGTGAATGGCGATGCCCATCGGGTTCGGCACGTTCCTCCGGACGACCTAGGCAAAAACGACCGGGGACACACATTAAACGTGTTTTGTTTAGATTGGCGAAAGAAAAATAAAACCACTCACCTGTCTCTCGCCGCCGCTGAACGACACCTTTTGAATGGTGTCCAGCCTAGCGTCCACCCAGTACACGTCGTGCGTGACCATGTCCACGGTCAAGTCTCTGGGTTGACTTATGCCGGTGGTGACGATCGGCATCCAGTTGGACCCGTCCAAGTAGGCTTTGCCGATTTTCGGGTACTGGCCGTAGTCGATCCAGTACAACAGCCGTTTGATCGGATTGACCGCCAGTTCTTTGGGCGCGTCCGTTGTGGTTTTCACCAGGATTTTCCGCATGGAGCCGTCCAGCCAGCAAACCTCGACGTAGTTCTCGTGCGGGAACACGTTGGTGAAGTACATGTTTCCCGCAATCCAATCGACGGTCAGCCCCCGGATACCGTTGGAGCCGATGCCGTCTTTGATCACGTGTTGCAGTTCTGTGCCGTTGGGCCTTATCCGGTATATGCCGTTCCATATGCCTCGGTTGAACTCCACCCAGTATATCCAATTTTGCGCGACGTGCACGTCCACGTGCAAGATGTGATGTCCTTTGCGAAAGAAAAACACAATTAACATACAAAGGTATAAACTGTATATAAACTACACTGTCTGGGAGCTGTTTGCATTAAGGTTATAGTTCAATAGCTAACTCTAGAGCGCTGTGCCTTCTCAATTGGAAAACAATTCGCAGAAAAACGACTCTTTTACACCAAATCGAACGCCTGGAGTTTTTTTATCTTCGAACAGCTTTCAGTGTAAAAGATCACTCGACTGTAAATTCTCAACCAAATGAGCGCTCTATCGTTAGCTAATGCATTTAACTACGACCGTACTGGAAATCCATACGTCTGGCAGTGAATTTTACCTGGTCCCGATATCGGAACGATAGCGTCCAACGTGTCGGTGAGACTGTACCCGCGGACCAGATCTACTTGAGAAACGACCGCGAAAGACGTGTGTGGAGTGCACTTTGTGTCCAATTCCTTTTTGTAGCCCACCGAACAAGCGCACACCCTGTTGTTGTTTTCGCGGGGAATGCACAATTGCTGACAACCGCCGTTTTTGGTCAAAGCGCAAGGATGGTTGGCGTCTGGAAAATATGTATTCAAACGTAACAATGTAGGTTGTACACGCCGAAATAGTCGATATTATCAAATATCCCTGGTAAACACTTACTGGTCCGCTTGTTGAAAACCGTCAACGATTTCAGGTCCGGGTCGTTTTCGATGATTATTTCCATGTTCGTCCCGTCGTCGGAATTGACTCGCACTAGATGATCGTACCTGGAATCGATGAAATACAAGTACCGATCGTAGACGGCCATGGATTTCGGGTAAGAGATGCTGTTGTAGTCGCTCATCAACGTCCGATGATTCATTCCGTTAACGCTCATGACTTTTATCTACGGAAAACCCAAAAACGTCCAGTTTTTCAAATCTACAGAACAACGCCCAAGTCCCCCCGACCGTGTCCGCCGACCACCGGAGTGATGCACTCACGTTGCTGGGATATTGTGTGCTGTAGTAAATGTTTTTCTGCTCCAAATCGATAGCTATCGATTCCGGCGTGTGTCCGTCGTTAATCAACACTTGAGGGTTGGTACCGTCCATGTTCATTTTTCCGATTTTCGGCGGCACACCGAACCCACCTTGATCGGCCCAATAGAGTTTTCTGGAAACCGACAGAGAAACAAATTGTACACCGACAATGTATTATAAACGCTATGCCGTTGTTAAATACCCTTCGCCGGGGTCTAAAACGATGCCGATGGGTGTCGCCACCGATACGTCTTTGCCGTTGTTCGACAGCAAAACCATTCTGTACTTGTTGACGCCGTCGATTTTGACCAATTCCAAACTGGACGACTCTCGGTTGCCGATGTATAAATTGCGGCCTATCCAATCAAAAGCTATCACGAACGGAGCGCCGACGAACCCTGTGAGTTCTCCCAGCAACGACGATTTGTTTCCTCCGTGATACGGTGACATCATGAGCGTACACTACGCGGAAAACGAGAAATATATCATGTTAATAATGTATTTGTTTTTTTTTTTTTTACACTCCCGCTAGTTTTAAATCGTTACATTAACGGTGTTGACCGTCTCGTCTTCTTCGTTCACTTTCAGTCCTTCCACCCAGAACAGAGATCTGGTTTCGGTGTCGTAGTCCGTCTGCGTGCCTCCTTCGATTCCGACAATGGGAATAATGTGCCCGGTGGTCTTGTCGCCGGGCGTTAAGCTGACGTCGATTATTTGGTAGCCCCTCATGACCAACAGGAAAGGAGATTCGGCTAAAAACAAACGACATTGGCGGTTTAGACAAGGAAAAACGTCGCGACCGGTTAAATAACGTTTAAATCGTTCGATTACTTTCCAGACACCGGCCCGAACTGGTGACTTTGTATCCTGGTTTACATTTGCACGTGTAACCGTTGGGCGCGTACGGCGAAAGCAGACACAGCTGTTCGCAGGTGGCATTTTCACACGGGTTGGGAGTGATCGGCTGCAACGACGGATGGTGTACGAGAATACTGAGCGGTTGCGAAATCAGATGCGAAATGACGGTTTGATTTTTCCCTTTAAATTTATGAGCCGATATCACCTGAAATGCGAGAAACAGTTCGGCGGTTAGCAACGGTCGTGGTCATCGCGCACGCGTTTGTCACGCGTTGCAATTACCCTGTTCAGTTGCCTGTCGGTCCAGTACAGCGTGTCTTCGAAGAGGGTCAGCGAATGAGGGTGCAAAAGGTAATGACTACCGGCGATCACCTGTTGACGGCCGCTGCCGTTGTAGTAACAGAAATCGATAAAGTCCAACTTGGAGTCGGCGAAATAAACGCGCTGATTGACAATGTCCAACGTCAAACCGTTCGGCCAATATATTTTGGTGCTTATGATAACAGAACGGTTGGTGCCGTCCATGCCGACACGTTCGATTCTCGGATTTTCTCCCCAATCGGTCCAGAACAGCCACCGCGCACTGACGGGACAAACGATTTTGATTAATTTCCATACATATGCGTGTTGTTGTTGTATTTGTTTCAAAACAAAAACAAACCTCTGCCAGTAAACTTACCCGGGACTGGGGTCCAGCATCATTCCTCTGGGTTGCGTGATGTTTTCCTTGAGCAGTATAATTCTATTCGTGCCGTTCTCGTTGGCCACTTCGACGGTGTTCAGCCGAGAGTCCAGCCAATACACATGTCCGCCGATCCAATCGTAAGCCAATCCTTCGACCAAGTCTAGACCCGAGGTGATAATCTAAAGCAGGACACGTGTTAATTGTCATCAGTGTGAAACAATTTGAGAAACAATCGCGTGTACTTACGTCTTTTGGTTCGCTGCTCTTGTCCAACCGGGATATCTTTTTCAGTTTCATGTCCGACCAGAATATGGTGCCCGTGTGCATGTTCGAAGCCGTGGCCACAACGTTCTCCACCGTGATCGGCACTCGTTCCAGACCCTGCTCTTTGAGATCGGCCACCAGGATGGAGTGCCGGTTGGATATGATCAAAAACGCCGCGCTATGATCTGATACGAGCCGATTAGAAACAGAGTACAAAATCTAAAAAAAAATCGTCGACAACTCACTCAGAGCTTTGCACGCGTGTTTGTCCGATTCTAGAACGTAGCCGGTCGCGCACGAACAGAAGTAGCTTCCTTTGGTGTTGGTACAGTGTTGGGAACACAGGCCGGGCGGATCGCACTCGTTCAAGTCCATGCACTCGTACGTGGTGTTGAGGATTTCGCCTTGCGGACAAGTGCACAGCGGTCCCTGGAAAATCATTGACAATTGCCATTATTACGATGTACCCGCGTGAACCGCCGGACGTGCGCGACACAGTTGTACCAGTGATGCTGCAATCTAAACTAACTTACTACTGGAGTTTGTTTACAACCGTTGGAGCAGTAACTACCCTGTTTGTCGCATTCCGGCAGGTCGCAGTTGGGACCTTCGTCGGCGCCGTTCGGACAATCGGGTTTACCGTCGCAAACGCTCGTCACGTTTATACAACGTTCCGTCGCGTTCGGACACTGCCATTCGCCGGACATGCATCTGCAAAAAACAAAAAGCACAACAATCATGTAACAATTCACAGTTCCATCCAAAGAGACAAACATCTCGTACCTGAAAGGCGGAGCGGTGCAAGCGAGCCTGTAGTCTTCGTCGGACCCGTCGCCGCAGTCGTCCCGGCCGTCGCAAATGTAACCTTTGAAAATGCACTGCGAGTTGTTGCACTTGAAGTAGTTGGACTGGCACGACACTTGGCCGCAGGTTTTCGGCTCGTCGGAATCGTCATCGCAGTCGGCCGTGCCGTCGCAGTACCACGTTTTCGGTATGCATATGCCGGATTTTTCGCACCTGAATTGCTTTTCGGTGTCGCACTGGTTGGGCGCCAACGTAGCTGTATAATAAAGACAGACGACGGTGTGAACAGTTAACATGACCACGTATGCTTTGAAAAATCTAGGACGGTTATATTCGTGAAAATTCCTATAAAATTCAGGGAACTACACGAACAGTTTATGACAAACTTAAGCGCCGACAACTCGGACACTAGTGTTATGTATCCACGGTGCTACGGTTCGACACCCCCCCCGAGAGAACTAATGTGTATATTGTACTCACGACAACCGAGTTCGTCGCTGCCGTCGTTGCAGTCCAGGATACCGTCGCACTTGTACGTTTCTTGTATGCACTGTCTGAGGTCGGCGCATTTGAATTGCGTGGGCGAACACGTGATCGGCGGGCAACCCTCTTCGTCTTGGTTGTCGAAACAATCGTTGTCGCCGTCGCACACCCAAGTCTGCGGAATACAGTGTCCGGAACGCGGGCAAGTGAACTGAAAGGGCAAAGAACCGTTCGTTAAACCGTCTCTCTCGTTTGCTGAGCCGCGACTCGTACCTGGAAGTATGCGCAAGTCTTCTCCGCGCAAAAGTCACCCTCGTCCGAACCGTCTCCGCAGTCGTTCTCCGAATCGCATTTCCACGTGGATGGCACACAACGGCCGTTATCGCATAAGAATTGTGTGGTCGAGCACGTCACGTTCGTGCATCCGGTTTCGTCGCTGTAATCTCCGCAATCGTTTTCGCCATCGCACCGGAACGTGCCGGGCACACAACGACCGGAACCGCACTGCCATTCGCCTGGGGCACAGGTGGGTTCTGCAACAATAAAACAAATCAAAACCACCGTTTAGAAGTCGAATCGGGCACGGAACGAACCCGGCGGCGTCTAAAACTCGAGGTGAGAAAAAATTAGAAATTACGTTGCGTTACAAAAAGTACAAACAAAAGGCAACGAAAACGGGCAAAACCCGAGACACCGAACCCGGCGGGGTGTCCGTAACGCAAATTAAGAGAGAGCGAAGATTAGCCGAGAAACAGATTGTGTTTTGAACTTTATTTATGTACTTGTTTGTTTTGTTTAACCTAATAAATGACGTGGGCGGCCCTCGAGTAACGCTTAAAGCGGTTTACGGTTCTAAAGTGGCAAAATTAAGAATAAGGTCAGGCGTTGTTGGTTAGGTTAAGATTTTCTAGGAAGTAAATCCGTTAGGTTGATGGGACTTAAAGAAACACTGATACTGCCAGTAACTGTCTACTCACTCGTGCAGTTCTGTTCTTCGTCGGAATTGTCCAGACAGTCGTCGTCTCCGTCGCACACCCAAGCTTTGGGTATGCACCTCATGTTGTTGCAAGTGAAGTCCCACACGTTCGGGCAAGCGGTCACCGGCGGCTCGGCGTTCGGGTCGGGGACGCAAGTCTTGCCGTCCACGTCGACTTTCTCGCCGTACGGACAACCGCACACGGCTTTCAGCGTGGACGACCCGTTGGTGGGCACGCCGAAACACAACTTCTGACAGCTGCCGTAGTTGAACACTTTGGAACACGGATGCGAATATTCGATGAACTGCTCGTGTTCGCTGTAGATCTTGACGCCGTACAGCCGGTTGTTCTGCGGCTCCCGCACTTCGATGCCGGCCACCGCGCCGGTCGTCTTGTGTATTTTGATTATGGCGTCTAGCCGCCAGTCGGTGATGTACAACCAATCTGCGGGACGAAAAACAAAATAAACAATTAGTTTTTATAGACATGGATATGTATTATGGCTGGGGGTCGTTCTGAACATTTGTCCGTCACGTTATGTGTCACAGTGCTGACGCCATTATGGATTATGGGAATGGAGGAGGATTAAAGAATTGTGGAGGAGTATTAAGGAATTATGGATGAGTATAAAGGAATTGTGGAGCAGTTTTAAAGAATTATGGATTATGGAGGAGAATAATGGAGGGATTATAGGAGGAGGATTAAAGAATTGTGGAGGAGTATTAAGGAATTATGGATGAGTGTAAAGGAATTGTGGAGTAGTTTTAAAGAATTATGGAGAAGTACGGAGTAGGATTATGGAGGTGAATTAATAGAGATAGTGGATTAGAGATAAGATATTAGAGATACTAGATTGCAGGACATATCCATACGTGTTGATGTATCTGAATGAAGTGTGGATACTCTAACTATTTCTCTCCGCTCCACGGCAAAACATTGAATCGTGGATGTGTTATCTCTAATATCATATCACATCTCTTATCAATCTTAGCTCATCTCTTATCACGTAAAAGTGAAAGTGTAACGCGAAAATTTCTTGTACACGCAGCCCCATTAACATATCCATTTACAAAAAAAAAAAAAAACCACCGTCGATGATAAAAACGAAGCGACGCGTACCGTAATGCGTGACAATCGAGAACGGATGTTTGATCAACGTGGTGTTGATGGTTTTCAAATCGGTGCCGTCCAAATTGGAATGCTGCACGTGATCCAACAGCGCGTCGCACCAGTAAAGCCGGTCCGTCTCGAAGTCCACGGCCAGACCGTTGGGCCAACCCAGCGTTATGTTGCGGAACACGACCAGGTTCGTGCCGTCCGTGTGCGCCCGGCTTATGTTGGCCGGACGGTCCCACTCGGAGAAAAATATGTAACTGCAAAAAAAAAAAGTACAGTTAGCACAGTGAGAATTTAGCAAAAGCATCCGTGTCAAGAGGATTGCACAATCTGAAAGTGATTTCATCGAAGTCAAACGTTTCTAAGAGGTCCATAATGGTAAAAAGTGGTCCAATTGCGGAGTTTAGCATAGGTAAAGAAGTCGCGTGGACTCGCCCCCTAAACGGTATTGCATTTGGTAATCTCTATTCGAGAAATGCTTACCCCTTATTGGGATGCACGACGATTGCACGCGGCCTCTTCATGTTTTTCAATAATACCCTCTTGTTGGTCACGTTACGGGTGCTCAGCACGTTCAACGTGCCCTTCCTGCTGTCGATGTAGTACAGGTTTTTCGCCACCCAATCCACGGCCAGCCCTTCGACTCCTTCGTTTTGCGAAGCCAACACTATTTCCCTGCCTGCAGCAAAACGGTACGTGTTTTACACACCAAACATTTCATTTCGAACCGACGACTCTCCAAAAAACACACATACCTGTCCCGTTTCTGTGTATCCTGTAGATGACGTCTTGCAGAACGTCCGAATAGTAAATATAGTTGTCTCGCGCATCGAAATCCAGACCGACAAATCTGGCTCTTCTCGACGACACCGGCAGTATGGCGTCGCTGAATCCCTGCGACACTTTGTTCAGCACTTTACCTTTGATGAACCTTTGTTGCGAGTACAGTAGAAATTCTTCGACCGCTATTGACAAAAAATTACACCAACGAAATAATTAACAACAAATTCGAATCGTCCCCACACTCCTCTAAAAAAATTGCTTCTCGTGCGAAAACTTACCAACGCAATTGTGCATGTCCTGCGCCAATTGATATCCCATGTTGCAAGCACATCTGTAAGCCAACGAGCCTTTGCCTTCTCCGCCTTTGGTCACTATGCACATGTGTTGGCAACCGGCGTTGTTCTTACTGCAAGGCGACGGCACTGCGGGGACAACGGACAAAAAATTAATTTTAGACCTATTTGACGAACCGTTTTTTTCGGGAGAGAGTACTCTGGTAAAGGGTGTTACGGCGGTCTTGGACCATTTGTTAGACATAAAACAGTGGTATTGTGCTTTTATCATAGAACTTTAATCTTAATACCTTGCAGGTTGGCTTCCGGGCCCGCCTACAATTCTGGTGTTAAATAAAAAGTTTAGGTTAGGTTGAGTTCTAAAATTCTGCAGCGTAAAAAATGAGTTAGGTAGGGTTAATTTTGTTCTCCCTCACTTGGTTGAAAAAAAGGTTAGGTTAGGTTCTACAATTCTGAAAATTTAAATATAAGGGTAGTTTAGGTTTGTTCTCCTTCGCTGCACTCAATTGAAAAAAAAAAGGTCAAGTTAGTTTTGTTCTCCTTGGACTTGGTTAGAAAAAAGGTTAGGTTAGGTTAGGTTCTAAAATTCTGAAATTTAAGACATAATGTTAGGTTTAGCTTTGTTCTCCCTCTCTCTACTTGGTTGAAAAAAGGTTCTAGAATTTTGAAAATTTAAATATAACGTCAGTTTAGGTTTCTCGCCCTCCCTCTACACGGTTGGAAAAACGGTCAAGTTAGGTCAGCGACTAAAACGCCTGTTCGTGTACTCCAGAGTCTAGCAGTACGCTCCAGAACCGGAGAATTTTGTCCTCATGACATGCCGGTTCGTTTGCCGATTACACTCACCGTCTCTCTGGACCAACGAGTGGACGATTTTCACCGATTTCGGGTCTTTGATGTCGCGGTTCTTGTACACGGACGACACGGTGGACGGGTCGTACTTGTTGACGCTCAAGATGCCCTGCTTGGTACCGTCCGACCAGTAGACGCGGTTCTCGAACACGGCCAACCGGGAAGGCGACGGCACCTGTGGCCCTCTCAGTATCAAATGCCTGTCGTTGCCCTGATAGTCGACCGTCTCGATGTAGTCCAACAGCGAGTCGCACCAGTACAGCCGGCCGTCGAGTATGTCCACGGCCACGCCGGACGCCCTGTACACCGCGTCGGTGACGATGGCCTTGGCGTCGCTGCCGTCCATGTTGGCCCGGATCAGCTGGTTGCCGTCGGCGATGAACATGTACCCCTGGGTCGGGTCCAGCGCGATGTCCGACGGGTTGGTCAGGTTGCTGCTGAGGACGACGGCGTGCCACCGGCCGTTCAGCTCGAACACGTCGATCTTCTGGCCGACGCCGTCGACCACGTACAGCTTGTTGCCGATCCAGTCGACCGCGACCGATATGGGTTCCCACATGCCGGGCAGCGTGATCTCGGACGGCATCGCGTTGCCGTCCCGGATGAACTTCTTGGTGTCCAGCAGCTGCGCGGACTTGATTTTCTTCAGCTTCACGTCCGACCAGAACAGCGTGTTGTACTGGTAATGGTAGTCCATGCCGCTGGCCGACGTGGTGTTGGCCAACACGATTTGATTCTGGTACTTGTAGTCCATTTTGATGACCGACTTGTCTTGCGCGAAGTACACCTGATACGATTGCGTCCGGTTGTTGGCCACGCACTTCTTGCGGTCCACCAGGTCGTAACCCGGATAACAACTGCACGCGTACGATCCGTCCATGTTCTTGCAAATCTGTTCGCAAAATCCCCATTCGGCGCATTCGTCGCGGTCTACAAAAAAAAAAAAAAAAAAACATACGATTAGATCAGGTCGGGTCGGGTTAGGTTAGGTTCGGTTAACGCCACAATGCTAACCTATACAAGACTTTGAGTCGTTGGCGATTTTCCGTCCCTCCGGACAATAACAAGCGCCTCCGGTGGGCGACGCCTGACACTTGTGTTCGCAACCCAACGCCGGACAACTCAACGAGGCTGTGGAAAATGAATAAAAAAAGGTGTAGAGGCACGCACGAAATTGACGATTATTATTATTGTTAGTATTGTTGTATTCACTCACAACAAGCCGCCTCTTCGTCGGCGTTGTCCTCGCAGTCTTTGTGTCCGTCGCACAATTGCGACTTGTTGATACACTTGGGCCGTTTGTTCGGGCCGCCCTGGGGACACAGATATTTACCGGGACAAGACTGGGCCGTGCAGTTGAGTTCGTCCGTGCCGTCGTGACAGTCCGCGTAACCGTCGCACTGGTAATTGAGTGGAATGCAAAGCCCGTTGCCGCACCGGAACTGTCCGACGTGACAAGCGGCAAAGTCTTCATAAATAATGATAATATAAAAATTATATATTTATACAGGTAAAACCATAAGCAGTATATCAGTTAAGAGTATCCACACTTCATGCATATACATCAATACATGGATATGTCCTGCAATCTAGTATCTCTAATCCACTATCTAGTACCTCCATAATCCTCTTCCAAAATCACTTAATACTCATCCATGCTTCTACATAATTCCTTAATACTCTTCTATAATCCCTCCATACTCTTCCATAATCCTCCTCCATAATCCATAATGACGTCAGCACTGTGACGGACACGTTTTCAGAATGAACCCAAGCTATAAGACATATCCATGTGAATAATAACCCACGGCTTAATATACTAGGTTATTGCATCTCTAAATAAAATGGCAGCGTAAGGGTCAGCCGATCAAATTAATGTATTTCTTAAAGGTATTATGTACATATTTAACAAAACAAAAAAAGACAACGATGTACACCCTTACGCTACCATTTTGTGAATTGATTGAATATAATAAAATGAGGTTACACAATGACCTAGTATGAATAAACAATTTTGACGGAACGGCTCCCCTATGGCCATACACGAGGGTGGCGAAAACTAAGGGATGATAAACTCACTGCAATTCTCTTCGTCGCTGTTGTCGCCGCAATTGTTCTGGTGGTCGCACTTGAGTTTCGGGTCGATGCACTTTTGGCCGTTCAAACAGCGGAATTTGTCCAGCGGACAAGACATGTTGATAGCCGGCCCGCAGTTCTCCTCGTCCTTGTGATTGCGACAGTCGTAGTAGCCGTCGCATTTCTTCGACTTGGGCAAACACGGACCGCTGCCCGGACCGTTGACCTCGCATCGAAAGTCTTCGGTCTGACATTTTCGATACGCTTGAAGAAAAACAAAACCCAGTTAGTCATGGACGCGTTATCTCTTATCACTTATCATTTGTCTCTTATCTTTTATCATTTATATTTGAGAGCAGGCATTCGGTCATAGGTTCCCAAATGATAACAGGTTACCACTATGGTTACGACGGCCCCGCTTTACCCAGCCCTTCGTGGTCCTTTTTTATTTTTTTACCAGGTTATAACCAAATTATACCAATTGAAGAATAATACTACAAGGATGGCTTGGGAACCTATGACCGCTTACCCCGAAAACAAACATGAGTTTGCTGATATGAGCTGATTATAATGGGATTAATAAGGATTGTCCGCAAAAATGATTTTACATTATCACAAGTACCAAACATTAAAAACTGCTGGAAAAGCGTTTTACTGATAAGGGCATAAACATTTTAATAAAACAGTAAACAGTTTTGACATTAAAACGCCGCCAAAATGGTTAACAGCAAACCGTTTGCTTTCGGTACCTCCGCGAAAATACGCTTTTTGTCTCTTATCTCTTATCATTTATCTCTAATCACTTATCTCCGATCTTTTCTCTCTAGTATCTTACTGTTGCTTATTTTAACTGAAAGTGAAAGCGAAGCATGACAATAGGCGATATGAAATTTCTTGTATCCAGCCCAATAACATAACCGTTTTAACAAAAGTACAATTTAACCTTATCTTCCCTTGAAGGAAAATTGTACCAGCGTGTCTCTAATCAGCCGATTCTCTGCCCTTCCCCTCTGCTCTCGCAATTGAACTATTTAATTATTTGTAACGCAAAAGCAGAGCTCGACTCTGTCGACTGGCACTGAATTTCGTGAAAATCCGTGCAATGATAATAACATCATACTCGTTGTCAATACCCTACTGGATTCACTATGCGGTGTGTGTATTATTTTACACAAGCCTAATAACAACATTTCGAAACGCGCACCATAATTAACTGTGTTTGAAATAATTCCAGCTCACACACACACACACACAATCACACACTCTTTCCCCATTTTTTCGTTGCCATTATTTATTTAATTTATTTTGTTTTTTAATAAGGCCGACGAGAGTATCTCATGGAGTTTTCGCTCGAGTATAGAAACACTCACTGCAATCGGCCTCGTCCGAACCGTCCACGCAGTCCACGGTAACATCACACCTGTAGTGCGGCGGGTAACAGTAAGTCTTGTTCCAGTGATATTGACGGCACGGCAACAAGACGGGCTCGCATTCGGGAGGAGCTGTGAACACAACAAGACAGACATTCAATAATTATCACCGCCAACGTCTCATTTGATATAACATGTCAGTAATTAAGAAATATTACAAAAAGTACAGCCCTACAGTCACTGAACTACTCAGTCGGCTGCCAATTTATAGTTATTGTTTTGTCCATGATGATATGTATTGTTTTTTCTACGATTTATCTAAAATACGACGGAGATGTACAGATGCATATATATATATATAATATAATAATACCTTATCACATGTTGATAACTGTTATCACTGTTTATAACATGTGATAAGGTTCTAATTCCCACGAGATGGCGGAAAACGGTAACTTCGATTGTCTCTACTGGCGGCATGTACACTTAGCAATCTAGTTTATTATGCATATCTGTGTCGTCGAGTTATCATCACCTAACCTGACATTTTAATATTTATCATGGAAAAGTAACGCAGCGTTTTTACTCTCCATGAAACTGACACACTAAAGGGCTGCCTCCCAGGTCGGGACATTTTTCAATCTGAATATGCGACGTTCCATTTGTATTGAGATCAATTGTTTACAGTTAAGTATGTAAGATTTTCGCAAAATATTAATTTAGTCCTTGAACTATTATAGTGTATACCTACTTATTGATACAGCAATGAGGATTCTTTATTGATTGTAATTTTTGTTTACCATCGCGGTCATTTCTATAGGATAAAGTATAGTTTCTTTTCCATCAAGACTGCTTTGCGAGGGACAAACTTATTACGAAATTTTCACAATACAGCTTTTTTAATTAAGTTGACATTTTTCCCCTCCTCCCCCCCCAAAAAAAACAGGCAAAATTGGACTCGCAATACAGCTTGAACAGTCCATTTGGGTCAATCGCTGCCTTCTCGGAGAAGATGGTTTCTTAATCTTAATCAGCATAATATAAACTTTATAGGCGCAGTAATAGATATTTTTTTTATCAACTATTTTTTTTACACGTTGTCCTTTAACCTACCGCTAAGGGGGTCACACCACACATATTTATTAAGGAGTAAATTATATACCTTTCACAATTAATTCAAATAAAAAGTTATCTGAATAAAAAATAATAAATAATTATACATTTTGGGATAATTAAATAGTGAAAACACTTGTATATAATAATATATATATATATATATATATAATTGTAATCAACTATACAGATTCGCGTGATCATATTAATGGCCGATAAGTTATGTGTTTTGTAGTACCACACGGTTGCAGTAGTAAAACAAATATATTTTTTTAATTACTTTTTTTTTTTAATGTCGTATAGGTATTTTATTAAGTTTAGTGGCGTAACTAAGGAGTAATATGATAAAATTGTTCATACTTAAGATCTATAAATTATAATTATATATATATATATATATATATATATATATATGCATTATAATATATAGATAGCACATATAATATATTATATTAGCGATTGGTTATCTATGATCCTGTCAAAATCTTAAAAGATATTACCTAGGCTTTTTAAAATTATTCTTTTTCATACTTTATAAAGTTATTAGTCAGCCCGAATTTGATATATTTTTCAACGAAATAACTCCACCCCTTATGTGTTGAGCCCCTATGAAAAGTCAAAGCCTAAATGGTAACCTACATACTATTTGTTTGATTAGAACTCACCGAAAAATATGAAATTTTCAATATTGTTTACAATGAGTAAAATACAATGAAGTAAGCAAAAAGGCGAGCTGCAGTGTGACCAGTACGACGAAATCGCATTTCTTTGGTACATATATTTTTGATTTTTGTTTTACTACTGCAACCGTGTGGTACTACAAAACACATAACTTATCGGCCATTAACATGATCACGCTAATCTGTACAGTTGATTACAATTATTATACTGTGCAGCGTTCAGTAACTCATTATTAAAAAATTATTCAAAGTGGTCACCACACTGTTGTGATTTTTTAAACTTTTTACGCGTGACACCCTTTTGAGTGTTTTACTAAAAAATGTTTAACCATAAAAAAATGTCTACTCACGGCAACTTTGAAACTCGTCCTCTCCCCGGTCGCAATCTTTTTGCATATTGCACAGCAAGTCTAACGGTATGCACTTGCCGTCGGAACACCGAAACATGCCAGGACCGCATGTCGAAGCCACGGGAACGGAGGACGTTGTCGTTTCCGGAACTGTAACTGAACAAAACAAAAAAAAACTATGTTAATATTATGTTAATAATGATGTTACCGCAGATTAGACAAAAAACCAGACGCGATCAAACAAATCAAAAGCACAGACTATATTATTAAAACGGGTAGTTCCTCAATTGGCATGTGTAAACAAAAACCATGAAACAAAATAAATCAGTGTGACCACAGTCTTGGGCATAAAATTTCATAATAGTATCACAGATTAGATACAACAAAATTATCTAATCTGTGATAATATATAGTCAGTTAATCTACAGTCAGAAAATTATCGAGAGGATTCTTTTGTTAACCCATAAATTTATATTGTATCTTTAAAGATATACACGTCTTATTTATAAAACTTTCCACGACCGTTCTAAAAAGTACTATTATTTTATTTTTTGCTGTTAAAAAATTAGCCTGTGCCAGCTTAAGGGTTAAAGGTGGATGGCCAAACAATGTTTGGCCATTATGGACATGTCTTATTTTTGCAATTATTTTAGCTATTCCTTTGTATCAACGCTATTGACAGCTGTCGTTGTGCTATCGCTGCTGTTTAAAAATATCCACTTGTAAACCGACCCGAAAAGCCACCTGAAGTTTTTCTGACACACATATTTCATGCCGGAACAAAATCAACAAACTAGCAAAAAAATAAATCCGTTCACGGTATCCACAACACAATCCTCGTGTCGTCCTATATATTATTATATTATATTATAATATATGTACGAATAATAATAATATGCATATTATCATGCGCCTAATCGGTCAGACAAATCCACGTTCGACAATAGACCGGCCACCGTCGAGACGAGCAGCAACGGCACCTGTATGTTTTTCTTCAGTATAACATGTCTTTCGGTAGTAAAAATATTATTATATTATTTTGCATATTTTATATTTTTTAACACACCGACTTATAGACCACGACGGATTCGTGGAATTATTCTATAGTTTTGCCAGGAACCAAACAAATTCGGAAATTTTGTCTTTTCAATAGTAATAAATTCCTACCAGAAAGAATAAGAAATCAGTTTGCCTACTTGACACAAATGGCAATTAATTTACAAAAAAAATCAATTTTCACAAAAACGCGTTCCTACACTAATTGTATTGTATTAAATCTAAACTAGTTAGGTTAGGATAGTTTGTTTGGTTATATAATTCTACGTTTAATGACCTGAGAAATATTTTAATTTTTTCACAAGCGAATCAGGAATTTTACAATTACTTATAATTTAATTAAAAGCCAAGCGTGACCGCAGTATAGTCTGAAAAACACTGTCTAGCTTATAAAAAAAAAATTAAAAAAACATAATAATTTCAAAGAAAACAAACGACTAGACCGTAATACGTTCCAAAACTATAGTAAACTATCTTGATTATAGTTTATAATTTTTGATTCTGGCTATGGAAAAAGAAACAAGTAGATGAAACAATTATTGTCTTAGAGAATAAACAAAGTATTGGAAGTAGTTCTTTTTATTATTTTATAGGAACGACAAGTGAACGTATTTCATCGCAGAAGGATAGATAACGTTACCAACACTGTTAATTTGTGCTTAAAATAAATGCGCCGCCACTTGATCACCGCCTTTAATTAATTATTTATGAACAAGAGCCCTACACTACGTTGTAAATCTTCAATGAAGTGCAATTTGATAGGTTAAAAAAAAAAATAATCGAGACGGCAAATTAATTGAAAAATACCACCTTTTTAAAAGAAAACGTTGTCACAACAGTTTTTCGATATTTATTGTTTTTATCATTTATTAGTTGTAGTTGAGCATAAATCATCACATTTTGGCGACACCAACCGTTTGGACGTGAGTAGGCTGAAATCTTCGACTCACAGTGTCTTATGTTATAAGATTTTTGACGGTCAACCGTTGTCGGTTTGTTTGAAAACACACAGAGTTGTGATCAATATCAAAAACTAACAAGTTCCCCATTGTATAGTGCATATCCCGGACACCGAAGGCTTTCTTAACGAGTATGTCTTATTTTTTTGTGTAAGCCTCGACAAAAAACAAACAAATCTACTAATACTCAGTCGGTCCATCTAAAAATGTAGCTGGCCCCACTAAACGTATAGCTGTTGTTGCTTTAGCTAAAAATCAAGTAGCGCCCGCTATTTGTTTAGTGAGCAATTTGATTTTCGGATCATACCGGTTTCTATTTCGGCCTATTCACACATTTTACACTACATCCGTCAGAGGTAAAGGGTTTAGACGTGGTTTTTTTTTTACTATAACGGTTTGTGTGAGTGTGTGTACTTAGACTATAGGTTTACGAACCATTGACCCGCAGTTGTGACGACCGACACACACAGCCCGGGGGACGTGACCGCAATAATTAGTAGGTAGGCAGGTACAATATAATAATATTATGTACATTGTAGAGGTGTACACATGTCGTATTACTATTTTTGTTGATTATAATATAATATAATAATATTTTACAGCCCAGCCCCGGTGTTCAAAATCTTTCTAAACTTGTTGTTTAAGCTCTAAAAAAAAAAAAATGTCAGCAACCAATCAGGCACGGCCTGCTGCCAAGTAAACTGAAATTCCGAGGGAGCTTTAAGAGTTTTTTTTAAAAGGTCTGAACTTCGTTAATTGAATAATATTATTATAATATGTATTTGTCCATCGGTACCTATTATTGTTATTTCCGTTTGACGGATCCGGTGTCATATTGGTAATTCTCTAATAACGATTGGACGTTAATAACAATGGCAATAAACCCGAACTCGAATGTCGTGAAGGTACATAATATAGTACAAGTAGTAATATTAAAAAAAAAAAAAATTGTATTATTTGCCCGCATTTTGCGAGGAAATCGGGTCGTTCGCGAATTGACTTACGGCCCACGTACTCGACCGACACATAATAATAATAATATTTTTAATGTACATACACACACACACACACATGTATTACAATAAACGAGCTCACAATGACCCACCGGGCCTTTGACACCGTTATACGGTGCACATAAGGGCCGTGTACACACTAATTGGCATCGTCGATGTGAACATCAAAATAATATACCTACTTCGCCATAATATATTATATTCAGAAAATACTCGAGTTTTCGTTAGTTAAACTCTAATCTACATGCCCAGATCCGGATTTTGGGGCTAGAACCTTCTCCCCCCCTTTTAGGGCTAAGAGAAATTTAGCCCAAAGCCACCTAAGAAAAGGGGACCCGGTTTAATAAATGTAAAAAGAAGTGCACTAACTAAATGTGTTAATGCCTATTTAATATTAGTATATAAATATATATATATATATATATATATAATAAATATAAATATAATATATATATATATATAATATATAATTTATAGATCTTAAGTATGAACAATTTTATCATATTACTCCTTAGTTACGCCACTAAACTTAATAAAATACCTATACGACATTAAAAAAAAAAAAGTTATTTTAAAAATATATTTATATACCTATATTTATTTACATAACAAATGACTTGATTTCATAGTTGTTAAGAACTTTTTGAAGACAAAAATACTACATTTTATTTATAAAATTAAAAAATTGTTTAAAAAATACTTTTTACAAATTTCCAGCAGTATCGACTATAAGCGTAACATCTATAACTTGGTAAATACTAACATGACAATGATAATAATTATAAAAAAACAAATGTAAAATAGGACATTAAAGTGACATTCAAGTTAGGAGGGCTGCTAAAGTATGATTTGTCTTTTTAACGACAATATTTTTGATTCCAAGTTATAATAAAATATTTAACTTGTAAACTTTATTAGTGGGGTTTTTTCCCCGAATACACAATGATGGGGCGAAACTGCTAGGTGGACTATAGCAATATTATAATGCTGTTTGTCGATTTAGATGGAAAATATTCTAAGTGATAGCCTAAGTTTTATGCATTGGATGAGGTCATGACGGCCTAATAATAAATGGTATAAAATAATATTAACGTAGACCCTATTGACATCATGCCATCGAGGTTATAATACGATAATAATAATTACCGTCAAATTAGATATTATATAGTGATAAAACAAATGTATACAGGTATACATGTCTAGTCTAATCAACTATAATATGATGAAATACTACAACAAGGTTAATGTGTGTACGTCATCCGGTACTTGTGAAAACCAACCCTAAACGGGGTTAAAATAATTATTGTAATAAAATAGTCCACTGTATAATAACGGCAGAATTTTAATGCAAACGGCCAATAAAATACAATGTATAGGTACTGTTGGAAAATAGTAATATCGATCAATTAAACAGAGTAAAAAAAAAAAAAAAAAAACACAATAATGTTCGACCTTATTCGAAATAAATACCTACACCAATTTAGTCTGTTCGAAACGCGCAATTTGTGCGATTTTCGAGGTTACCATCAACCGGTGAACACAACTAGTAATTTATATAATATTATATAACGTACGGTTTGCGTTATGCAGAAGTATTGCAGTATAATTGACAGCTATTCCAGAGACAAACAGGCACTGTTGTTTACTACAAATGGTAAAAAAAAAAAAAAATGCATTTTTATCATCATCCACACGAATAATAATAGTACAAAAATAGTGATGCAAAACTAATGCATAAACGTCTCGTCCAACCTTGTCACAAACTAGTCGGATATGTAAAAAAAAAACCCCAATAAATAAAAAGAAAGAAAAACTGCAATATGATACTGTGTGTTATTCTTAGTCGCAACTCGGTCACCTTGTGCTCGTGTATAATACTAAATAAATAATAATATAAACGTTGAGCAGATTTTTTTTTATTCTCTATGACTATTAAACTAATAGGCCGAGTCAAGTAGGATAAATAGTGATTCTATGCTAAAACGTTTAGAGAGAGAGAAAAAAAAAATTATAACGATAATATAATAACATTTTTTTTTTTTTTTTCATGTATTTCTTATGTTTTTTCCCCTAGCAAAAAAAAGTAAAAAAAAAAACTGTCGTGGCCATGAACATGACTAAATCATAA